TTATAAAAGCTTTATTAATATATTATTTTTGTACTTTACATCATTTTTTCATTAAAATATACTTATTCAAATACATGATTCTTAAAAGATAAATATTATATTTAATTTATAAACTGTTTGAATATAAATAAAATATATTAATTAACTATTTATAAATATATATTATTTAATTATATCTTCATTTAATACATTTCAATATATCACAACAATAATTTAGAATAATTTCAAATATTTCAATCAATATTAAAAGGCAAACTTTCAAAAAATATTATATAGTCTCTAAACTTTTTATTTTTAATGCTAAAGTAAATAAACATTAAATTTTGGAATAAGTCTTGCCGTTTTTTTATTTTCCTCTTCATCATATAGCCTCTAAATCTTTCCATTTGCTAGCTTAATTTTTAATTATTGACTAATTCAAAGTAAATTATTCATTCAAACACATTGAACATTTAAAAGTAATTCATACTTAAATTATAATTATTATAATAAATTATTTATTATGCCAGATTAATATCAAAAATAAAAGTTTATCATTTATTTAAAAAAGTAAAAATCAAAGTTCAAAAATAAATACATTAAAATTTTAAAGATTTTATTAAAATGTTGATTCTTTTTTTGGTTCACAAAAATAATTTGTAAATTAATCAAGGCAAAAAAATGTTATTATCTTGTGACAATTTAAAATATATTTATCAACTTGTCTTTTTCCACTTCTAATTTCTCATATATGGAGCAATTCATAATCTCTTTCCTCTAAATAAATTCATTAAACTTAAATTATTGAAATTATAACTCAATAAGGTAGCAATGAAGTTATTATGGTTCATCAGGAATCTCAAACAAAATTCTAATGCCTTCAAAACATTATATCCATTAATTAATTCACTCTGACATGTTAAAAAAGATGATTGAATAATTTTTCTCGAATAAAATGAAAACAATGCAACCCTTTTTAAACGTTTAATATGTAGGTGAACCTTAATCTTCTTTCTTATTTTTCCATAATTTCATTCAAAAATTTATTGTCAACTAAGTTTTCTTTCCAATTTTTCAGGCATAGAAGCTACACACATATTTAATAAATAAAGGTGTGTGTTGCGTTTCAAAAAAATAATCTCTTATATCTCCTAAAATATTTATTTTGACCATTTTTCATAACAATCTTGTCTTTATTATTATAACTGTGATTGATTGAATCATAATCTCAGTTTTATTTAATTTGACATCGCTTAAAGTAAAGGGGGAAAATACTTACTTATTCCATTTATTTTTTGATTTTAATTATTATTTAATAATATATATAAAAATTTTAAATAATGTATAAGAATTAATACTATTATATTTATTATAAGAAATGGTCTATATAATGAACATCTTTGTAAAATTTCAGAATTCTTATGATTCATAAACAAAATTAATAGATAAATTCTCTATAAAGTCTTAATCGAAAAATTAAATTGGATTTGATAATTATTATGTAAACAATAAAGAATTTTATTTTATATTTATCAAATATGATTAAGTTTATAGTTCTGATTTTATGTTCACTTAACTTAAGTGCTACTCAATTTGAATATTGGTATACAACCTATACAGCATTTACTTCTACAACAATTGATAATAGTGAAGGTTTAATAATTTATAATTTAGGCTGGTGGGTTTAAGGTTCATATGGATAATAGACTAGTAATTGTGGAGGAGTTTCATTATTTGGAGGATTTAATGCATTTGGGACAGGGACAAAAGTTTCGAAATTAATCAGTCTTCCATCTCATTTTAAATTGAAGGTTTCGCTTCAATTCTGGAAGTATTTATTAATCATTAAAATAAAAAGAATAGATAGTTGGGATGGAGAACTTCTATACTTATTTCTTGATGATTATGTTTATATAGGAACGTGGGGCAATGGAGGAGTTTAAACATGTGGAAATACTAATTATTACTGGAGAGAAGTTTAAGAAAATTTAGAATTTGTCTTTGAACACAAATAACCAACACTTAGTATTATTATGACATCAACTTTAAATGAAGCTATAAATAATGTACATAATTTAAATTTAATAGGAATCATGGGGTTTTAGAGATTTTAAAGTTGAATATATAAAATGTTCACCAGGTTGTATCATGTGTAATGATGATACTCCTGATGAATGTTTATCTTATGTAGAATTAGAATCAAATTGGTGGAGTAATTATAATTTTGATGGATGGACACTTGATAATTAAAATGTACTTACAACAAGTTCATGTGTTAATATATAGTTTGTTGGTAAAATAACTGAGAGTAAATAAATATCAAAACAATTTAATACTATGATTCCACATTATAAAGTGATCTTGTAAGTTTAATTATGGAAATTAGATATCTGGAATAATAATGAATTTTCAATAACTCTTGATGGATATGTCATATTTTAAACTTAATTTAATTAAGCTGAATTAGTTTAATTATGTGATGATATAAGTGGAGGAGAAAAGTTATATAACATTCAAGTTACAACTAATCACAAATCTAATAGTGCATTAATAAAAATGAATTCTAATGTTGTTTCAACAAATGGAGCTTGGGGATTAAGAGGATTTAGATTATATATAATAAAATGTTACACCACATGTCTTTAATGTTTTGGACCTAATATAAATGATTGTGAGGTATGTTAAAATGGGTATTTTTTAAATGGTTCTGAATGCGTAAATGGTATTATTATATATCAAGTATTTTATAGTAAAGTGGATTGATGGTTTAAGAGAATTCTATGATTCAAGTGATTTCACAACTTCAGATGGATGGACTATTTCCAATGTTTATAATAATTAATCACCTTTCTAAACATGTGAAAGTATTAATGTTGTTGGTGGATTCAATTTATTATCTAAGGATGCATAAATTAATTTAGTCTACAGTCTACCTTAACATACAAAAATAAGAATCAAATTATAATTATGGAAATTCGATACTTGGGATTCTGAAATGTTTTAAGTATTTGATAGAGGAAATCTTGTTTATGAAAAGCAATTCGGTTTAACTGGAAAATTAACTACTTGTGGATAACACTAAACATATATTTATAAAACCAATATAGATTTTGAATTTCTACATGATCAATCCTCTATCAATCTTATTATGAAAACTACATTAGATGAAATTCCAAGTAATGAGTCTTGGGGAATTAGAGAATTTTAACTATTATATGATATCAATAATAAATGTAGCTAATCCATCATTGATACTGTTACTATCTCCGCATTTACAGCAAAGAATTATTTTTAATCCACTTAATATTCATCTGATCAATCTCTCTTAAAAAAAATATCAATATCTGAACTTGGAGTCATTCTAGAACTTGATTTTGATTAAACTATTTCAGTTGATTTTAATATTTTCAAATTGACTATTTTAACCTCATGGACATGCTATTCAAATGATTAAACTTTTTCTCTTTCCATTTTACAAAGTAGTTATCCAGATTATCAAAAAGCAACAGCTAAATGTAATAAAAAGCATTCAAATGTCTTAAATTCTTAATTGATTTTTGAAAGAACAATTTCTAAACAACCTAAATCCTCTAAAATCAGATTATTATCAACTACAACATCATTAAAGATTTTTTAAATCGCTTATAATTAAGACATAATTTTATACCAAATGCTTTTAAATTGATTACATAATATCAGATAATATGTTAAATTATATAGCTTTTAAAATATATATTAATTCTATTCTTAATTTTATTTTAATTTTTAGTCATAAGTTTATTAATAATAAATTGGCTGAGAATCTTTTTCATTTATTGTGGCTTATATGGACTAAAATAAATAATGAAATCATATTTTAGAACAATTTTTATGCAATTAAAATAATTACATTTTTTTCATAATTAGAATCAAAAATTAATTTTACATTTTCACTAAAAAAATTTTGATTTGAAAAATTATGTTCTGACAAAAATAATTTTTTTATTTTGACATATATCAACATTCATTTTTGAGATCGAAGAAAGAAACAAGATATTTAACTTTGAGATTTAGAGAAAAGATTTTCGACATGATTTTTTCGAAAATTAGCTTCATTTAAAATTTTTATTATACTAAAAAAATAAAATTCTTACTTTTTAATATTTTTAGAAAATAAATTTCCTAGTTCAAAATTTAAAAGTTTATTTTTGATAATATTTTCACAGACGATGTACTAAATATCAATATTTAAATTAACTCACATTTTTTCCTTTTTGATAATTTCATCTCTGCAAATAATTAGACTAAATGCATTTTATGAAGTTTATAGATTTTAAAAATAAATCCTTAAATATTTAATAAATATATTTAGTTCAAATTTCATTGAGAGTTATTTGAATTTTTCAATTATGCTATTTTGAATTGATCTTAATTATGTTACCCTTAGGGTGGTAATATTTAATATAATAGTTATTACTTTAAATATATGAATATAAATTTTAAAGTAATATAATTTCACCATAATTAAACCCTGAGTCACTGGTTGAATCTAAATAGATTTAAATAAGGAACAGGGTACTTAACTAACTCAAACTGCAATTAAAAAATTACTATAACTCTTAAAAATATATATTAGTTATTAATTTTTCAATTCATTTGATTTAATATATTTAAAATTGCTATTTTCAATAAATTAAATTAAGGTTTATCATAATTATAATATATATGAATGCGAAAAACACCACACACTTTTTTCCTTTATAAGTGTATTATATGAGAATAATAACTAAGCATGTGCTTACTATCTGTTTGTACCATCTAATCTTTCTACTTTTTATGCTCCAAATTTTTTGTAATTGAACGTAAGTGTTTAAGGCATACAAATATTTGTAACAGGAAACAGATTCTTTTTCATTAATGATTAAATTGTTAATAGAATTAATAACTAATTTTTATTTTCAGTTGTTTAATGTAAATGCGAAAAGATGGATTCTGTTTATTTCTAAATCTAAATACTAATCTTAAATGCATAATTTGATTTAATTATTAGTGCAAAGACCTCTCAGTGAGGGCTTCAATTAATAAATTAATCTAATCTTAATTAATTCCATTAGTTTTATTGGCTTTCAAATACTAATCACATTTATTATATTATCAATCTTTTCGTTTGTAATTCTCCCATTCATATCTAAATAAGTGACGAATAATACTATTTAAGCGATATCAATCAATTCAGTTCTATAATCTTAATAAGATCTTACTTATAATACATTTGGATCTCTTTTTATTTTAAATATTTCAAGTATAATACTTTTTTAATGACTATATTAATAAAATTTCATCGCCTTTTTTCACTTTCAGCTTAAAATTGTCCCTTTTTAATTTCATATTAATTAGACAATAATAACTTTTATAAACCATTAAAATAATTTATGTTCTTTTGAATATTCTCACATCTCTTACTATTAAATCCTTATATGTCTCTTAATTCCTACTTTCTAAATTTAACTAATAAGTAATAATCATTGCTCTCTATTGATTTATTAAAAGTATGTTTAATCACTTGTTTAGAGGAATCATCAACTTAATTAATATGAAGAAAAAGTATAAATTTAATTAAATTCAATATAAAACTCAGCTTTGTTGATTTCAAAGAGTTATTCATTCCTTTCAAAATTTGGAATAGTTTAGTTTTGTAAGCTGTTTAAGCTAAAACAACTAATAAAGTATTAAAGTAATAGAAGCACCATCCTTAATTAAGTTTATATTGTATTGAGTTTAGAATATTCAGAGTTAATGTCCATGCTGTAGTAACACTATTAAAAATAGAATAGATAAGATACAAATATATTTCAATATTTCGCATAGTTCAATAACTGAAATATAAACTTACAAATTTGTATTCATTGCAATTTATTTAATAATAAGCAGATGAAACTTATGTATTAAATAATTTATTACAAGTTCTATTTAAATTATTTAAAACATATTATTATAAATAATCACTAAAATCATCATTTATTTGAATAGTTAAGAATCCTTTCTAAAAGACTCTTTTCATTCCTTTTTTTCCAATTTAATTAAATTTTTGAAAATAATTGAAAATTTATTTTTTAATAAAATATATATATGAATCATTATCTTTATTTTTTATAAAGGTCTTCAAATCATAAACAAATATTCACAGATCTATAAATTCTTTAAGAAATTTAAATTGATTTTAATTCTAACCCAACTGGCTTTTCCATCCTATGAAGTTTGTTGTTAGTGATGGAGAAGTTTTGTTTAGGCTCCATTTTAATTTTTTCTAATTTTTTTATTCCTAAACTAAACAATATCAGCAGATAATTTATCCATCCAAGCACAAGAAAAGCAATTTCTAGAAGAATTTATAAATCTTTGAATAAATTTTTAGGTCTTTGATGACCATTATTTCCTATTTATCTCATTTTACCCTTAAAGACAATAATTTTTGTCATTTTTGCTCTTTACAAGATAATTCAAGCTATCTTTATATTAACTGAAAAATTAATATATTTATTTATTAAGTAATTTTTAATGGTTCCTTAAATTTATACTCACTAGAAAACTTTTATGCAAATAAATTTATGATTTGCTCTTTATGTTAAATAAAGTGAGTTTGTTTATATTTTAAACATTAAAGATCACAAAATCTTAATTTATAATAGATTTTAGATTTTGATTATTAAATATCATTTTGAAAGATTGCAATTCAAATAAGAATTTTTATGTTAAAAATACGAACTTGTTAGATTTAAGGATACCCATACCCAAATATTTTAATAAAAAGAACTATTAAATCATAAAATTCAAAATTAAGAAGTGTTTTCATTAATTTTACAAGGAGATAAATGTAAAAATTTAACAAAAATAGAAAATAAATTGTAGATTACCAGCATAAATGCCTTATGAAGGTTTTATATCAAGATTTGCTAAGAATCAGAAATAATTGAAATTAAAGCAAATATTTCTCCTTCAACGACATTTTAAATCTATTTTGCTTTGTTGAAAAACAGAATAGTAATTTTAAAATAATGAAAGGACGCCCAAGTAATATTTTTTTAAGGAGATTTCATTGAATAACAATCATACCTAAAATCAAAATCTTTGCCTTATTTAATTTAATTCTTTTGAATTTTGTGATCATATTCTTTTATAAAATAAGTATTACAAAATAATTAGTATTCTTACATAAATAGTATTATATTTAAACATATCTGTATTAAAAAATTATAATATAAAGTTTGTATTAAAATTTTCGTTAATTTACGAAAATTTATAGTATGTATTTATACTTATTATTTTATTTTTATTTAATATTTGAAAGTTGAAATTTTTTTCAATATTAAATCAAATTATTGTTTTGTATATATTCAATACACACTTGATTAATCTAAACGGTTTGTGTTTATTATCAAAATCAGCTTATATGAATTTGAATTATTCAATTATATCTTAATTCATATGATGAAAATGATAATTATTTATTTAGTAAATAAAATAATTCTACACTTTATCTATGAATATTCTAGAAAAGCTATAACAAATTACTCTTTTAAGATATAATGAAAATTAGAATATTCCAAAACATTTTAAAAAAATATTTTTTATAATAAATTAATATATTAAAATCATGATTTATTTTTATGGAAACAAATATTTTTAAGGCTACTGAAATATGCTTTTAATCTATTAATAAATTCAATAAGCAAAAATAAAAATTATACTGCTATAGACATTGATATTAATGAAATGATTAACCATCCAACCAATTACTTTTATTAAAAATCAAGAATTTTTATCATATCGTCTACTGCGATTAATATTGCAAATAACACGATACAAAATATACAAAAATCAGGTAATCCTATTTAAATCAATGTACTTTTTGATTTGAATGGATTTTAATATAAAAGAAAAGCAAAATTTAAAAAACATGATAAACAGCAAAATGTAGTTTAGAGGATTGGTTTATCATATAATAACACAATGAAGAGTATGAATGTGAATTTTCTGATAAGATTAAAGCAGCAATATTTTCTTGCAGTGATATTTTCATAATTTATTGTTTCATAAATTGATAAATACTTCTTTTTAAATAATGAATGATTCAAAAGTAAATAATGCTTTGAGCTAACATAAACATGTATATTATAAATTATTAAAATAAATACTAAAAATGAAATGGCTAAAATATCATTTATTAATATTTAATAATGATAATTGTTTTTAGGGCATACTAATTATAAAATACAAGCCATAAATACATCTAAAAGGAATAAGTTAATGATTGAAAGAATTTTAGACCAAAAATTGTATTGATAATCTAAAGCAGCTTTAAATATGAAAAATGAAACAAAAGAAAGCTCTTATAATTTTTTAATTAGTGATTAGTTTTTATCATTAATATAAGTAGCTTATTGATTTTCAACTTAATTATGGCATTTTGTGAAAATATAAATTTTATGACTTTTCAACTGATTGGAATTTAATTTTTTTTTATAGATCCAAATAATAGCTAAAGTTAAGAAATAAGTTAAAGTAGCAATGCAAATTAAACCAATAAAAATTTAAATATTGTTAATAAATAATGGATTAACATTCTTCTCTTAAAATTTAGTTACAGCCTGAAAATAATAAGGATCATTCGGTTAATTAAGTGAAAAGAATTCTGGAATAAATATAATATTTTCCCATTTGAATTTTTAGAAAAACATTTTAACATTTATTGGATAATCAATATTAAAAAAATAGAAGTTATTAATCCAAGTAAGAATTTCAAGTATAGTCCAAAAAAAGGTGATACCACCAAGAAGCATCGTTAAGGGGCCAGTATATTGTAGTAACAACGTTAATTAATTTGATGTGGATACAACAGCTAATGCTTATTATTTTTAGTCAGAACTATAATAAATCTATTTTCTTGGTATAATAGTTATTTAATATTCTTCTAAGATTCTTTATTGATCAGTATAATTAAAAGGAATTGTTAAGTGAATTAAATTGATTTCAGTTATGGTTTTAAAAAACTGGAATTAAATTTCACATCCATAATTAAATAGAGAGAGTGTANATATATTAAAATCATGATTTATTTTTATGGAAACAAATATTTTTAAGGCTACTGAAATATGCTTTTAATCTATTAATAAATTCAATAAGCAAAAATAAAAATTATACTGCTATAGACATTGATATTAATGAAATGATTAACCATCCAACCAATTACTTTTATTAAAAATCAAGAATTTTTATCATATCGTCTACTGCGATTAATATTGCAAATAACACGATACAAAATATACAAAAATCAGGTAATCCTATTTAAATCAATGTACTTTTTGATTTGAATGGATTTTAATATAAAAGAAAAGCAAAATTTAAAAAACATGATAAACAGCAAAATGTAGTTTAGAGGATTGGTTTATCATATAATAACACAATGAAGAGTATGAATGTGAATTTTCTGATAAGATTAAAGCAGCAATATTTTCTTGCAGTGATATTTTCATAATTTATTGTTTCATAAATTGATAAATACTTCTTTTTAAATAATGAATGATTCAAAAGTAAATAATGCTTTGAGCTAACATAAACATGTATATTATAAATTATTAAAATAAATACTAAAAATGAAATGGCTAAAATATCATTTATTAATATTTAATAATGATAATTGTTTTTAGGGCATACTAATTATAAAATACAAGCCATAAATACATCTAAAAGGAATAAGTTAATGATTGAAAGAATTTTAGACCAAAAATTGTATTGATAATCTAAAGCAGCTTTAAATATGAAAAATGAAACAAAAGAAAGCTCTTATAATTTTTTAATTAGTGATTAGTTTTTATCATTAATATAAGTAGCTTATTGATTTTCAACTTAATTATGGCATTTTGTGAAAATATAAATTTTATGACTTTTCAACTGATTGGAATTTAATTTTTTTTTATAGATCCAAATAATAGCTAAAGTTAAGAAATAAGTTAAAGTAGCAATGCAAATTAAACCAATAAAAATTTAAATATTGTTAATAAATAATGGATTAACATTCTTCTCTTAAAATTTAGTTACAGCCTGAAAATAATAAGGATCATTCGGTTAATTAAGTGAAAAGAATTCTGGAATAAATATAATATTTTCCCATTTGAATTTTTAGAAAAACATTTTAACATTTATTGGATAATCAATATTAAAAAAATAGAAGTTATTAATCCAAGTAAGAATTTCAAGTATAGTCCAAAAAAAGGTGATACCACCAAGAAGCATCGTTAAGGGGCCAGTATATTGTAGTAACAACGTTAATTAATTTGATGTGGATACAACAGCTAATGCTTATTATTTTTAGTCAGAACTATAATAAATCTATTTTCTTGGTATAATAGTTATTTAATATTCTTCTAAGATTCTTTATTGATCAGTATAATTAAAAGGAATTGTTAAGTGAATTAAATTGATTTCAGTTATGGTTTTAAAAAACTGGAATTAAATTTCACATCCATAATTAAATAGAGAGAGTGTAGAATTGATTTCAAAAGGATTTAGTGTACTATTTTAATAATCAAATTCAATTGATTTTCTTGGAATTTTTTAACATAGGTTATTAGAACATTAGAATCCTTTTTCAATTTCGCATAAAGAATTACATCCATCATTATTAATAATATTCCCATCATCACATTACTCATTGCCAGCAGTGATATGATCTCCACATTTTGTTATACATTTCTTGATAGTAAAATCACTATAATAACCTTCTTTATTATCACATTTTTAGCAATTCTCAATCTTACATTGAGTACAATTATTTGGATTATCTACACACTCTTCACAGTAATTTGAGCATTAAATGCATGAATTACTTGTTAAGAAATATCCTTTTTTACATTTTAAACATATGATTTTAGAATTGATGTAATCACATGAAATACAATTAGATGAACAAATAAAACAAAAGTTTTTATTTTTTAAAGTAATACAGTTAAATCCAGGATCAATTATACAATTAGTACATCCATCTCTGGGTATGGTATTAGCATCATCACATGATTCATTAGGGACTATTAATCCATCTCCACAATCATTAACACAAATAGAGTTTTATAATTTATATCCAAGTTAACAATTTTAACAAATTCCTTAAAGACATGTTTTACATAATAATTCACATTAAAATTGACATTAATAGCATCCATCAAAAGGTGTATCATTGCCATCATCACATAGTTCTTTTCCTGCTTTAATATTATCGCCACATTTAGAATAACATTTATTGAATTTATCATCATAATAATATCCATCTTGTTCTTTACATATTAGTCTTTCAAGACATCTTCTTTGATTAATATCAAAAAAGTAAGATTGAATACATGATTTACATTGACCATAATAACAATTATCACATTAATCTTAACATTAGAATTTGCATTAAAAACATCCATCTTAAACAATATTATTACCATCATCATATAATTCTTCAACTGTTAAAAATTAATCTCCACAAATAGGGTTGCATTAATTCTGAATAAAATCTAAATAATATCCAAATTAGCAAGTAAAACATAATCCTTATAAACAGGATAAGCAATTTATTGAACAAAATGATTATTAGACGACTTCTGGTTGATTAATAATTATATTTGAATCATCGATTTCGATAAGTTACAGTATATATAATGATTCAATAAATGGTACATCCTCAAAATAATATTTTAAATCTTCGAATTAATTAAAATATTCTAAAAGATATTAAAATGATTAAACTTATAAATATTGATGCTCTATTTATTCAATTTGCGATATAGAAAAAGTATAAATGCATCTTCCAAATTAGATTTCATATCCATCTTCACAAATCATGCAATAACCAAAGAAACATTATTAACATGTAAATTCACATATAAATTAACATTAATGGCATCCATCTTCAATATCCATATTACCATCATCACATTATTCATGATATGTAATAATGGAGTCACCACAAATAGGATAACACATCTTATCTCTTAATTCATATCCAATTGTACAATGGATGCATCCTTACCCCTCAGATAAATCACAAACAAGACAAGATTAACCACATTCACATCTATTATTCATCATATTTAGATGATATCCATATTAACATAATTTACATTTGTTATCCTAACAGAATTCACAAATATTATTTTTTTAACATTAAAACTAACAATTTTTACTACAACCATCAAACTCAATTAAATTACCATCATCACATTATTCATTAAATGCTATGTCTGGAGCATTTACAAGAATACCATCTCCACAATTATTAATGCAATAATTCTGATATTTAATTAAGCCTTATCTACACTATACACATTCTCCCTTAGTATAATCACATTATTAACAATCAGGTCTACAAAAAAACTTGCAACCTTTACAATTTCCACTATATATATATATACCATCATCACATTCTTCTGTTCCTACTTTTAAACCGTCATAACATTATTCTTTACAAATTTGAACTTAATTATTTAAGTCTAAATACCATCCAGAAGTTGCACATTCAAAACATTTACCTTAAATACATTTTGTACATTCTAATTAACATTAAAATTGGCATTCATGACATCCATCATATTAAATTTCATTACCATCATCGCATTGTTCATAACCATTGATAATATTATCTCTACAAGAACAACTTTAATTAGTACAAGGATTGCAACTATTTATACTATCTATTGATTCCATAGGACATTTAATACTTTTATACAGTTAAGTAGAATAATATTCTTATGCATTCAATTAACATCCATCATTAGCATTTTAAATTTAAAAACCTTCAATACATTCATTACATTATTAATTTGTACAAATCTTACAATTTTATTAACATGTAATGCATATATTATTCGCATCAGTATAATAACCCTCTTAACATTCACATTTATTATTTTTTAAAATTTTAAAATGTTCCTTACTACATTCCAAACAAATTTAATCATTTATACATTAATTACAAGATTAAGGACACAATTAACATTAATAATCATTATTTTAGTATTGATTTATTCCACATATACAACCTAATGAAGGATCTATAAAACCATCCTTACATTCTAGACAATTTTGTAATGAAGTACATCTCTTACATTAGGGTAAACAATTACGACATTCACTATTAAATAATTCTAAATATTAGTTTTCTTCGCAAATAGTAATGGTAGATAAACAATCATTTTAATCATTACATTATGAACATCCAGGTTTACAATAATGAACAGCTAAATAGTATTAATAGAATCCACAATATGCATTGATTGGTTCAGTGCTCTTGCATTCCCATTAAATAATTAAAGTATCCAAAGAATGTTTATAAAATTATTAATATTCTATTTCACCTCCAACAACCATTCCTTCAAATTAAGTTTAATTATCGATTGTCAATGTAAAATTTCCATCATCAGGAAATTAAGGTCCAAAAATCATAATAAAACTAATTGATATACTATGATGAGGATTAGGTATATTATAAGTTCTTTCAAACTTTGCTTATGCCCATATATAAGGTCCTCCAAATATTCTATAATTCTATTTCCATATTGAATAATATATTCCTTCACCTTTTATAAAGTTATTTCCCACTTCTTCTAACATTTTATATTATTTTTAGGTATCCAGATTTAGTGATAAATCTATGAATTCTTTTGATAGATATTAAGAATCTATATATTAAATAAATTTATTTACATTGTGTTTCATTATCAAAATCCAAACAATGGGTTTAATTGATCTAATACTAATAAATAGCTTAACAAGTTTATCTACAAGTTCCAAATCTAGAAATAAAATAACCATCGTAGCATTTAGAGCATTTAAACTAAAAGTCACATTTCCAACAATATTGTGGACATTATCCAGATGTAATTTAAATAATTCTAATTGCCCAACCAGCTTCAGATGTTAGATAATCTCCAATCAATCTAATAATAAAATAACTTGAAGCATTAACATATAAATATAAAGAATAGTAGTTATTTTTATTATAATCTATATTCTAATAAGTTAAATTCTACCTTAAGCCATGATGTTGACTAATAAATTAATCAAATTTAAGTTAATTTCCATCATGATAAATATGTGCCTTATGTGTCTCATTTATTAATAATGATATACGACTTCCAGAAGGCATTTAATTAAATAGGATGATATCTAATTTTATTCCAATCAAATATGATCCATAGTTACCCTTCAAATTTATCACTCTCTAATAACCTTATTTATTTTTAAATATCCCATAAATATAATAGTTTTCAAAAAGTATATTTTGTAAAGACTGAATATTTTCAAAATCATTAACCAGTTACCATCTATATTATGATGTTGTTGGATATTGACGTATCTCTATATAAATATAGTTGGTTACTAAATAATAAATTTATTAGTACTTGGATATGAAGTACATAATCCATTTAGATACAGTGATTAATCGAGAGGACACCTGGCTCTACACTAATTATTAACTAAATAAGGTTCATTAATAGTATTATTGCATTATTTCCAACAGGTTCCTTAATTTGAAAGGGTTCCCACAAAACACTCTGTACATTCATTAAATAAACTTCCAGAACAAGTTTTGCAAGTTTAATAGCATTTTAAACCTGTAATTGTTAGATTTTTTATTGCAACATTTCCTTCATTTGTTGCTACAACTTTAAATTTATGAACACCTTAAAGAGTAGTTTTACTTATTGTAAAATTAATAGTATTAATAACTGCTTATTTATCTATGCAAAAGTTATTTATAGATCTAAAAGATTGTGGATTTTGATAATTAAAATTATTTGTGTCTGAACCTATTGTATAACTTACTTAATCATTATCATTCCATGTTTTAAAAAAAATTAGGTCATAAGTCACATAATAAAATTAATATCCACTATAATTTTTCGTTTCAAAATATTAAACTTCACTTTAAGTATTGTTTATTATGATATAACTACCTTCATCAACACAATCAATATATAAAGGATATATTGCACTATTTCCTACATCAATACTAATAAACCCATCGCTATCCTTATCAGTAAAATTCTTCACTTAAGTTAAATATGATGCAATTAGTTGATTATTTGTTGAAGGAAAGCTTAAAAATAGTACTTGTAACAAGATTATCATTAAAATATCTATTAAAAATTTATTGTTTTTTATATACTAATAACCTATAAAAAATGTAAGAAATTTCATTAATTAACTAGAATATTATTTTTTTTTAGCCTACACATCTCCATATTACTCCACTTTTTTACATGAACTTTAACTACAATATTTCTTAAATATAAATAAAAATTTCTTTTCAAAAAATATGTGTATAATTAGAATACCTCAAAAATAATATTTGTTATTGGAGTTTTTTTTATAGAATTTCATTAAAATTAACAATTGATAATTATCATTTTTAAATAAAATTATTCTATAATAAATTCAAAATATTTAAGCCCTCCAAATTATAATCTAATTATGCAATTTATAAAAAAAGTTGGAATATTTGATAAAACAATTTAAAAGGTTGTCTGAATTTCAAAATATTTTTAAGAAACCAACAGAACTACAAACTAAAATACAATTAATAATTTAGATTAAAGAAAATCAAAATAGTATTTATTTTCTTATAAGTTTTCATTAATATAATAAAAAAAATTTTATGTATGATGTTGATTATTTTTTTTTATTTTTAGTAACAGAATCTTATTCTATTTGAGACCTAATTCATTTAATATCAATCTGATGAGCTAAATTAATTATATAGAAAAAACAATTTAGAAAATGAAAGTTAAAGCTAATTGTAAACTAATTTAGAAGGAAACCCTTAATACTTTAAAGTTTAAGTAAATTAAATTTATAAATTAATAGTTAAAAAGAATGTCTGGTATAAATTTTAGTAAAATAGATAAATTGCAATTGTCAAGAAATTTTAATTATACTATACCAAATATTAATTGATACATCAATAAATAAATTTACTATTATTATATTTTTTAATATCATAATAATTAAGCGGTCAATTTTTATTTATCAAAATGAGCCTTCTCTAAATTATGTAATTATTAGATGCATTCAATTAATTTTTCGTAATTTGGTATCAGATTAGACTATTCTACTAACAAAGTTTCCCAAATAATTTGAATCGATATTTCATCCTAGTGAAGCTTATAGTTAATTATATTAATTTACTCTTTCATTCACAGTTCTCATAACTTTGTGAACTGCTTTTAGTTAATTTCTAGTAACATTTTAAGTTTATCCCATATTGGAATTATTGGGTTTATCTTTAGGGTTAGACTATTGATTTTCATTATCCAAACTTTATTCATTATTTTCGATTTTTAATTCTAATGATCCAATTTCATTGACAATAGCTTTAGTTTCAATATCAGCAATTTAAGTTGATTATTATATATTATTTTATTTGTTAATTTATTACATCTTCAACTCATTTTCCTAATGAAGATAAATAATTACTTTAGGCTAAGTATTAATTTGAGGTATAGTTGATTATTAATTAACTTAAATATTAATAATCTTTTCTTATTATATCAATTATGAAATATTTTTGGTAATATCATGATTTCCTTTTACTAATTATAATTTATGAGATTAATCTAATTAATTTACATTTGAAGATTATATTTTTTTTAAATTAGAATTAATCTAATCCTTATTTTTGGTTATTTTATCTTCATTTTTATGCGATTCAATTTTTGAAATTTTCCCTCCATTTGATTATAAACTTTTTTATTATTCCTTAAGAATCACTTATTCATTTTGAGTTTTTACTTTATTTTATTGTATTTTTTATTCTTATAAAGTGAGTTTGTTATTAAGAGATGTGATATTTTATACAACTTGATTTGCCTAAATTTTTTATTTTAATTAATTTTTTTCTAAATTACAATTTATGTCTTTCTTTAAAACTATATAAATTTTATACTATTGATTACCTTATTCAATTCCTTTATAATCCTCTTCATGTCTTGTTTATTTTTAAATCATATTTGATATAACTTCATTAGATTTTATTGATTAAATTTTAACATCATTTTGATTTTATTATTGTGAAATTAAAGTTTCTTTATCTTATAAGGATTTAATTTGATCTTTAAATTAATGCTTTTACTCAATAATTTTATTATCTTGATAAGTATTTTCATGCTTTTTATTAAAACAAAAAATTTACTTTTGGAAATTTAAGAATGTTTTTCTATTCTAATAACATTTTTTCAAAACCTTATTGTAATAAATCTTTATTTTCAATGCTGCCCTTCTTCAATTATATTTCTACAATATTTGTATTAGTTTCTCCATCCTTAATTTATTCATTAGTTTTCCTACATTAGTTAAAAATAGTTTTCCAATACTCTTAATACAATGCCTTTTTTTTAAGAACCTTGTCTTGTTTTATTTGCTTTTTATTCATTAAGAAGAATTTTAATTATTATTGCTAAAGCATTCGAAAATTTAGCTTTTCATTCACAATGATTTATGAATTATTACATATGAAATTTAATAATACTATTAAATATTCATTTCGAAATATTTTGTTCATATTATAACTCTATACATTAAATAATCATAGTATTTCAATAAATAATTTTTAATATAGAACATATATTAATAACAACAACAATCATGTAAATTTGTTATCACCATAATAAAAAACTTGAAGAATGAAAAATAAAATATTTATTGCAAGTTTAAGAAACTGAATATATTGTTTAGCTGATAATTGTTTATTAAATTATCAAAAAAGTTAATATGATATTAAAATAAATCACTTCAAGGAAAAATTATTCATTTTGTACCTTTGAATAAGAATTTTAATTTACTTTAATTCTGAATAGTTCATAGATTAAATTAATTGAAAGGACAACAATAATTTAATAGTGTGAGAATTAAAATATAATGTTATAAAACTGAAAATTAAATTTTAATTAAGCGTAAATCAAACAATAAGTTCTTTTTATGATAATATATAAAAGAAGTCAATTAACTAAGAAAATAAATATAAATTGAAAATAAGTTGAAAGAACTAAATATTTTATTTATTCATTTTAAAGGATAGTATTTGCTTTTTAAAATGTTAAATACAAATCTAAAAACTTTGGTATAAATATATATACTTTAAAAAAAGTTTTAAATTAGTAATAAATAACATAAACTAATTATTGAAAATCTTCAAAATTTATTTGTTTTATAATTATTTAATAGATTTTTTGATAGTGTTTCTTCAAAAAAAATTCAAAATGAATTGATTAACTATTTTTTAGTGCATCCTATTCAAATTGTTTTACTATTCATTTAGGAAAAACTATAAGAAGTTTAAACTTAATTTTTAATAGTTTCTAAAAACATTTAATATCCAAAGACATTGTTTAATGATACTTAAGTTCAAAAATCATAAATTTTATTAAAATTCTTTTAATCTTTGAATTAATTTTTTATTTGAAATACCACCTAATACCTCTTTCAGATTCACCAATAAGTTAAATTTAGCTTTTTATTAAGAAAATAGAATATTAAAGATACTTTAAGCTATTAATTATTTGTCTATATTAAAAGAAAATGGTTCAAATAACTAATGAAGAAAAGATATAATAATTCTAATAAATAATAAATTTAATGTTATTAGTCTAGTTGATATTCTATAGATAAATGCTTATCATTTAAAAATGAAAATTTATTTAAATTTAGTTTATATTAATTAGAAATTATAGAGTAAAATTATTTATAAAAAATACCATAAATAGAGAAAGTTAACAATAAAGGAGAATGAAACTAAAAATTTAATTAATTTGTTTTTTCATAATATATATAATAATAATATAATTATAAATATTAAAAAATATCTGGAATTGAATATTAAACAAATCTGATCATTGTTAAATTTGTCTCAGTTTATTTTTGGCAATATTAAATATAGTTTAAGAATTAGAATCACCAGTGTTTAAAACAAGCTTAGAAAATTGAGTTTGTTTATCAATACTTGTAGAATTAATAGATTATGCTAAAAGATTGAATGGGGAATCGAATTCTAAAACATTTCCCTTTTCAATCACCATAACTCTATCATAATCAGCAATCGTATTCAATCTATGAGCAATAGTAATAAGTGTACAATCTTTAAGATATTATTTAAGTGAATTTTGAATAAAATCATCTGTTTTCATATCAAGATTAGCAGTAGCTTCATCTAAAACAATAATCTTCTTATTTTATAATAAAATTCTAGCTAAACAAATTAACTATTTTTATCCAACAGAGAACAATGAATTAACATCACTGATATCTGTTAATAAACCTTTAGAAAATGATTTCGTATATTCAATTAAACCTGCAATTTCTAAAGCTTTCCAAATAGCTTAATCATCATATTAATCGAATGGATCTAAATTAGATCTAATACTTCCAGTAAATAAAAATGGACATTAAGGTATAATACCAATACTATTTCTTAATTTATTTAATCCTAATAATTTAGTATTAATTCCAGCAATCTCAATTTTAGAATCTTCATAATCTTCTATTTCACTCATTCTAAAAATCGCTTATAAAATTGATGATTTTCCAGCTCCAGTTCTACCTACACATCCAATTTTTTATCCACTTTTTATTTCAAATGATAAACCATTTAATATCAAATCTGAATTAGATCTATATCTCATGTAAACATTATGAAATGAAATATCTCCTGATTCTGGAAAATTAGGTAATTTTTAATCTTCTTCTTTCACTTAAGGTGCTTCTGATTCTACATCTATGATTTAAAACATTCTATTATATGAACTAATTAATGTTGCAAAATTAATCAATTATTTTAATCCTAAAGATAATCCATCATTATATGTAATTAACAATAATAATCCTTAAGAAAATATTGCAACATCATTTGAATTCAAATTTAAAAATATGAATAAACCTATAGATGATGCAATAAATCCAATTAAATCTATATTAAAGCAGAAAGATCTTGTTTAATAAAAATATGTTAAAGAATTTAAATTACAATTATTTGATAAATCTAAAAATTATTTCTTAAATTATTCTTATTATTTATATACTTTAATTTATATAGCTCCACCAAATGTTTTTTTTATAAAATCAAATAATGGACTTCTCTAAGTTAATTCATTTTCTTTTAATTAAGTTACTATTTTATTATAAAAACTATATTGATAAACATTTAATACTATAATAAAACAGATCATAAAAATAAAATAGGGTTATAAGATTGCTAGAGTTATTAAAGCAATAAAAAAGTTTCCAATTAATTCCAAAATATCTAAACAAACTTAATTTGTAGAATTATCACATAAAGATAAATCATTTGAAAATCTATTTATAATTCTTCCAGAAGGATTAATATCAAAATATTATATTGGAGCTTCACTAATAGAATTAAGCATCTTTTTATGAATATTTTAGGTTGTTTTTTATACCTAAATTATATTAAGAAGATACTTAATTAAACAGCATATCATTAATCCAATCACTAAACAGGATAAGATAATGAAAGTTGAATCAGTCTAATTAGATTCTTAATAATATTCAAATAAAGAAATAATTCTTTAGTAAACCATTAATAAAACTTCATGTGTAACTTCAAGTGATATTACTAAAAAAAAAGCTAAACAATTCCAATTTTAGAAGTATCTCAAATAAACAGAAAAATCAATTATTTATTAATTATCAGTTTCTAAAACAATTAGATTTTTTATTTCTGATAATAAAATTCTTTTTCTTCTTTTTTTGATCAATGGTTTGATTTATTTTTAATTATTTGTTGTAGTTTCATTTACTGTTTTCTCTAATTACAATGCTAAATCATTATTAATCATTTCTAAATGATTTTTAATTTGATCATATGATCCTTATGATATTAATTCCCCATGACTTAAAATAATAATTTTATCACATTTGATAGCATATTAAATTTAATGTGTTGCTAAAATAACAATTGGTTTTTATTTATTAGGATGAATAGTAACTTAATATTCAAAAATAAATTATTTAATTGCATTAGTAAAAATATTATCAGCAATACTTGCATCAACAGCTGACAATGGATCATCAAATAAATATAAATCAGCTGTTTGATATAATGCTCTAGCTAAAGATATTCTAGCTTTTTATCCTCCTGATAATGTAACACCTCTTTCACCAATTTCAGTATAATCTCTAAATTTCATTAATTCAAAATCTGCATCTAATGAACATACTTAAGTAACTTTTTAATATAACTCTTTGTTATATTGTTTTCCAAATAAAATATTATTTCTTATAGTATCAGGAAATAAATATGGTTCTTATTCAACATATGCAATTTTTAATGTATTTTATAATGGTTATTAACCATCAATTAACATCATACCTTTATATGTTGGAATTTCACATAATAATGAATGTAAAAGTGTTGATTTTCCACATCCTACTCTTCCAATAATAGCCCATAATTCTCCTTATCTAAAATCTATTGTTAAATTTCTTAAAATTGGTTTATCTTTTTCACATACTTCATGAGACCAATATGCACAAAAATCATTTAATTATATTCTAACATCATCTTTTTAAATCACATTTTTTTCTAATTAATTATCATCAAATTTAACCATAACAAAATTCTTTAGATTTAATACATTTACTATTCTTTCAAATATAACTTTTATTTAAATAAAAGCCTATATTCCATTTGAAACCATATATACACATGATATTTTTAATGAATTTAAAAGTTAAATAGTAGATATCATTTCAGCAACTTTTATTTCAGTTTTAAAGTCACCATAGTATAATACAAGAAAATATAAAATACTAGCCCATATTTATGAAGTCTATGTAAATAATCTATCAACTGCAGTTCTTAAAAATAATTTTAATATACATAAAAATTCACGTTACCTTATTGTCATAACTATCTTTTAAAATGCTTTTTCCCATGCCTACATTTTAATTAATCTTATCCCTTCTACTAATTCATTTGTAATTTTTAATCTTTTATCTTAATTAACTTTAATTTATTTTAATGTTTCTTAATTAAATGATTGTATTAAAATTTAAATTGGATAAGCAATAAATATTATTAATACAGCCCATAATCCAATTATACCATTAAATCTATTCCATAAAATAAAACAAGCAAAAAATAAAGAAATAATAACAACACTACTTGGAAATATCATACTAAACATTTATTCTAATGTGTTAATATCTCCAGATATTAAATTTAATATTTTTCCTATGTTAGCTTACTTAAATGAATATGAATTTAATCCAATTAATTTGATATAAACAAAATTTATTAAACTAAGACGAGCTTTTGTAGAAAAAATCATTGAATAATTAGCAGCATGATGTCTACTTAATAAACATATGAAATTTAATATAATGAGGATTATTCCATACATATGAGAGTTTTATGAGTCATTTTAATATACACTATTTATGACAAAACTCATAATAAAAGAAATCCCGTTTTTTGATATTGTTTCAATGAAATATGCTAAAATACACTTAATCGTTATCCATTTCAGCTCACCTAAGAATATTAATTAAGTTAATATTTTAGATGATATTTCCTAGCTTTCTTAGATTTGATTTTAAGATTTTAATACAAATTGTTTTATATCATCATCTGGCGATAAAGCAGGAAGATGTTTATCAGTAATTTTTAAGTTTTTATCTAAGACTTATCTTTTTAATTGCAATGCATAGGATGTGTATTAAAAAAAAAAAAATTTTGAAATCTTAGAATGATCTTATCCAAGAAAATTTGGATAAAATTTATGTCCATCCTTTTCTGGTCTATCAAATGAGCTTTAAGACAACTCTGAAAGATTTTTGGAACTTTGAAATGGTTCAATTTCTTGATTAACATCTGGATATGTTTATAAATGAATGTTTTTTATAGTAGACATTTCTGGATTCTCAAAATTTGACACTTGATTTCTCTTTAATCTACACTACTATTGACCAGTCTCATTTATATTATTAAAATTCATAAATTTAATATGTTTTCATTTACAATAAATAAATCGGCTTTATGTTCCAAATATATAGAAGATTATCCCCATTTTTATTTATTCAAATTTTACAAACTTTAAGATCACCAATATATCTAATTAATTCATATCAATTCAAAATATGTGAAAATCATTGTATATTATCTCTTTTTAAATCAACCAAACTAACATTTTAATTAAAAATAAAATTTATCGTTTCTCTTTTTTTGTGAATAAACCTATAAATAATTAAAAACTCATTTTCTCCTTTTTTTGAGGAAATTTGAAACATTTTGCCTCATAACTTAGTTTATGTTTTTTTCTTTTAGTTATAATTAACTCAACAATATTTTAAGCTAAAGAAGAGCTCTCTCTGTTAATAAAATAACAATTTTATTAAATGAATAAATATTAAAATGTAACATTTGCCTATATATAGCATTGAAAAGTATCAATGATTTAAATGGTTTAAAATTATTGATTGAAATGATAATTTATTTATACTATATTTCTTATATTTTTGTGAAAAACAATTAAAAAGTATTATTTATTTTTCTTCCTTAAAATTTTATTAAACAATTTTCGACATAAAATTAATGGAAACTATTCTCAATAATAGTTCTAAGTTGTCTTTTTTTTAATATTATATAACATATATGAACAAATAAATTATTTATGAAGACATATTATTTCAATAGATTACTAATGGCTGCAAAATACTAAATTTCTATTGATTATTATATTACATTTTAGGAATCAGCTCAAAATAATGTATTTTTTATTGTAAAAAATTTTTAATTTGTTTATTTCAGGTTTCTATCCATTAGAAATGCTATTTTATTAAATCATAAAAAAAAAATATTTTTTTAATTAAATTATATATCATAATGTCTTTCAATGATGATTTTAAGCCAGAGATTCCATTTTCGTCAACTATTTCACCTGATGCAGACAATTTTGAGGAGGAGTTACCTTAATCTTAAGAACATATATAATTAACTAAATTTCAGACAAAAATTTCAAATGAAATCGAAGATAAAATAATTTCTTTTTACTACTTAAATACCGAATAAAAAGTTCCAATTTCAAAAATAGAGTTATCAAAACAAATAAACATTATTTTAGAAAACAAATAATACATCGCTTCTGACTTAAATATTAAAAATAATCTTTAAAAATAAGTAATCAATTTAATTTTAAAGCTAATATATAAAACTACTTAAAATGAATTAATCAAATCTATTTTAGAAGAAGAAGCTAGAAATATCTACCTTGATTGGTTCAAATTAATAGTAACGACTTAAAAATTTAAAGAGGGAAATGATCAATTAAATAAACTTTATGAGCTTAACAAACATCCAAAATATATAGCTTGGCTTTAAAAATAAAAAAAAGAAAATAAAAATTTATTCATGTTTAACATTACATTTTTCAATGAATGTTTGAAAAAAGTATAATGTTAAATAAAAATTCAAAATTCCACTTAATTTGATGATTTAGAGTATTAAATATATGCTATCAAAAATTATTTAAAGTTTGTTAAGGGAACAGAAGAATAATAACAAGATATTGAATTCCTAGAACTTCAAATATGTGCTTTTGAATAAGTTATTTTAGAAATATTAAAAGAAAAGTTTTCTACGATTAAAGAAAAGAAATAATCTAAAATAAAAAGAACTGTAAATTTTAACAATGAGAATTTAATCAATCTTTTAAAATAACCAAAATTTATGATGGAATTTGATGATCTACTTTAAATATTACAAAGGAAAGATTAGGAAATCACTTATGAAAAGTAAATACTAAAATTAGAAACTGATGAATAAATTAAGAATTTTAATTTATGTTTAGATAAAAAAAAAAAAAAAATTTTTAAAATACCACCATGTTCCAAAAAGGTAAAATTAAATTAAAATAATTAATATGCAAAAGTGTATTTAAGTCTTGAATTTCAAGACTAATATGAAAATAATGAGTCCCAGTTTGAACCAGACGAATAATAATAACAATAAGTTAAATCTGATGAAGAACAATGAAAATCATACAAGTTAAAATAAATATAAAAAATATCAAAATAAATATAAATATACAATTTAAACGTATTTAATAATATAAAGAGAATAATGTTCAATATCTATTAATATTTTGATAGTTAGAATCTAAATCTTGAATTGATTACTCATATTCAAAATTTCATCAAAATCGATAGAGAAAAGTTCTGAAAAGAAAGATTGTGAAGATTAAATATATGGTAGATTCAAATAATTATTTTACACTTGTCTCATTATTATTAATATAATTAATATATAGTACTACTCGCTTTGAGATATGAAAGATCTTCACTAAGAAAGTTAAGAAATAACAATAACTTATAATGCAAATGAGAATAAAATAAAAAAATTCTAAAAATAGATCTAGAATTGAAATAATTATATAAAGTGGATGATTTAAATTTAATTTATCTCAAGGAGTAGCAATCATCCATATTTCATTACAATTCTCATTTTTCTATCTATTTGCTTTAAAAAAAATGAGGTTATAATGATAGATTGTTAAAAATATAAAAAAGAGAGATAAGTTTAATTTTTAGTTGAATTTTAAAGAGTGGCAATCAAATCTATTATAATAATATAGATATAGTATTTCTTAAATTAGAGATTTAAAATGGATTATTTAATTTAATTTAAAATAATCATTTATATTTATTTAATGAAAGATCATACCATTTCGTTGAAATCTCTAAATAATCGAACTATGACATCGATCAAAAGTAGGACGAGAGATATTTCGCATCTTACTGATAGTCAAATCAGTGCTCGATTTTAGGAACATATTAAATAGAAATAGTTAGTTGGTGAACTTAATTTATAATAATATGTATAATAATAGAGGATCAGAAAATAAAATTAAGCATATCTTAATAATCAATTAAGAGTTAAGACAGAAGAGAAATTAGAATCTCCTTCGGATTAATTGAATGATAATTAAATCTTACCTATTTTAGAATAAATCTCAGAACTTAATTTCGAACAAATTACTTAAGGATTGTCTTAAGAAAATGATCGTAGTCATATCTTAACTTCTCTTAAATAATCATTATTCAAAGCAATTAATTCTACTCCTACATTAGTTTCTCTTAAGTAGTAATCTAGTAGTTTTTTTTCAGCCTAACCTACTGGACGAAGAGATGTAATCATGCTTAAATAATGGTTTATGAACTTTATGGAATCTATTCAGTAATCAAATAGGGATTTTAAAGATAAATTAATATCTTTATCTGAAGCACTTCATTTGTGTCTGCTAGAAATTATTAGATAAATATCATATTAATGTGCTGAAAGAGGATAACTACTTCATTCCTTAGTTAAAGGTTATATTTTAGTATTTCATAAACATTTTATGATAAAAGAATAAGAAAAAAGAATTTTAAAATTTTAATTATTTGAGAGAGATATTAATGAAACCAAACAAAAAGAAGAAATGGAAATTCGATCATAAGTCTAAATAAATTAATTAAAATAAGAATTAGATATGTTGAAGTAAAAAGAAAATATTATAAATTCAGAACGTATTAGTTATTAATAAACTATCAACAAATTATAGAATAAAATCAATTTATAACAGACCATATAAAAAAGTGCAGCAAATATGATTGGTAATTTGTAGAGGGAAATAGATCAATTAAAGCATTAGTTATCAAAAAAGAATTAACATAAGTATTCTTCAATGAATAAATCAGATGAAGAGGAATAAGATTTATCATTATCTTAAGTACTTAAAGAATTGAATCAACAAAATAAATATGAATAGATTTAAGATGTAATAGTAAAAGATGCAATAGAAGTATTACCTGTTGTTTGTCATAGTATTGGTATTTAAACATTTTAGAAATGTCTCTGTGTTATAGAGACACAAACAGATTTATAATTAATGTCTCCTTAATATGATAAGTTTTTATCTATTTAAGAAATAGAAAATACATTTAAAGAATTTGAACTTAAATAATAATTAGAATAATAGAGTTGGTTAGATGGACTATGTGATCAAATGAATATGCATCAAGATGAAGCTTCAATTAATGATTACGAAAGTAGAGGCATTACGAAAATTGATAGAATATTTGAGGTACCAGAAAATGATGAAGGATCTCCAGATATGTTAAGTAAAAAGAAATAAGATTTCATTTAAGATAAAAGATAACATTTTGATAGATCAGAAACATCTGAAAAAATAATCAAAGATATAGATAAGATTGGTTCAGATAGACTATTAAATGTTAAATAAGTAGTGTAATAAACATCAAGTTCTAATAATACTCAATAAAACTCATAATAAACATCATAAAAATTAATTAAATTATCACCCTAAGCCAGTATCTAATTAAATTAAACTAATACTTGTAAAACTGACACTGCTAAGTCTAATCAAAAGTAGCAAACTCCCTTATAACAATCCTAAGTACCAATAAATACCTAACGATATTTCCCATCAAATGAAAATTAAGATAAAAAAAATATTAATTCTCAAGAAAAATAGGTATAAAAGAAAAAAAGGATGAGTATTTCATAATAATTAGGTTAATAATAATAATAATCATAATAATAATCATAATAATTTAATAATGCAATTCTTATTGATTAGAATGATAAAATAGAATCTAATTAATAACCTAACTTATCAAAATAATAAACTACTATGTTGATGTTACTTTATTAAATATAAAAGTAAAAAGCATAGAATGCAACAGCTAAAATGAATGAAACGAATGAATTATTAACATAAGTATTACTATTTGCAAGAAAATTAACTGTTCATATATTGAAAACTTAATTTAAAACACATACTTAAATTGCTGAAGAATTTTTATTTGAATTTGAATCTTTAAGAAAGAAAATTTAAAATGATAAGGAAATTTTAGAGGAAGAATATGTATTAGATGAAGAGAAAGAAAAGGAAGAGAAAAAGCAAGAGGCAATGAAGAGAAGGAAAGGAAAAATATAGAGAGCATTAAGATTAAATTTTGCTACAAGATAAATGAAGCAAATACCAACAATAGATAGATTAACTCATCCTGGAGTATTATTGGCTATAAAAGCAAGAGATTAATCACATTTATTTAAAAAGGTTGTTGCTTATTGGCCAGTTAAGAATGTATTAAGAACAATATCTCAAATATATTTAGAAAAAACATCTTTTGGAGGTGAAGCTGATATGCAAATTTTTGTATTCAATTTCTTACTAAATAAATATGGTTTTAAACATGTAGCAGAAAAAAAATATTTATAGTTTCTATTATCAGTAATTCATTTTAGTCAAATTTTCAGAGTTAATTTATTTGCTAGATTATTATGTCTATTACATGATGAACATCTAAATTTCACATAAGAAGAATCAGCATTTCTATTATCAGGATTAGAATATATTCATAGTCAAACTAGTCTTGGTGCCAACATTGTTTAAGGTGATAGCGAATCTAAATTCTATATACCTTATTTAAGAGCTTTAGAGTAAATTTATAATATATGTTATAGTTATATAAAAATGCATCTTGAAAATAAGTTAACTGAGGATGAAATTAAAGAACTAAGAGGGGATTTAGATAACCTAAAAGAAAGTGATCCTAAAAATAAATCAGGTATAGTTGATTTAGATTTATTTATGTCAAAGGTTTTAGATAAATATAGAAATGTTACTCATAGAACTAAATTATTTGTTATTCATGCTTTTTAAGCAGCTGATTTAGATGGTAATAAGAAAATCAATCATAATGAATTTTTGACTTTGTTTAGACATATAGAAAGTGATAAATTTAATTTCTAAGATGCATTAGATTTATTTGATGAATAGGCTGATATTATTCATTAAGGTGAGAAGAATTTATCATTTAATCGATTCACGTCGGTTTGTGTAAATCAATAAATTTTCACTGAAAATGCTCTTAATGATTTTATTGGCAAAGAAGCAAATATTGAATAGATATTTGATAATGTAGTAAAAACATGGAGTTAATACAAATCAGAGGTTCAAGGTTTATTAACTCAGTTATAACCATTTGTGACATAGGAAATATACTAAGAATGGGTGAATATTTTATTCACATTAGAAAAGAGAATTCTACATTAGAAAACAGATTACTAAAATGTAAGACCTATTCTAATAGCTCATAAAATATTAAAGTTAGAATTGATAAGATTGTTGGATGAGGATGAATAAAATTAGAATAAAGATTGAATATAATATCAGTTAAATACTTAATTTAGAAATTGATAATATAATATATCTTATTTTAGTATCTTAGAATTTTTATGAAAAAATTCAACTTAAAATTATATACATATAAAATATAATTAAAATGTTTATTTGGATACTATTCATTTTAATGCTTCCTTTATTGTGGATAATCTTATATCCATTATGTATTTGTTACTTCTACAAATTCAAACATGGAAAGAAGGTTTATGTGTTATATTTTCCCTTATTGGGTTAATTTAAATATCGAATCGATGGTATAAAATTTAATAAAGATGTAATTCATTTTAAAAGAAATATTGCTTATAATCATCCAGAAGTAGAATTGATTATAACTCATATTTTCAGTAGACCATACTTTATTTTTATAAAGCCTGAAAAAGTGAAAGAAATGTTATACAATTATACAAATTATAAAAAGAGAACAGATGAGATATTTAGAGATATTATAGCATGTTAAGGATTAGTATATGCAGAAGGTTAAAGATGGAAAGATTAAAAACGAGAACTGTCTGATTTTTTTACTTTTGAATCTTTATCTTCAAAGATAACAGTTATAAAAATGCTAATCTAAGAAATATTGTAATTTAAAGAGAATGAAAGAGTTAATATAATAAAATAGTGTGCAAGAATAGCATCAAGAACTATGTAAATCTGCTTTTTTAATCAAATGAAAGATGAATAAATTAATGGATAACATTTGAGTGAAGAATTTTAAGATCTTGGAAAATAATTCATATATGTAAGTTATTATAAATATAATAGACTACTTATGGTAGTTTAATTCATTAGATGAGAAGTTTTTTGGAATAAAATCTTTATCTACAATGAAAAGTTATTTTATGACATCTTCAGAGAAGCATTTTCTATAAAGAGTATATGGCGTAAGAAATTATATTAATAATTTGATTGATAATTATAAGAAAGGTTAAGAAAAAGATGTATTTTCAATTTTATTAAGAACTCCTTTGACCTAAGAAGTTAGAGAAAAGATTATACATTAATATATTACATTTGTATTTGCTGGAATGGATACAACATCTCATTAAGCAGGAATGTCTATTTATATGTTAGGAAAATATCCATCAATTTAATAGAAACTTAGAGAAGAATTAAATAAGATTAATTTTGATGAAGTTGATTAGAAGTTATTAAATTAACTACCTTTATTAAATGCTTTTCTTAATGAGTGTCTTAGAACTTAGACTCCAGTCGATGGAATAATACCAAGATTAGCTGTTAAAGATCATTATGTTGGAGAATATTTAATAAAAAAAGATTGGTATGTAGATGCAGGATTATAGCCTATGATGACTCATCCATAGTATTTTGAGAATCATTTAGATTTTAATTTAGAAAGATGGTTGTTGAATCCACAAGTTTAGGATGCATTCTTACCATTTTCATCTGGACCGAGAAATTGTTTAGGATAACATTTAGCAAAGATTGAAATCAAATTAATCCTAATTTATGTTTTGAAAACTTATTAAATTATTTTAGATGATTAAACTGATCTTGTTATGGAATGTAATTTTCATTATGCTCCTGCAGATGATAGATTAGTCAAATTCATTAGAATATGATTATCTTATAAAATAATAAGTTGATCATCTAAATAATTTATTTTTACTCATATTGAAGTTCTCTTAATCTTATACTAATAACCAAATTTTTTAAGTATCAAAAAGTTTTATATAGCTTTCTTCAAATCTGTTTATTTAATTTATTTTCAAAATCTTGTCTACCATCAAATATAACATTATTTATTCATTTATTCTTAAAAAATGTTATTATTATTCATATTTCTCATTATAAGTTCTAATTCTTCTGATTAATTATACACTTCTAATTGTTAAATAGCAATATGAATAATATATCTTAAGTTTTTTTGTTATTTTCTTTTCTTCATTTAGTCATAGATAAAGCCAAATCCTTTCTTTATTCCATCTTTACAACCTCTTTTATTTTCAACACCATATAGAATATAACTTTCATCACATAAATCAATCTGTAATTTTTCACTTTTTTATTATAACATTAAAATGCTTTATACTAACTTTGTATTTGAATTCAGCTTTTCTCAAACTTTCAATTATTATATAATAATTTCTATGGCATTCTATAATCTAATACTTTATTACTTTTAGTTATTTAATATTACAACTATCTATAAGATTTGTATTTAAAAGAAATACTAACCTAGCTATATAATCAGAGTAAGATATAAGAATTTATGATTACTCACTACTGATTCCAATGAGTTCAATTCATCAGTAAGTATGTATCCTAATTATATAGAGACTTCAAATTATTCTTTTTCTTACTCGTCTCTTTAATTTGTTACTATAGATTTTAGTTTTTAACTTCATTTTTAGATTTCTACTAAATTTATTTATTTAGATCAATAATCTTTTTCTGATATTTCTTTATTATTATCTAAACTTCAGTTATCTTTGTCATTATTTTTATTATATTTTTATCATTAGCTATTCCCTTTCTACTTTTATCTTCTTTATTATATTTAAGATCGTCTTTATCTTCATTTTTATAATGAGCATTTTTTATATTTTCTCTTAAATCAAAATCTTTGTTTTCTTCCTCATATTATATTTTTTCATTCTGGATCCTTATGTTTTTCTAATTATCTATATTCATAAATTGATAATTTAGTATATCTAATTTTACCATCATAGAATTTTTATGAAAAAATTCAACTTAAAATTATATACATATAAAATATAATTAAAATGTTTATTTGGATACTATTCATTTTAATGCTTCCTTTATTGTGGATAATCTTATATCCATTATGTATTTGTTACTTCTACAAATTCAAACATGGAAAGAAGGTTTATGTGTTATATTTTCCCTTATTGGGTTAATTTAAATATCGAATCGATGGTATAAAATTTAATAAAGATGTAATTCATTTTAAAAGAAATATTGCTTATAATCATCCAGAAGTAGAATTGATTATAACTCATATTTTCAGTAGACCATACTTTATTTTTATAAAGCCTGAAAAAGTGAAAGAAATGTTATACAATTATACAAATTATAAAAAGAGAACAGATGAGATATTTAGAGATATTATAGCATGTTAAGGATTAGTATATGCAGAAGGTTAAAGATGGAAAGATTAAAAACGAGAACTGTCTGATTTTTTTACTTTTGAATCTTTATCTTCAAAGATAACAGTTATAAAAATGCTAATCTAAGAAATATTGTAATTTAAAGAGAATGAAAGAGTTAATATAATAAAATAGTGTGCAAGAATAGCATCAAGAACTATGTAAATCTGCTTTTTTAATCAAATGAAAGATGAATAAATTAATGGATAACATTTGAGTGAAGAATTTTAAGATCTTGCAAAATATTTCATATATGTAAGTTATTATAAATATAATAGACTACTTATGGTAGTTTAATTCATTAGATGAGATGTTTTTTTGGAATAAAATCTTTATCTACAATGAAAAGTTATTTTATGACATCTTCAGAGAAGCATTTTCTATAAAGAGTATATGGCGTAAGAAATTATATTAATAATTTGATTGATAATTATAAGAAAGGTTAAGAAAAAGATGTATTTTCAATTTTATTAAGAACTCCTTTGACCTAAGAAGTTAGAGAAAAGATTATACATTAATATATTACATTTGTATTTGCTGGAATGGATACAACATCTCATTAAGCAGGAATGTCTATTTATATGTTAGGAAAATATCCATCAATTTAATAGAAACTTAGAGAAGAATTAAATAAGATTAATTTTGATGAAGTTGATTAGAAGTTATTAAATTAACTACCTTTATTAAATGCTTTTCTTAATGAGTGTCTTAGAACTTAGACTCCAGTCGATGGAATAATACCAAGATTAGCTGTTAAAGATCATTATGTTGGAGAATATTTAATAAAAAAAGATTGGTATGTAGATGCAGGATTATAGCCTATGATGACTCATCCATAGTATTTTGAGAATCATTTAGATTTTAATTTAGAAAGATGGTTGTTGAATCCACAAGTTTAGGATGCATTCTTACCATTTTCATCTGGACCGAGAAATTGTTTAGGATAACATTTAGCAAAGATTGAAATCAAATTAATCCTAATTTATGTTTTGAAAACTTATTAAATTATTTTAGATGATTAAACTGATCTTGTTATGGAATGTAATTTTCATTATGCTCCTGCAGATGATAGATTAGTCAAATTCATTAGAATATGATTATCTTATAAAATAATAAGTTGATCATCTAAATAATTTATTTTTACTCATATTGAAGTTCTCTTAATCTTATACTAATAACCAAATTTTTTAAGTATCAAAAAGTTTTATATAGCTTTCTTCAAATCTGTTTATTTAATTTATTTTCAAAATCTTGTCTACCATCAAATATAACATTATTTATTCATTTATTCTTAAAAAATGTTATTATTATTCATATTTCTCATTATAAGTTCTAATTCTTCTGATTAATTATACACTTCTAATTGTTAAATAGCAATATGAATAATATATCTTAAGTTTTTTTGTTATTTTCTTTTCTTCATTTAGTCATAGATAAAGCCAAATCCTTTCTTTATTCCATCTTTACAACCTCTTTTATTTTCAACACCATATAGAATATAACTTTCATCACATAAATCAATCTGTAATTTTTCACTTTTTTATTATAACATTAAAATGCTTTATACTAACTTTGTATTTGAATTCAGCTTTTCTCAAACTTTCAATTATTATATAATAATTTCTATGGCATTCTATAATCTAATACTTTATTACTTTTAGTTATTTAATATTACAACTATCTATAAGATTTGTATTTAAAAGAAATACTAACCTAGCTATATAATCAGAGTAAGATATAAGAATTTATGATTACTCACTACTGATTCCAATGAGTTCAATTCATCAGTAAGTATGTATCCTAATTATATAGAGACTTCAAATTATTCTTTTTCTTACTCGTCTCTTTAATTTGTTACTATAGATTTTAGTTTTTAACTTCATTTTTAGATTTCTACTAAATTTATTTATTTAGATCAATAATCTTTTTCTGATATTTCTTTATTATTATCTAAACTTCAGTTATCTTTGTCATTATTTTTATTATATTTTTATCATTAGCTATTCCCTTTCTACTTTTATCTTCTTTATTATATTTAAGATCGTCTTTATCTTCATTTTTATAATGAGCATTTTTTATATTTTCTCTTAAATCAAAATCTTTGTTTTCTTCCTCATATTATATTTTTTCATTCTGGATCCTTATGTTTTTCTAATTATCTATATTCATAAATTGATAATTTAGTATATCTAATTTTACCATCATAGAATTTTTATGAAAAAATTCAACTTAAAATTATATACATATAAAATATAATTAAAATGTTTATTTGGATACTATTCATTTTAATGCTTCCTTTATTGTGGATAATCTTATATCCATTATGTATTTGTTACTTCTACAAATTCAAACATGGAAAGAAGGTTTATGTGTTATATTTTCCCTTATTGGGTTAATTTAAATATCGAATCGATGGTATAAAATTTAATAAAGATGTAATTCATTTTAAAAGAAATATTGCTTATAATCATCCAGAAGTAGAATTGATTATAACTCATATTTTCAGTAGACCATACTTTATTTTTATAAAGCCTGAAAAAGTGAAAGAAATGTTATACAATTATACAAATTATAAAAAGAGAACAGATGAGATATTTAGAGATATTATAGCATGTTAAGGATTAGTATATGCAGAAGGTTAAAGATGGAAAGATTAAAAACGAGAACTGTCTGATTTTTTTACTTTTGAATCTTTATCTTCAAAGATAACAGTTATAAAAATGCTAATCTAAGAAATATTGTAATTTAAAGAGAATGAAAGAGTTAATATAATAAAATAGTGTGCAAGAATAGCATCAAGAACTATGTAAATCTGCTTTTTTAATCAAATGAAAGATGAATAAATTAATGGATAACATTTGAGTGAAGAATTTTAAGATCTTGGAAAATAATTCATATATGTAAGTTATTATAAATATAATAGACTACTTATGGTAGTTTAATTCATTAGATGAGAAGTTTTTTGGAATAAAATCTTTATCTACAATGAAAAGTTATTTTATGACATCTTCAGAGAAGCATTTTCTATAAAGAGTATATGGCGTAAGAAATTATATTAATAATTTGATTGATAATTATAAGAAAGGTTAAGAAAAAGATGTATTTTCAATTTTATTAAGAACTCCTTTGACCTAAGAAGTTAGAGAAAAGATTATACATTAATATATTACATTTGTATTTGCTGGAATGGATACAACATCTCATTCAGCAGGAATGTCTATTTATATGTTAGGAAAATATCCATCAATTTAATAGAAACTTAGAGAAGAATTAAATAAGATTAATTTTGATGAAGTTGATTAGAAGTTATTAAATTAACTACCTTTATTAAATGCTTTTCTTAATGAGTGTCTTAGAACTTAAACGCCAAGTGATGGAATTATACCTAGATTAGCTGTTAAAGATCATTATGTTGGAGAATATTTAATAAAAAAAGATTGGTATGTAGATGCAGGATTATAGCCTATGATGACTCATCCATAGTATTTTGAGAATCATTTAGATTTTAATATAGAAAGATGGTTAAATCTAAAAGATTAAGAAGCATTCTTACCTTTTTCATATGGACCGAGAAATTGTTTAGGATAACATTTAGCCAAGATTGAAATCAAATTAATCCTAATCTATGTTTTGAAAACTTATTAAATTATTTTAGATGATTAAACTGATCTTGTTATGGAATGTAATTTCCTTTATGCCCCTGCAGATGATAGATTAGTCAAATTTATTAGAATATGATTATCTTATAAAATAATAAGTTGATCATCTAAATAATTTATTTTTACTCATATTGAAGTTCTCTTAATCTTATACTAATAACCAAATTTTTTAAGTATCAAAAAGTTTTATATAGCTTTCTTCAAATCTGTTTATTTAATTTATTTTCAAAATATTGTCTACCATCAAATATAACATTATTTATTCATTTATTCTTAAAAAATGTTATTATTATTCATATTTCTCATTATAAGTTCTAATTCTTCTGATTAATTATATACTTCTAATTGTTAAATAGCAATATGAATAATATATCTAAAGTTTTTTTTGTTATTTTCTTTTCTTCGTTTAGTCATAGATAAAGCCAAATCCTTTCTTTATTCCATCTTTACAACCTCTTTTATTCTCAAGTTCATATATTTCAACTAAACAATTCATAATTAAGAAATTCTATCATAATATGAGAGTCAATTAATGAATAAAATACTAAAAACTTTAGAAGTTGAAATTATTAAACAGTTTATGAAGTTTATAAAGTTTGAAAAAAGAAAATCTAGAAAATGAAGAGTAAATAAATAATGTAAATAGATGATATAATTTATAATATATGATTATATATATAAAATGAAAAATATTAGTTAAGTTTAAAGTCAGGAATATTTTCAGAAAAAAAGTGCAAAATCAGCTTCTCTTACAAAAAGATTTTCTGAAAGAGTAAGTACTCCTTCATAGTGGTTTTTAGGAAAAGGGATGGAACAATAGGATTATTATTTCTGAATAGATTCTAGGAGTTATTCCTAGAGAATATTCAAATAAAAAAATTTTGCCATAAATAAAAGGTGGAACAGCCTCAATTGTGTAGAAATATATATAAATGCATAAAAATTAATAAGAACTTGAATATCTGGTTGAGTGTGAACAAAAAATATTCGAAACTAAATTAGAGTAAGTTAGGCAAGTACATAAATTATATAATGTTCCAAAAATACACTAAGTACATTTATGATGTTATAGGTAGAATGTTTTTAATGAGATTTTGAGTTCTTCAAACGATAAATTAAAAGTTTTAGAGGAGGAACTTAAATTGATGGATTAGAAATTATCTCCAATATTACATTGTATTTTTACAATAACAGCTAGAGAGAATTGTTTAAATTTAATATAGAATTAATTAAGGTAATAAAAATAGGAAGAGAAGGAAAAATTAATGGAACTTATTTATGATTATCGAATATTATCATTAAATACATTAGAAAGTATAGTGAAATGGTAATAATATGTTGAGAATAAGAATATCTGTATTTAATTTAGTTTAGATGATGATGATATTGGATATTGTCAAAGATTCTATTCAGATTATGAAATATTGAGACCATAATTAATAAAATTCATTGAAGTATCAGAATCATCTGATCCCTTTTTTGTTAAATAACTTGGAAGTAATTAAACAAAATTGTATGCAAGAGTAAGAAGGGCAGAAGTTGAATTATTGAATTTGGTTTATAAAAATAATTATTTAAAATGAGAAAACAAACAGAGTATGAACTTTACAAACCTTAAAATTGCTTTGAGAAGATTCTTTTGGAAAGGTGTATTCAGTTGAATGATTTTAAAATTAGTAGAATAGATACATAAGAATAATATGTCATTAGGGGTTACTAAATATGTGGATTTAGCAACTATGACACCTTAAGAGAAACAATGAATTTAATAGTCAAAAATGCTTGAATTTTTATAGCATTCAAATATTGTAGGGATATAAAGAAGTTTAGAGAATTAAAAAGGACACTTAAGTCTTATTATGGAATATGTAGATGGTATATTTGAGAATTTAAGCAGGTGGTCATTTGGCTTAATAAGTAAATGAAGCTAAAGGAAATTTATACCTGAAACTCTCATTTTAAATTGGTTTATATAGATCTGTTAAGTTATTTAATATGTTCACAATAGGAAAATCATTAAAAGAGATTTAAAATGCAAAAATATTTTCTTAACTAAAAAAGGTTTAGTTAAATTAGGAGCTTTTAGTCAAGCTAGAATTTTCAAACAAAACTATTGAAAAAGCTAAAATTATGGTTGTTACTACATTATACTATTATAATACGAGTCTTAATATCATTTATGGAAAGCCATATACATTTATGCCAGATATCTGGTCTTCAGAAGTTATAATGAAAGAACTTTGTGCTTTATAACACCATTTAGACGATTATTAATTACTTAATTGCTTTAAGTAGATTTTAGACGTAGACCAATTATTCAGAATATTTTGAGTAAAGATTATTTTAATCTGTAGAAATGCCTGTTATTTTTATTAGAATCAAACGTTATCTAATTAAAACTACTTTATAATAAGTATTGTTATGCAAAACAAAATTATCAATCCTACAATGCTCTACTAGTATCGTATATCGAAGTAGAGATGAAGATGAATCAAACGATAGAAATAATAAGAAACATAAATAAATTTGATGCTAGAGTTCATATATTAACACAATTAAAGCAACACTATTCTTCATAAAATTGAAACATCAATAAGTGAAGAGAAAATGAAAACTTTATCGATCTCTTATTTTCTAATGTAATTGATTCTTTTAATTTAAAAGTTAAAAAAGATTGTCCTTGACATATGAAAATAAAAGTATGGCACCGATTATGAAAATAAATTTCCATTTTTAACATTGGAAGAAAGAAATTAATATGGACCACTTCTTCTAACTCATATAATTTAAATTAGACTAGTAATTAAAATCCTTCTTTTAAATTTAAAAAATTCGTTTTACTGTATTTAATATATATATAAATTTTTGTTTTAATGAATAAAAAAAATTCGAGCTTGGCAGTACTCGAAACTGCAACCGCCTGATCCGTAGTCAGGCGCACTACCAATTGTGCTACAAGCCCATGTTATGTATTTATTGAATCATTGAAATATAAACTATACCATTAATAAATATTAAAGTATCTTTTTAAATTTTAGATTTTAATTAGTTTCAAAAATCTTTAAAATTTAAATATAATATACTTGTATTTATTGCGATACTATTATATATTTTTCATCGAAGACATTTAAATTCTATAATCAGACTTAAGTAAAGAAATAATTACATGAAATTTTTAACTTTAATACTCTACTTATGATCCTAATGTTGGAAGTCCTTCTTCTTAATATTCAATTTGTACAATTAAAATTAATTCTTTCTAAATTTTTAATACTTCAGTTAGATACTTAGTAACAACATCATTAATCAACATAACTTCTACTTTGATAGCTGCCAAGAAGGCTAAGTAATTATAAATTATTTTTATTTTTTTATGCACTCTTGACAAAGGAGTAGCAGCAATTTAAATAATAATATTTCCTCTTTCAGATATTGATTGTTATTATTTATAAATAAGAAGATCTTATGCTTTGGCATGATAATAAATTTACGTGGCTAACATTTTTTTGGTTAAATTGGATAAATGATGGATATAAATTTAATTTGGAATCATTTGTAGATTCCCTTTGTATAAAAAGAAACAAATTAAAAATTCTTCAATTAATGATAAAATGCTCATCATCTTTAAATTTTTTTCTACTATCTTCTTGTTTTAAATAAATGTTAATTTATTAAATCAATTTTTTTAAATGTTATTTTCGTTGAGATAATTTAAATAAAGAAAAATATTTTCATTAATACTACCCTCTCTATCAAGATTAATTTTGTTGTTTTCAATTAAAATTTTCTAAGAAGCTCACAATGATATCTACAATTATTATAACTTATTTCTTAGATAATTTGGAATATCCATCAAAAAAAGAGTCCCATAACTATAGATTTGAGTGTTTTATCATTTTAAAGAAATTCACTGATTCTAAACGATATGAGACAAATTCATATTGTTTATTTATTTTTCCATTAAACCATATTTGTGGCAGAATTCATAATGAATACCATTTATAAATATTACGTTTATTTATTAAGAGTTTCTGGATTCTTTTATTATGAGAATAAAATATAACTTAACATCTATATACTTTATTTCATACAAATGTTGCTTTTTTTAATTATTAGAATGAATTTCATAATTTCTTAATTCAACTTTGTAATTTAAATCGTAATCAAATGTTTTAGATCTGATAAAAACCAGAATGCCTAAATATCTATTTGTGTTTCTCTTCATATGATTATGAACTATGAATTATGTTTGAAGGTTTAAGAGGAATTTCAATTTCTACATACATGATTTGGTATTTTCTTAAGATTAAATTTTTAATGAATTCGTCAAAACTATATCTAATAATATCCATATTACTCTTCCTCAAACCTTATTATTTAAAATGATTTTATTTTCTGAATTTTATTCTGGCAACAACCAATTATAAAAATAATCTGCCTTTTCTTACACATTTCCAACTAGTCTAATTAAACATTTAAAACTGATTTAGATCCTAAAAATTAACACCGATTTAATTTTTTTGTTTTCATCATATTAACAAATTTAGTCTAATTTATTTCCTACTTCAATTTTACACTTTTTGCTCACTATTTCTTTTATAGAATATATCTTACATCATCTGTATAAATTTTTTTCTTGATATTTGCTTAATTTTGTGGCTTTTTTCCTTTGTCGAATTTACATGAGTTGAGTATGTCTCTAATTTTTTAACAATAAAATATAATTCTTATTAACAAGTTAAGTTACATTGATTAATGAATTATTTTTGACAATTTAAAATTTTATTCATTGCAAGATGATACTTAAAATAAACATAAAATTATTAAGCTTCTTCATCATTTTACAAATGAATCTAACGCCAAAGGATTTTGTTATTGTATTACCTTTCTATCCAAAATTAGTTTTTGATAATAAACATTACCTTTATGTAACAATCCAAAAATACTTCCTTTTTTATTAAATGGATAATCTAGAAGTTATACACCAAGAGATAGAACATTTTAAGAGGGAATTTGTAATGGTAAATCTTATGGACCTTCGTCAATATATTTTTAGAGTTGTTCTTTAAATTTTTAATCAGCATTTCCTACTTATATTTTACTTTCTTCATTAAATTTTATTATATTAAAAGCACCAACTATATTTTATATATATTTTTTAATTTAACCAATTTTTTTGATTTCTTTCTTATAACAATTCATTAATTATATAATGTAAGTGTAGAAAAAAAGTCAATAGTAATCGTTTGCAGAATATGTTAAATAAATAACTAGTTAATCTGTTAATAGATTGTAACAAACATCTACAAAACAGTTTCGATAGACAAATCTTCCTTAATTATTAAGTGATATTGATAGATCACCATATATGATGACCAGTTTAGACAAAGCTAAATTTCCTTAGGTGGCTAAGATGAGCAAAACTTCCTATTTGAATTATAGTTCAACAGAACATAAGAATTTTGAAGATTTGGCATCCAAATTTGTTAAGCAGTTAGGATAACATACAACCAGAATCGAAAAGGACACTCCAAGAATTAATTTGATGCGCTTTTAGTTAAACATCTAAAAGTCAAAGAGACATCTATTGAGAAAGAGTCCAATGCCATTCTGATTTACATAATACTTAATAGTGATATCTATCTAAACTATTATAAACAATATATCAGAGAATTGTAATCTTTTTTTGAAGGCTCAAGGTCAAATGACTAGCCATTTGAAATATCATCATAAATATATTTAATTTAATTAAATTATTTAAAATAGCAAACACCAGTATGACAGATTTCGCATTAACAACATTTAGTAGTAAAGGAAAACTATTATAAATTGAATATGCACTTAATGCAGTTGCAAAAGGTGATACAGCAATAGGAATTAAAGCTAAAAATGGTGTAGTTTTGGTAGTAGAGAAGAAGCAATCATCAATATTGGTTGAAGAATAAAGTGTTCAAAAGATTGCCCCTTTGACAGATAATATAGCTGCGACTTATGCAGGATTGGGTCCTGATTTTAGAGTTTTATCATAATAAGCAAGAAAATTAGTGAAGAAATATGATTTAAAATATCAAGAGGAAATATTTGTATAAACATTAAGTAGAGAATTGGCAGAAGTAAAAAATGTATATAATAAATTAGGATGTATAAGTGGCAACTTAAAGAGGTGGTATTAGACCATTTGGAGTATCAATTTTAATAGGAGGATATGATGAAGAAGGTCCTCATTTAGTTTAACTTGATCCAAGTGGTGCTTATTATAGTTGGAAGGCTACAGCAATTGGAAAGTAAGCAAAGAATGCAAAGGCATTTTTAGAAAAAAGATATAATGCTGATATGGAAATTGAAGATGCAATTAATACAGCATTATTGACTTTGAAGGAGGGTTTTGAAGGTATTAATAAAAGTTTAATTTGTAGGCCAAATAACACCAACAAATATAGAAGTTGGAGTAATCAGAGATGATCATGTATTTAGAATATTACCTCCATCATAAGTAAAGGATTATTTGGAAGAGTTAGAATGATAATATATTATTATTAATATGAATTTTCAAGAACAACTTTTATAAATTATTTAAGGAATATTCTCTTAAGACAATTAGAGTAGAAAATAGGGGGAAGATCTATTGGCCTAACTTAGAGTAGCATAACCAAATGAATTTGTAATACAAATGCTCAATCTTTGTAGACATTAGGAATTAAAAATTAGATAATTTGCTCCTGTTTATTTAAGATACAGTTTATCCAAATTTGCACCAAAGAGTCATCATAATATTTGGAATTAATTGAGTTTAGAAACTAAAGAAATTGTAAAATTAAATTTATTCTAATTGATTGAAGTGGAAAATAGTCACATTGTCAGAAATTAATTATGTGATATTATAGGAGAAATTGGAGGATCTCTATATTAAGATCAAAATCATAATGAATGGCCAAATCTTTTACCAATTTTATGGCAGATGTTTTTATCACCTAAAAGTGATATAATCGAATGTGGTTTTAAGATTCTTGGCAATCTTTTTATATATTCTATAGATCAATTCGATAAACATTAGCAAGATCTTCATACTTTGTTTGTTTAAGGATTGGCAAGTTCATAAATCAAAATTAAATCATCTACTATGCATGCTTTGGGAAATTATATTAAATATTCGTTGCCAGTTTAATATAATAACTTTTAAGACTTGATATCCAATATGATGAAATCTGCTCTTGAAATTACTATCTAAGATTTATCATTAGGAGAAGGAATCATGGAAGTTTTCTCAGATATTGTGGATTCTAAACCAAAATTCTTTAGAAAATAGTTTAATATTTTTTTTAATGGAATTTAGGTTATTTTTAGAGAATCTTAAATTGAAAATGGAGTTAAAAGAATTGGAACTGAAACTCTATTAAGTATGGTTGAAAAGTTTCCAAGATTGTTCAAATTTGAAAAACTCTATTTAATTTAAGTAGTTGAAATGATATTTTTCCACATGATCTAAATAAGTTCTACAATTACAGACGAGTGGAAAAGGCCTCCTGAAGGATTTAATGATGATATAGAATAAGATGAAGATTGTGAAACCACAAGATTTGGAATGTCTAGTATTGATAGACTAATTGAATCATTAGGTAAACAAGAAATGTTACCTGTTTTAAATCCAATAGTAAGTGAGTTATTAAAACATTAAGATTGGAGATACAAAAATGCAGCTATAATGGCGTTATCTTAAGTAGGTGAATACATAGAAGATGTTGCCGATATTAAACCCACAATAGAATTAATTTTACCAATGCTTAATGATAGTAATTCTATGATTAGATATGCGGTATGTCATGCTATAGGATAGATAGCAGATGACATGAAACCAAAATTCTAAAAATCATATTTACATATAGTGGTTCCATAATTTTTGAATAGGTTAACGATAGAGGATGTTCCTAGAGTTAATTCTCATATTTTAGCAGCTCTAACAAATTTTGTAGAGGGGACAGAAAAAGGAATTGAAGCATATTTGCCAAATTTAATTTAATTATCAATAAAATTTTTGAATAATGGGATTTCAATAGAGAAAGAGAATGCAATAAGTGTTATAGCAGCAACAGCAGAGTCAAGCAAATTATCGTTTATTCCTTATGTAAATGAGTTGCTTCCTATATTATTCAAAATATTTTCAACTCATTAAACTAAACAATACAGATAGTTGAAAGGTTAAGCAATAGAGACAATAACATTGATAGCTTCAGCAGTAGGGGAATAAGTATTTCTGCCATTCTTGTAATAGACAGTATAAATTCTGATTCAAGTATAAACAAGTAATTTGGAAGCGATTGATCCATAAAAGTCTTATGTACTTTCAGGATGGTAAAGATTAGCATTAGTTTGTCCATTATAATTAGCAAAATATTTAGGAGACATTGTTCCTTCATTATTCTAATTAATTTAATAGGTATTCAATATGAACTCAACAGGATCAGAAAATGGGAAGGAATTACATACATATGATAATGAGGAAGCTGAAGTTGCAATACATATGTTATCTGTATTCATAGAAGAATTGAAATAATCCTTTTTTCCTTATGTGGAGAGATGCATAAAATTGATAGTTCCTTTATGTTAATTTAATTCTGATGAAAATATTAGAAGTGCTGCTTGTAAGTGTTTAGTGAGTTTGGTTAGAAATGTTAAAGAAACAAATAATACTTAGCAATTGATTAATGGGGCTAAGTATTTCCTTGGAGTAATATTAGAGGCAGGATATAAAGAATTGGATCCAACAGTCATAATTGAGTAAATTGATTGTATAAAAGATATAATTGATATTGTATCTTAGCCATTTATGACGACTGAGGAAGTTACTGAATTATCAGATAAAGTATTTAAATTATTGTTAGAATCAGATAAAAGGAAGGCAGAGAATGAGAATTTGGCATAAGAAGAAGATGTAGATGAAGATGAAAAGAATGCAATAAAAGAAGAAACAGAAACAGAGGAAAATCTACATGTTAAGATTGCAGAATGTATAGGTTCATTATTTAAAACACATAAAGAATTCGTTTTACCTCTTTATGAAATAATTTGTAGTCAAATACTACCAAGGGTTCTTGATTAACATAAATCTCCTAAAATGCATCAATTTGGTATTTGTTTGATTGATTATATGGTTGAGCATTTAGGATTCCCATATATATAAAATCATTTTATTGATTTAGTTTAAGCTTTAACAGTCTATGCAGTTGATAAAATATGTCTAGTTAGATAAGCTGCTGTTTATGGGATAGGAATAATGGCTACAAATACTCCACCCGAATTGTATTAATAAGTCTCTTAGAAATTATCATAGGCTTTGGTGGAATCTTTGAAAACCCAAAAAACAGAAGAGGATAATTAAAAATTATTTGGATAAGCCAGAGATAATGCTATCTCAGCTTTAGGTAAAATCATTAAATCATAACCACTTTCTCTTGGATCTGAATTAATATAAGGTATGGAGACTTGGCTCTATTTACTACCATTATAACATGATAAACGATAAGCTTACATTCAACATAATCTTTTGGCAGAGTTTATTATTCAAAATGGAGATCAATTTGTTAATGGCAAATCTGAAAATGCATTACAAGTATATATAAATATTTAATACCACTCTAGATTCTAAAAGTTTTTGCAAGTTGTTATAAATCGAAAAGATCAACACCTACAATAGATATAAAAATAGCTAGTGCTCTTAGAGTATTAGAATAATTAGATTAAGGGAAAATAAATCTTCAATAAATATTTTAATAGTTGAGTCCAGAAGATTAAAAGAAATTATTAGAAATACCTAAATGATAAATCACTTTTGTGTATTTGTTAATAATAATATTATTATATTAAATGAATTCATTTTTTTCCTCCTTCATCAGGTAATTCAGCTTACCAATTAGTAAGATTATCATTTATCAATTATAAAATAGTTGTAACATCCTTATATTAATCTTCTTCCATATCATCGAGTTCTTTAATTGCCTTAAGATATTAAATAAGATTAAATACTTCATCTTTAACAGTCTTAGCTAATTCACAAGCTTTCGCAACATCACTCATAATTTCATAACAAAATACTGAATAATTAAGTGTTACTCCCAATCTTAATAAATTAGTTTTAGGAAACTTATCCTTATCTATCAATTCTAATGCAGTCTAATAAGCTTATTGAGCTTGTTAGATTGCTTTTTCTTAAGCCTTTTATTAGGAATATTCTGCAATATATCTATTATAATCTCCTTTCATTTTGTGATAAAATACTCTAGCCTCAGTATTAGCAGTCTTTTTCAGCAATGTATGATCAATTAATTGCAAAACTTCATTACAATAATAATCTAATTCTTTCTCTACTCTTGCCTTGTAATATTATAGTACCTCCTAATACTTCACTATCTATTATTTATATAACTTTATTTTACCTTCTATTTCTCCTTTATCTCATATGCAGTTATTGCTCTCCATGCAGTTCTTCTCTATCCTACTGTATTCTTATATGCTATTGAAAGTAGATTTCTCTCCTCATTATTCAAATCTTTTGTAATCTCTGCTACCTTCCTCATATTCTCTACCTATTATTCTCTTCATATCACTTTCTTACCATGTCTTCCCATCTTTCTGTTTATTCAGCTAATCTAGCCATATAAGTATATTCATCTCTCTTATCTGACATATTAAATTATTTATATATATTATTTTTATTTCTGGGACTTCAGAGAATTAATTTCATTTAATTTCTTATTCTTAAATTAAATCTTAAAAATTACTATATATTATATTAAAATGACATTTTAAGTAGCCAATATTATAATTATCATAAATTATTTCACTTTTTATTAACTAAACTACTTGGAAAACGAAGTTCTATTTTTATGTAATATAGTACAATTCACTGCTGCTTATTTTAATAAATTCTATTATTATGGTTAAGGCTTTTAAATTTATTATTTAGATTAAGAATTAGCTCTTTATTTATTTTGAATCTAATTTATTATAATTATTACTTTTTGTAATGTAGGAATACCATTAGGAATAGATGATTTTGATTTTGCTTATTAAATTACTCTTTTTTATTATTATTATTATTATGTTTATTTTTTTCTTATATTTTTCTATCCATACTTAAACTTATATTCTCCTTCATTAGTATTATCTTAAACAAAATTTTTATCTTCATCTATATTTGATCCTTCATCAAATTCTTCTAATTATGCATCATCTTCATAAACCCATTCATATTCTGAATCTTCTTCTTATTAAATTTCATTTTCATTTGCTTCTTCATATTCATCTTCTTCATCATTCTCTAATTCTACTTCTTCTTCTTCTTCATCTTTTAATTCAAATTCTTCTTCCTCATCTTCTTCCTCTTAGAAATCAAACAATCCATCAACATAAAAATTAAGTGTATGTCTCACGATATCCCATATTTTATTGCAAAAATAACATAAAACGATTTGCATTCTTATCAAATGAATTGAACTTTAGAACTAAAATCAGAAATGAATGTACTTTCTTTGCCAATCTAATATTCTTCTTCATAACCACGTTATTGAATAGCTAATAAGAACTTAAAACTCATAGATTTGTCTTCCATCATTTCCTATATTGTTTAATCCATTTATTTATTTATTATATTTATATATTATTTATATTTGCTTTCTCATAACACTTTCTACAACAAATTCCAAATTTTATTTGATAATTGTACATCTGGATGATAAAGAGCCAATACAAACAATAAACACATGGTATTGAAACATGGTATAAATGAAAAGATCCACATTATCCATCCTTAAAATGTCAAATAAGTTGAAAATATTATAAAATATGGAAGGCACGTGTAAATCTCACCTAATTTTTCATTTTCTTATTCATATTACCTGATGTCTAATATTTATTTATTGCTTAAAATGATGGAATCAATGCTCCTACCAAACCAGTCACTACTCTTGGTGCTATTCCAATCAAAGAACATAATAATGAAAATATCAATGCTCCAAATACTATATGAGATAACTTTATGTTTGCCTAGTTATTATTATAATCTATTTTATAATCATACATTTGGTAAATATTTCTTCAATGGCTCATATTCATCTAATTCTTATAATCTCAACTTTGCGATTATTGGCTCCACCTTTTACATTAATTAATATTTTATATTAATTTATAAATATATATATTTATTTCACAATTTATTTGATAATTGACACTTTGTCATTTTATATTACAAATGATTCAGTAGCATAGTTTTTAAATTTGTCAAATTTAAATTTAAATTATTCTCATTTTAGATTCCATTTTGTCAATTTAAACTTGGAAATTACGATTCTAAACTTATTATTAATTTTCCTTATAATATATATAATGATTCACACCTCTGTTAGAAATTAAAATGAAACAATGTTCTTTCTTTCTATAGTCAATTTGATTTTTGGCATTGCTTACCTAGAAATGTACACAATCATATCCAATTCAATACTATTTGGATTGATGCTATGTAAGTGAACTTAATGTTTATAAAAAGGTTATATGTTATACAGATACAGAAGTCATAGAAAATAAATCATTCTTGAATAGGTTATCATTATTTATTATTGCTGTTACCAATTGTTTCTAAGAGGAGCACCTGCTATTTGGTTTAATATATTTTCACTTAAGTTAGAATAACATCTTGCTTAATATATAACTTTATTAATTGTATTCGCATTCACATGTGCATAAATACAACCAATGGTTGAGATTACTTTCACTTAAACAATTTTAGAATAAATAATTCTTATTCTCATATTTCTTTACTCTAAATACAATTTCACAAATCTTAAAAAACAAACTCAAAATTCAATACTCAAATAAATCATCAGAAATGTGCGATATTATGCTTTTGATTAAAACCAAAATGAAATTGATGGAGATAATAAGTTATAATCTCACTAAATCTTAATCTCTAACGCTACATTATTTTCATCTCGCTCTGAGAGTCAGAAATTATAGTAGCAAATAAGAAAGGATCTTAAAATCAAATGTTACACAGTATAACAAACAGAAATAGCATAAGAATCTTAAATAATGGCTTCAAAACCATCAGTTTTCGATTCATTAGGAGGTTTTCTTGAATTCTATTCTAAAGATAAACATTAAATTAAAAACAAATTAATTGTAGCCTCTGAATTTGATGAAATTTCTGGACATAAACAATAATATACATTGTATATACAATAATTCAAATATATGATGAAAACTTATACTTTAGTAGCATTTGTAGGTTTAGAAGATAAAATACCATCAAAACAAACCAAAAATATTGACAAATTCAAATTGAGTTTATCCAAAATATTTACTCACAAATTGAAAACTCCCTTAAATACTACACTAGGCTTTTTATAAGCAATTGTACTAGAAAATAACACAATAGATGAATAAGTGAAGGCTAGTTTTTTGAAGCCTGCGTTCATTAATTCAAAAATCTAATATTATTAGGTGTAGGATATTTTAGATTATGTAAATTCAAATAATTTAGCTACTTATAAAATGAGTAAGGTAAATTTACATAAGACATTACAATTAATTTACGATATGATCGAATTGCAATGTAGAGCCAAATAGATCTAGGTAATTTTCACAGTCAATTCTAAGCCATTTGATGTAAATGAAAGGTACTAAAATTTTTGGAATATATAATAGAGCAATATATTTAACAACTGATTAATTAAGATTGGAGCGAATTCTATTCAATTTATTGAACAAATCTTATAGACATACATAAATTAAGGGTAAAATATAATTAAATGTTGATGTATTGTCTGAAAATAATTAAGTATAATTTAAAATAAATGATAATGTATAAGGATTCAAATAAGAATAGTTTGAGTAAATAAATAACTTTGCTCGTTTATAAAATAAATGTATACATGGATTTCGTAATTCTATAGTAAAAGGATCGACTTTTAAATTTAGTCTAACACTATAAATAACAAATAAATTAATTTATTTTCTAAGTGATTTTTAATGTTCTTTACAAATTAATCATGATTTAGATGAGGGAGCTAGTTATTAATTTTTTATCAGTCTTAATTGCCAATAATTAGTTATGCCCAATTCTAATGATATAAGTTAAAAGAATTTAAGTATCCAATAGAAGAATTAAGGTTCATTTAAATAACATTTACCTAATCATATTTCATTGTTTACAAAAAGTTAGATATAATCGTATAAATTGAATTTATTTTTTTAAGTTAGGATAAAGTCTTAGAGGAATTTGATATTGAGGAAGAACCTTTAGCAAATAAGCCACTTTAATTAAGTACGTTAATCACATAGAATCCTACTAAAGGTCTAATATTTTAGAATCATCCTATCTAATAAAGTATTTTTCCTTTTCAAAAATCCGTATATTAAAAAGAAATAAATGATAAATCCCTAACAATATCAATTGCTTTTGACCATTCATTTAATGTGAAACGTGCATCAGATTCAATAGATATGAGATAGGATATGAATTAAACTATTATGTTAGTTGATGATGAGCCATTTAATCATGATACGTTAAAGTTAATGTTAAAGAGTTTAGGATTCAAAAATTTTATTAGTGCTTATCATGGTTAATAATGCATAGAATTAGTCAAAAAACATTACAGGACTATCAAAATTATCTTCATGGATTTAGATATGCCAATTATGGGAGGATTAAAAGTAAATTAATATAAACATATTTATAAAGGCTACAAAATTACTTATATAAAAAATGTAAGATGGGGAAATCGATTTTATTCCAATTGTTGCTTGCACAGCACATGATGATAAAGATACGCAATAGGAATGTAATGCAGCAGGTATGATATGTATCATTACAAAACCTGTGTTTATCAGAAGTTTACAAGAAACATTTTTGAGAATTAATGAAATCAAAATTAAATCTCAAAATTTTATCTTTGGATAAAAAGGAATTTCTTCAAGTATTAAATGATCAAATTATGAATCTCTTGTATATTTTTTATTTTTATAAAATTGAATGCAAAAAATAAATAATTAAAAATTTTTAATTCACCCTAAATAATTTATATTTAAATTTGTGTTAACTTAAAAATAAATTGAGTTCATAAATTATATTAATTAGAAGACAGATTGATTGTCATTATTATTTTAACAAATAAAAATAAAAAACTTTGTCCTTTTAGTTTCAATAACCTAGTATTATTATAAAGTTATTTATTATATTAACAAAAAATGATTACATAAAAAACCCAATTCCATCTTATGTTAGGAATTGTACTATTGACCGACCTTATCAAAGGAATTATGGAAAATCAAGTTTCTATCCTGATTTGCAGTTCCATATTGCTTGCATTATAAATTAGTAATTAATCTTAAATTGATGGTTAGCATAACTTATATTGATCACAAAATTATAAATATTTGAGTTAATGACTCACTTTATCTTGCTTTGCTTCAATGTTATTCAAATCTTTCATTACGGAACTTAATCCATATGGCTATTATTTTGTCTTTTAGAAATTCATTAAACAGAGAAATAAAAAATACAATATTATAGTAAAATCTTTTAAGTACTAATTGGTATAGCAATCTTTACGATTCAATATCAAGGTAGCTTAGTCTTTTCACAATTTCAATTTATTATTTAATGTGGTACATATCTAATATATCAAATACTAAGAGTTGGTGGCTCAATTTCAATTATTGAAGCAGCCTAGAATGAAATACTAAAAGAATTAAAGAAGGAAATTATTTTTAAAATATTTGATTAAAATTATAAAGAAATTACAATAAATAATAATCCATAACTAGACAATAATCCTTATGTTTTAATGACTTAAAATACATAGGTAGATGAAAATTAACAATTTTATATAAAATGTTATTAAGATAAGGATTATGCAGCCATTTCAGAATAAAATTCAAATAAATAATAATAATAATTATTATTCTAAGATTGCATTTCCTTATTAGAATTTATGAGTGGTCAAGATTTTATTGAAAATTCTGAATTCTATCATTTCATTGCTTCCTCAATAGATATATAAAAAAACATAAAATAAAAGTTTAAAATTGTTTATAAAACTATAAATAATGGACATATATCTATTTTAGCTTTTTTAAAAATTGATAATTTCACTTTAAAATAGACAAAAAAAAAGTTTTATCAATTTAAAAAATAATTTAGTGATCTATTTGCTCATAAATTAAAAACTCCTTTAAATGCTTCTTTAGGATTTCTTTCTTAAGCATATAATAGCACTGATGTTGAAAGTCAAACAAAATCAAATTTTATAAAACCTGCATATATTAATGCAAAATTGTAATATTTTTAAATTTCTGATTTATTGGAATTTTTAAATCCATAATAAGATAGGATATATTTAAAAGCGAGTAAAATAAATATGAAATAATTTTTATTAACATTATCAGAATTGATTGAATCTTAATGCATTAATAAAAAAATCTTGTTTTAAGTCTTTGTAGAATAAATTCCAATTCAAAAAACAGAAAAGTAAACTTAAAAATTTATTGATTAGTTTTTATATTGTCTCTGATGTACTTAAACTGGAAAGAGTTCTTTATAATATTTTAAATTTATCTTATAGACACACAGCTTCTGGTGGTCAAATTAGTTTGAGTTTAAGTATAGATAAAGAAAATAATGATATAAGTTTTGTTATTGATGGAATAGGATGTGGTTTTAATGATGAAGACATAGAAAATATTGGTTCATGGATTAAATCATAATCTGATTTCTAATTCAAAAAGAAACATTTAGTAATTAAGAAAGAATTAAAGATGTCATTAGAAATTACAAATAATCTTATAAATCTTTTAAGTTCATCAGATTAGAATTTAGAAGTTACCTAAACAGAATCAGGAACAAAATTTAGATTTAAAATAAATAATAAAAATATTCAGATGAAAGAAAGTTAATAAGAGATACAATCTGTTGGTATTATGCTTAAATAGAGGAGCTTAAAAAATATGAGAAGTTCTTAAAATAATTTTGGAACAATGAAATCCATTTTTTCAGTTCCAGATTAATATATTTTAATGAGTTCATCATAAAAAGTAATTGATGAACCTAAAGCAAAATAGCCTTTAACAAATAAAGTTAATGTGTTGAAATGGTAAAAGAAAGATAAGCATATATAAAGAGCTCGTTCTTCATTTTTAAATAAAGGATTGATTGATTGTGATAGATAAATTTTGATTGTAGATGATGAACCATTTAATCATGATACATTGATATTGATGTTGAGAACTATGGGATACAAACATTTTCTTAAAGCATTTAATGGCTAATAAGCAATTGCTATGATTTAAGAAAATTAACTGAATATAAGTTTGATTATTATGGATTTAGATATGCCAATTATGGGAGGAATTGAAGTAATTTAATATTTTAATTTAATTAGGCTACAAAAATATTAACTCAAATGATGATTGACTTAGAATTAGCCTACATTCCTATAATGGGATGCACAGCTCATGATGATAGAGAAACATTAGATTAATGTATTGAAGTAGGTATGCTCCATGTTGTATTAAAACCAGTTTTTGTGAAAACCTTAAGAGAAGCATTTTAATATATTCTACACAATGAAGATGCTAAAAAGCGATCGTAATATTTCTTAACTTCCTAATTGTAAATTTGAATTGTTAATACTTATAACATCTTTATTCCATAAATTATATAAATTATGTATAATTAAATGCAAATAAATAATTTTTTCTATTATATTAATATTATAAATGCAAAATTCATTGACTTATAATTTAGGATTAAAAAATGATACTGATTATTAATTTGTTGCTAAACACACTCTAGAGAAAAGGATAGAATTATCTAATAAATATAATAATAATTAACAAGTTGTTGTAATTTGTGAAGCTCATCGATTATATAAAAAATAATAAGCTAGTGGGAATGTTATCGTTCCATTGTAATTCAATTTTTAAATAATAAATTAGGTTAGTTTTTAGTAAAAATGATCCAGTGACTAGTATATTTTAGGCTTTATAAGGGAAATTAAAGATTGACTCATAAAGTACATTGTATTTGCTTTGCAATAATTATTTGCTCTAAAAAGGTATTTTTATTAATATATTGAAGAATAAAAGATTGGTATGATCTATGAAAAATATAAGAACCAATAAGATGGAATTTTATACTTAAAATTTTGTCCATAAGAAAGTTTCGGAAATTGATTGATAATTAATAAATAATGATTTTAACATATTTATCAATCAATTATGTTTTACATAGATTGGACTATCAGCTGGTTGTTTAATTCCAACACTAAAATTTTTTAATTTAATAGATTCTTGTAGTTCTTCTTGTATGTCAGATCCAGCTGAAGAAGATTCTTCAAAACTGGCTTTTCTACTTGAATTAATTTCTTTAGGAGGAGATCGAAAACTAGTTCTTTACATTTAAATAAATTTTAATTTAATTGTTGATTTTGGTTGAAAATATTATAAAGCTAAACGATTTCCACTTTCCTCTTGTGAAAATAAAGATATCAAATATTCATAATTTGGATGTTCATCAAACTTTAAACTTTTTATATATTCCATAAAATTTGATAATTGTATGGGTAAACCAAAAAATTTATCTATTTTAAGAGCTTTTTTCATTTTTTTTATTTTTTAGTATCTAATTTCTTTATCTTGATCACTTACAGTATACCAAGGTAAGTTGCCTTAATGTAAATATATTAACATATAGCCTAAAGATTCTAAATCATCTCTTCTAGATTATTCTATACCTTTTAAAGCATTTATTGATGCAAATCGTGCAGTTCCTATCATTCCTTTATTTTCTTTGTAATGAATATGATGTCCATCAATTATATATCTTTTAGAGAGTCCAAAATCAATTAGATTGATTTTACCATCTTACATAACAAAATTCTCAGGTTTAATATCACGATGTATTACTCCTAAAAAATGAAGTTCTTTTAAAAGTTTAATAATCTCTAATCCTAATGGTAAAATTTTATGAAAATTTCCTTTCTTTTGGCGATACTGTTCTAAATTCTCTCCCATAAGATTCATAACAAAATAAGTATTATGTTAATCAGACCCTGATGCAAATAACTAAGTAAATCCTTAATGTATTTTATGATTATATTACCTTTTTTACCTTTAAGGATTTGTAAGATTTATATTTCTCTTTGTAATAATTTTTTTTCCTTTCTCATAGAATTTTTGACAAGTTTACAAGCAAATATTTAACCACTCAAAATATGTTTGACTTTCCAAATGTAACCAAAAGCACTATATTAATTTATAAATAGTATTACCCTTCTCCTAACTTATCGAGAAATTGATAGGATGAGGAAGCAGGCTACTTAATTGACCTTTTCATAATTGATGAATTTTATTATATAATCAATTACTTTATATGTGCAAATTTAGAAAATGGGCTGATTTTAAATTATAAATATAGATGTGATTATAAAAAAGAAAAGGTATTGGTAAATATTATTATTTAGAGCTAAAAACCCATATAAAATTTAGTTAATATTTAAGGTAATTAAAGAATAAAAAAAAGAAGAAATATTAATCATCCCTGAGGTTTTGTTGTACATACATTGATATAACAATTGGGTAGGAATGAAATATAATTTGATGTTTGATTTGTCGCTGTTGAATTCTAAAAATAATTCAACAAGCTACCCAGAGAACTCACAATAACTTTTTATATATATTAATATTATCATTTTTATTTGATTCCTCTTTGTTTACTTCTCAAAGAAAATAGTTCCTCCAATTATTAAAAGAAATTATCAGAATAGTTTTTAATAACTCCAGCTAAATCTAAAACAAATTAAGCCAACATAACTTAATTCTAATATAAAATTCTGCTTTCTTAAGCTTGTATTTTAGATAGAACAAATATCATAGTTTGACTAACATGTCTATGACATTCATCAACATTATCACCAAGATTAAAAATGCCTTCAGGATTGTGATCTTCATTAAAAGAATCGACATCTACATTGCGTTAACTTAATTAAGCAGCTCTAGCACTCATTGTTAAATATCTAGGACTTATTGTAGGTTTTTGACCATTCATTCTTGGAGTTACAGAATCAGGAGGAGCATATCTTTCATTTTTTATTTGATAAAGTACAATTGTACTACGAACATCAATTTTAGTAATTTCCAAATCAAATTATTTAGCCATTTTATTCATACTAGTTTGAAACTCTTTTATTTGAGTTTTTACTTCTGGATTCTTAATTTCTTTCATGAATTTTAAATTTTCACATATTCTCATTTAACTTTAATCAAATAATAAATTATCATAGGCCCAAGGTCCTCCTCCTAATTTAGTAAATACAATTTAATTATCTTCGATACTAATTAAATACCATTTTCCATCCATTTAATGGATTAATTTAAAAAATGAAGAATCTGGTAATAGTTAATATGTAAAGTAATTTTCAATTAAATAAAGAATTTAAAAAAAATATTTAATGTTAGGTTTTGGGAATTTTAAAATACCCATTAATGAAAATAATATCTTACTTTCTACTTTAAATTTACTTTAAAATTTGAGTTCTTTAATTAATTCAAATTTTTAACCATATTCGGTTTTAAAATATTATTCTTCCTATTATTTAATATACATTTCACTAGTATCTCTTAAAACAGCATTTTAAATTAATAAATCATGATTAGAAATATTTACATGTTTTCTTTTAAACATTTCATCTTTTTTAATTTCATTTCTAATATGAACTACATATTCTGATGTAACATTATAAATATTATGAGATTCTTTAATAAATTTAATTTCTAAGAATTCTTAATAATCAATAAAATAATCGCAATATAATTTCTGTATTTCAAGTAATTCATCTTCAACAATTTAAGCTAAATCACCTTATGGTTTTAATTTACGACTGACTTAATTAGGATTAATACCTACTCTAAGTATTTTACTATATGCTTATGTTTCGATTTGAAAATCTAATTCAATAGGAATTTCTAATTTTTCATCCTAATTTGCTCTAACTCCAACACTTCTTGGTCTAAATTCTAAGATATCTGGATCATCATCATTAAGAATAGCAGTTTTCTTTTATAATTATATAGCATTGCTAAATTATGTTCCATTTCTCATTTCATATTCAGTTCCTATACTACTACCAAGAAGTGCTTCATCTTAAAAGTTTAATTAAAGTGCAACTCTTTCTTCTGGTTTGCAAAGTTCCATTTCTTATTCAAATAAAGTCTTTGAAACTACTGTAAATACCTCCCATACTAACCCTCCAATCAATGCTAATAAAAATATTGAAAGAAAAACAAATGAACCTATAAATAACATTGGAATCAATAAATTTTCTGTTTCAAAAGAGAGTTCAAAAACTAGTTATCCCCATGAAGATGCTGTAAATACTTATAACATCATTAAATAAGATCCTCCCAATGAATTAAAATCTGCATATTTACATGAACCCCATAAATATTGAAATTCATTTGGATCACATGAATTGTTTGAAAAAGGATTCTAATCTTCTGTTTCAATTCCACCATAAAGATAAATACCTATTGAAGCATATGTAAAAAACACTATCTATACTGGTAAGATTAATCTTAGAATAAGTGGTACACAGATTATAATCTTGTATAATAAATTTTTAACATGACCAAAGATTTCTAATCCTCTTAATAAAAATCCTACTAATTTTATAGATCTAAATGCTCTAAATAATCTAAAAACTTTCTATATCTTTGCTATTCTTAAAATTCTATTTGCTTTTATTGATTAAACAATGTTTCCAGTTACAAAACTAAATAAAATATAATCAAATAGAATCTATAAAAATATTAATGTTAAATCAAAAACATTCCTAATATTTATGCAACTTAATACCATCCATCCAAAAAAAATTCATATATTCCTAATGCTATTATTTTTATTAGGCATTCAAAAATGAAAATAGCCAAAAACACAGTATCAATTGTATCAAATATAGCCAAAACTTCTAAATTTTCTACAAAAAAAGCAGAAATTATTAAACCACAATTTGTTATTGTAACCAAGAACATAAAAAGCGCAAACATCTTTCATTAACATTTTATTATTACATTAGATTCAACAAACTACTTTAATCCAAGTTTGTTAAGATAATTTCTTAATGATTCCCAACATTTAAATGGTTTGGCTCGAGGCAACGAAATTTTCTTACTATTCTATAATACATAGAGTAATTGATAAAATTCGTCAAACTAAATCTTATCACTATTTGATAATTGTTAATTACTTGAAATCCTTGTCGATTTCTGAAAATATTATTTTTACTTCATCATCTGATAATTATCCTCGATAAAATGTTTTTATAAATTTTTTAAATTGATTTTCAGTCAAAAAACCAGCATCATTTGAATCCAAAGAGAGGAAACTAGCCATCATAGCAGATTTTTATTTTATTATATCCTAAATAGCAATCTACATTCTATGTTTTCGAAATCCTTCATACACAACAGCCAAAGGTATTGGTTAAAATAAAAATAAAAAGAGGATTATGTATATTACAAAAAAGACAGCATAAAAAGTACCTTAAAAAATAGGGGGAATCATAATATCTGGATAGAAATCTAAAGTAGCAGCCATGAATAGCATATTAAACATTTTAAAGAAATCTCCATAATCTTGAGTTTCAAGATCAACATTTTCTAATGATCCAATTAAATTGATTCCTATGAAAGAGAAAGTGGAAATAATAATAACATAAAGCAGAAAAAGTAATAGTAAATCTTTGCTTGCTTTTGCAATTCCTTTAAGATTTCTTCTAAGATCTTTAGAATAAAAAATCATGAAAGCTGGTCTAACTAATCTACTGAATCTAATTTGAGTTTAGTCAACTTTCGAATTAATGAAATCAGTAACACAAATTAAGAAGAATAGCATCTTGACCATTCTTTTAGTGTTGAATTGAAATCCTCCATCATTTTTTTTAGTTGCCAATAAAATTAAAGTAATAAGGAAATCAAATCCAATGATTATCAATATGAATAATTCAATATTGGCTACATCTGGTGCTTCATAAAAGTTAGATTCAGGAAAAGGTTTTTCAAAGAATGTGAGGACTTGATAGAATATTGCCAATGTTAAAAGAAATCCACTCCAAATTCTGCTATTTTCAATTATCCAAAAATATTTTAAAATTACTCTATCTGCCAAATCAATATCATTTCGAATAGTTCTCAAATAATAGGCATCATAAATATGTCTTTCTGCTTTTAATTATTTATCATCTGATGGCATATGTTTAACTATTTTTTGGATTTGTGCAACAAGCATGTCATTCTTTTCTTAAAGCCTAGTATCTAGTTTTGTTAGACTAATTGGATTTGCTTATTTAAATATTGCTGATCTCCTAGGATTTGGAAGTCTTGGAGGGAAATTATCACATAATTATGGAGATTAAATGTCTTCTTATTTCATAAATTTGTTTTAATAATGTTTTTTTCATTATTCAAGTATTTCTTCACAACTCACTTTATCATAATCCTCTATATTGTTATACTAAATTTGTAAGATCATTAAGCTTATCAAAAATATAACAAAAAGTATATCAATTGTTTAGATCATAACATTTCTCTTTTACCATGAATATCAAAAAACCAAAAAAGATAAATCTAAATTTATAAGGATATATTCTTTATGTCATTATAATCATCACTGCTCAATGCTTTACTTTTTTATGAAAAGGTTTGAATTATAACTGCTATTAAAAATGCTATTTTACACATAAGTAAGTTTATGGCAAAGTATTAGTANTTTTAAAGAAATCTCCATAATCTTGAGTTTCAAGATCAACATTTTCTAATGATCCAATTAAATTGATTCCTATGAAAGAGAAAGTGGAAATAATAATAACATAAAGCAGAAAAAGTAATAGTAAATCTTTGCTTGCTTTTGCAATTCCTTTAAGATTTCTTCTAAGATCTTTAGAATAAAAAATCATGAAAGCTGGTCTAACTAATCTACTGAATCTAATTTGAGTTTAGTCAACTTTCGAATTAATGAAATCAGTAACACAAATTAAGAAGAATAGCATCTTGACCATTCTTTTAGTGTTGAATTGAAATCCTCCATCATTTTTTTTAGTTGCCAATAAAATTAAAGTAATAAGGAAATCAAATCCAATGATTATCAATATGAATAATTCAATATTGGCTACATCTGGTGCTTCATAAAAGTTAGATTCAGGAAAAGGTTTTTCAAAGAATGTGAGGACTTGATAGAATATTGCCAATGTTAAAAGAAATCCACTCCAAATTCTGCTATTTTCAATTATCCAAAAATATTTTAAAATTACTCTATCTGCCAAATCAATATCATTTCGAATAGTTCTCAAATAATAGGCATCATAAATATGTCTTTCTGCTTTTAATTATTTATCATCTGATGGCATATGTTTAACTATTTTTTGGATTTGTGCAACAAGCATGTCATTCTTTTCTTAAAGCCTAGTATCTAGTTTTGTTAGACTAATTGGATTTGCTTATTTAAATATTGCTGATCTCCTAGGATTTGGAAGTCTTGGAGGGAAATTATCACATAATTATGGAGATTAAATGTCTTCTTATTTCATAAATTTGTTTTAATAATGTTTTTTTCATTATTCAAGTATTTCTTCACAACTCACTTTATCATAATCCTCTATATTGTTATACTAAATTTGTAAGATCATTAAGCTTATCAAAAATATAACAAAAAGTATATCAATTGTTTAGATCATAACATTTCTCTTTTACCATGAATATCAAAAAACCAAAAAAGATAAATCTAAATTTATAAGGATATATTCTTTATGTCATTATAATCATCACTGCTCAATGCTTTACTTTTTTATGAAAAGGTTTGAATTATAACTGCTATTAAAAATGCTATTTTACACATAAGTAAGTTTATGGCAAAGTATTAGTACATTGAAAATTATATGGATATGACTTATTAATTTTAAAAATAAATTTACAGTGTATATCCTTATAATATATAAAAAAAATGTACATGTATAGTTTACTAAAATATAAATTACATCATTATAAAAGCAGTTTATAAAGAATACTATATTATTTATTTCTCTTTTTAGTATATTTCTTTAATAATAATATTTATTATTCTAATTAAGAGTAACAAATATTTTGAAGTTCTATTTGAGTAAATTAAGTTTTAAAGAATAGTAATTTTTTTATAAAACAAAATTTAAAAATTAATAATCACCTTGTTTAGTATACTTTAGTTTTCTTTAAAGTCTTTTAAATTTCTATATAATTAAAAATTAGAGTATTTAATATCGTAATTAGTTTTATGAGTCTTTATTATTTAATAAATATATCTTAATTAAAGATCTTAAACATATGGAGCAAGAATAGAAAGTGGAAGATTTTGTGATAAAAAAGGCAGATTATCTCGGAAAGGGACAATATGGGGTTGTTTATGGATGCTATTCAGATTTATATAAGAATCAAAAATTATGCGCAAAAGTTTATATTGATTATTATTTATATATAGGTTCTACTAGCATAAGTAGAGACAGGATTGATTGAAAGAGAGATTAAAATCTTAGAATAATTAAATAAAGTGGATAATCCTAACCTAGTAAAGATTTATAGAGTCATAAAAGAATAACAATAAATATTTATAATAATGGAAAAATGTACAGGTGGAGATTTGAAATAATTAATGGATTAATATTAAACATAAAAAAAATAATTTACTTTAGACTAAATTTAAGACATTGCTAGATAAATAATATTAGGATATAAATCTTTATTTGATAATAAAGTTATTCATAGAGATATTAAACCAGCCAATATTTTAATAGAAAATAATGGGAAGGGATAAATGATTGTTAAAGTATGGAATAAATATTAATCTAGTTAACTGATTTTGGTATGGGTAGAATATTAGAAGATATTACTAAAAAATAAGCATTAACTAAAGTGGGTACTCCAGCATATGCAGCACCTTAATTATATTTAGAAGATCAATATTCTTCAAAATGTGATGTCTATTCTGTAATTAAATTGATTATTATTAATTATAGTTGGGAGTAATCCTTTTTCAATTAGCATTTAATAATCGATTACCATTTACAGCTAAAACAATTCCAGAATTAACTGCATTCTTAAGAGATCTTAAAACTAAACCTTTTTAATGTCCTGAATTAACTTAAGAAGGACCATAATAAGTTAAAAAAGCTATCTAAAATTTAATAAATAAAATGATGTTATATAGTGAAGAAGAAAGACCAGGATGGGATGACTTAGTAAAAAGTGAATTATGTAATTATTTCTATCTATTTTTTAAGTTGTTACCTCTAAGCCAACTAATTTTGAAGCATAATAAGAAACAAAATTGTTAGATTCTATCTTCTTATATCAATAATAATAAGGATAATAATAATACTTTAATGAAGCTAAATTCAGAGCGGTCTGTAAATTTGCTAATTAAAATAAAATTACTAAAGCTGAAAGAATAAATCATTTAGTTTCTTTATTTTTGGCTAAGGCAGAATTAGCATTTAATCTTTAATAATGTCTTTCAGAATAATTGTATTCATCTAAAAATATTATAATAGATAAGCTTAATTTCAATTTTTTAATGTTTACCATTTTGAATTGATCTAAACTTGTATTATTGGATATCGTTATAAAATATTAATGAATGCATTTGGTTTTTGTTTTAATTGTTTGGATGTTATTTGTGAAGAAATGAGAAAAATCTACGATAATCAAGCCTTAAAATAAACTCTATTAGAATATCAAAATGATCATTCAGATTGGACTGAACAAACAAAAGAAACTATTAGTGAATTTTTAAATTAATCAAATAAAGCTTTTCTTCATGCTGAAAATTAAATTATCAAATTAATGAAAGCTAATACATATCCTCATAATATTGCTAATTTCTAAAAATTGTTATCCATTATTGAAAATACTGAATTTAAAATTTATGGAAGATGGTTTTAATTCTTTTGGAAATAAGATTTAAGAAAACTTTTAATTTATGACAAAAATAAATAATATGATATAGGATACCTTAAGTAAATTTATATTCATATTATAGAATGTTGGTTTTAATTGAGAAATTTTTGAATATTGATACTGAATTCCCATTTGAGAAATATAGTGAATAAGATCCACAATAAATAGTGTTAAATGATAATTTAACAAAATAATAATTAGAAGCCCTATTACAATAAAGAAAAAATGTTTGAGTTATTATAATACAAATAATATCTAAATTACATTTATAACCATTATATCCATAAATAAATCTAATAGAAATACTAATTATCTAAGATTTAATATTTTAATTAAAAATATATCATCTAGAATAGATTTTTAAGTTAAATTAAATAATTCTTAAAATTAGATTAAATTAACCCAATAGAAAATTATTAAGATCACATGAGTAGATTTTGTAGATTAAATTCAAATTATTATTTCTAATAAAATTTTATATTAAAATCTCATAATCTTTCAAAACATTTCTAAGTTGATTGATTTATTTTTTCAAAAGTTAAGATCTCCTTTATACTCAAATTATTTATATTAATTAGTTTATTTTATTAATTTATTTCCTATTATGGTATTAATTCTAATGAGATAAAATACTAATTTTATCTCTCGTAAATAATTCCTTTTTCTTCAGATAATGCAAAATAATTTTGAAGAATTTATTGATCAATCATATTCTTGTAAAATAAAGTTATTAATTATATTTGAAAAAGTAGTTGATTTTCCAAAAGAAGTGATTATTTTTATGATGTTCTCTTAAAGTGACTCTGGAAATTCCAATTCTGGCACTTTTGGATAAAATTATTTATCTATATAATCCTTTAAAAATACTAAAATTATCTTAACGAGTTTTTGAACTCTCTTTCTCTTGTTTAATCTCAACTTTAATCTCTTTTTTACTACTTAAAACATCTTTTTACAAGTTTTATTTATTGAAATAATATTTAGTTGCCAATATTTGGTTAAAAAAATAATCTTCGTTTTATTTAGATTAAATTAGTAAATAATTAAAATAAAATATAAAGTTTAGAATAATATCTATATTATGTAAATATGATTTTAAGAAATTAAATTTAATATTTTTCATAAGTTAATAATTATTTTAAATAATCATGAAAATTTTTATGAATAATCTAAAAAGAAATTAATTTATTGTATGAGTAATGCTAAACTACAATTAATCCGGTCCAAAATCATCATAAAAAAGAAGCTCAAGCAAAGACTAAAGATCAATTTCTAATTTATAATCTAGTAGATAATTATAAAGAAGAGCTTCTCAGTAGAATTTAGTATTTAAAGTTGTAGATTGTAGTACTTAAGATATTGAAAATAAGAATTCTAAGCAATAACTTGATCAATTAATTAATGGATTGAATGGATTGTTAGGATATGAATTAATAATGAAGAAAGGAAAATTAGATGAGTTATTTAGATAATTAAATTTTTTTTATACTGTGATACTTTAGATTTGAAATCTTTATGTTCAACACTTGGAGATTGCATTTTAAATCCTAAACTGTGTATAACAGTTTTTGTAAATTTAAGATAATAAAATTGTGGTTGCAAATGAAGAATAACCATCAAAGGAGATATGTGAATTGCTTATTCAAGAATTATAATTATAATTAAGTAAAAGGAAATAAGTTGAGTGGAATTATTAAGTATTAAAAGAGGTATTTTTAGATAATGAAAAATAAAGAAAAGGAAATTGGAAATATAAGTATAATAAGATGATATAGCAGGTTTGAAATAGGCTATTACTTTATTAGAACAATAGAATCAAAATATTTAATATAAGATAAGAAATGATAATCTATGTTAATATGATAAAAATATTAATAATTTATAATAATATCAGTAAATAAATCAATTTATAAAATAGAGAATTAAATCGATTCAATAAATCTTTGAGCCATAAAAATGATGACCTTTATTTTTTTAAATCTATCTTTATTAGAGAAACTCTAGTGTGTTTATAAGTAAGTAGATTTATTTTAAACTGAATAACTTCTATTCCCTTATTTATTTTAGAAGGAAAAATACGAAGATGCATTGTAATCAATTAAAAAAATTGTCTACGATATAATTAATTTAGATATCTAGAGGAGGCCTTAACAATTTGTTGATGTAGATATAAAGAAAAAGTTAGTAACATGACTCTAAGACCTAATTATGAACATTTAATTTCAAAATATAATTCCAAAAGTATTAAATACATACGTCAATTGCAATCTACTAATGAAATTGTTTAATATTTAATATAATAATTATATTAATATACCTGAATATAATTTAATTATTATATGAGATATGTTCATTAATATTGCTAGTAATTTAATTTTTATAATAAAAATACAAAAATTTGCAATCATGATCTAGAAGTTAGAATGATGTTCTGATGCCTCTTGAAAATATGAAAATTATTGAGGATAACTATAAAAGAATAGGAGACTTGTTAGTTTCTAATAATATTTACAATTTAAGTCTGATAGGTTTGAATATGATACACTTAACTTATAGTCAATTCTTAGAGTTTAAATAATATTGTAAATTAATTTGTTAAGAGTTAGAATGTTTAAAAATAAATTTGGAATAATTAAATATGTATTAATTACCTACTTTTGCTTTATGAGATCTATCAATTTGATAGAGATAACTTTTATATAACCAAAAAAATGTGAAATTCTTATTAAATCGCAGAAGATTTAAATAAATAACATTGTGATGAAAATTCAAAATTACATTGATGATAATTTATCATTCAAAATTATCCAATAATTCTTGAGCTAATTTTTCATTTATATCCAATTTCCAGAAATTGTTTTGATTATATTCTTATTAAACTTAAATATCTTCTACAGCTTAATCATAATCAATTTATTAATCTTAATCTTATTCATCCTGAACTTCTTCATCTTAGGGATTATCCTCTTAAGGATCTTCTTCAGGATCTTATTTAGGATCCTGTTCAAATTCATTTAATACTTCAGTATTTCTCTAAATACCCTCTCCATTGTCATTATTTCCAACATGTTTATCACTCTTTTAAAAATTATTGTTAAATTTCTAATAATTTTAAATATTAGTATAAATACTCTTAAAATGTTCAAAATGTTATCAGTTTCTTATTCATCAAGAACATCAGGTTCTTAACTTGGTCTTGGATTAGCATTACATAAAAAGGGTTTCTCTTTAGAATTCACATTATTTAAGATATTTTCTATAAATTACTACCATTATTCATCTATTATTTAATATTATAATTTTACTAATACGAAGCAATTTTAAAATTTTATTATTTTATTTACTCTTATCTTCTAAATAATTGGAGATAGAAGTCATAAATCCTATGAATCCTTTTTTAGTATTTTCTGTTTTATGATTTAGAATAATATAATTTAGAAGATTGTTATTTTCCAAAACCTATTGAAAGAATTTAAAATACTTTACATCATTAGTAAATTCATCTTAATTTAAGTCTATAATTGCTCTTAATATTTTATCACAACAAGAATGAATTTGATTATTAGACTCATACTTAAGAATGATAATCTACAATGTTTCAATAAGTCTATTATTTAATAAGGTCTTTATGATTTTGTTATCGTTAGTTCTTATTAATAAGTAAATAATTACTAAACAAGAACTTGAATAAGTCTTAATAAGTGCATTCTTGCTAATCCAAAAGGTTAAATTGATAATCTATTTGAATTAATAAAATTGCTTGTATGATAATCTTAATTCAAAAGGTTTTAAGGTAATTCTGGTAGAATAGATTCAAAGATTGAATAATCCTTTTCTAAATTATGAACAACCTCATCATCATCTTCTTTTTTAGTTTCTTTAGATTACATTTCAACCAAATTGATTAATAATTAATAAGGTCCTATACGCTATGTCTATAAAGCTAATTTCAAAAACAATTCAGGTTTTCTTATTATATCTATGAATGGTATAATTTCTCCATTGTTATAATATAAAGAACTCATACTCTTAGTTGTAATTTCAATTAATATATCACAAACATTATCCACTATTTCTATATTATAAGATTTATGTTATAATAATCTCATTATTCTTTCTAATAATGCTTTCCTTTCTTCAAAAAATTTCTCTTCATAATTTTCTTAAGATGTATCTAAAATTATTAATTTTTCTATTATCTCTGATATATGTTTAATATCAATATGTTTGATCAAGTTTTAAATTATTGATTTGTTTTTTACAATCGTTGCCCAAACCTAATTATTTAAAAAACTCATACATCAAATCCTCTCTTCTTGATTATTGCTATGTATGTTTTTGCAAAATATCCTGCTGAAGTAACATTTAAAATATCATTTTCCAAGAATGATAAGAGTTAGTTGTATAAACCTTGACGTATTTATTTATTTTCATTTTCAATTTCCTCTTCTGGACATTCAAATAAATAATCAATTAATTTCTAATTTTAACTACCCAAGATCTCACTTGTTAAAAATGGGTATCTAAATATATTATTTAAATATTACTAAATTTGAGTTTTCTTGTTAATAAGTTCATCTTCAAATTATATTATGTAATCAATCATTTTTTAATACATTTCTGGATGCTTTATGACACTATTTATATGCTCAATTTAATACTGATCAGCAAATTTCGTAGCACCTAATCCTTTTATTTCTTGTAAAATTCCATCTGCTGATAAAATTGTTTCTAAATCACAATCTGGATTAGCTAAAAGACTTTCTAATTATTATTGCTAATTAAAAAAACGAGCAAAGCTATCTATAGACAATTTCTTACTTGAAAAACATTAAATTTAAATTTTTAATATTGTTATCAGATTACAAATTATCTAATTATTTTTTTTTTATCTAAACAATCCATAATATATTTAAATGCTTGAAAAAAAATTTTTACTATTTACAAAAATGAATTGGAGAAATTATATAAAGATATAAGAATAATAAAATTTTTGAATATTAATATTATGAATTCAATTTATTAGAATATAACAAATTTATTTAATTTGAAGATTACTAACTTTCCATCTATATTAACATTATTAAAATGATTTCTATACATATGAAAAAATTAATATAGCAAATTTTTATTCTTTATATTAAGAAGCAGTTTTCACATTAAATATAGGATATTTCAAAACTTAGTAATAAAAGTTTTGAATTTCAGAAGTTTAAATTTCTCCTCTATTATCAAATATAAATTATCTACGAATCATTATAGCATCTAATATTAAATGCGTGGTTTAGATAGTAATAAAAATAAACTTAGTTTGAATCTTCTATTTCCATTCAATTTAACGAACGTTCTTCGTCTTTCGTTAGCTGATAAATTTTTTATCAATTCAGTTTATAACTTTTCTATTTTTTCAATCAGCAATATATATTGCAATTTATATTGACGAATTCTAATTTAAATTACAATTTGAATTACTTGTTTTGATTGAACATTTCAATCACAAAGTTGCTTTAATAAAATCTTGTAGCTTAAGGAGTGTTTGGTTATTTGAATAATTTAAATTAATGAGTTTTATGTTCTTTTGTAAATAAAGGTAGTCTATATTATAAACTATTATTTTTCTTATGAGTTCTAAAAGTAAGTTATTTGCGATTTGAATTAAATTGAAATGATTGTATAAATTCACATTAAGTTGCCAATAAAGTAGATTAAAATAATTCAGTATTTTCATGAGTGCTTCCTAAAAGATTTTTTAATTTTAATTTTGCAGCAGGTAGTTAATTTTCATTAATGCTACAAGTATTTGATATGGAGTTCTTACTTAAGAAATCATGACTATTTTTTGGAGAATTAAAGAGACTTGTAAGATCACTTTTTCTTTTTCTATGATAAGATTCTATTGAAATCAATCTTCCCATACCATCTCTTTCATTAATAAATGGCACAAAAATTTATTTTTTTTCAATTATTTGATTAAGAGGATGTTCCTATTCCTTAATTGAATCTAAAATCAAAGCTTTTTTAAATTTATCTGTTTTATTTATAGCAGGAAGTTCTTTATCTTTATAGAAAATGCAATAATCCTGCAAATTTTCACTATAATACTTTTTCATATTAGTAATATAATTTAATAATTAAATAATAATCTACAAGAATTAATGATTATGATTGAGATTGTTGATAAATTAGGATTATAACAAATCAATGATTTTAGATTTCAAATATAAAATTATTAATAAGAATAATAAATTATTTAGAAATGATATACATGTATTTAATAATGATCTAAAATTAATTTTTAGATTCGTGATAATTTATTATCAAATTATTGTAAAGATAGAGAAAGATATAAAGAAAATTAAAATAATTATTTTAATTTTAATTTTATAAATGGGATCAATTTATGGTTTATGATTTCTCTAAAATTTTAGTTGGGGAAATTGATTAGGCTACTTCTATTGGATATTCACTTTCTATAATATTCATTTTCTTAAGTAACTCTTATAGTCTATGATTTAGATAATTTATTTTACTTTTTATTACTTTCTTAGATAGAGTCAAATGATTTTTTGAAATTTTCATAGAATTTTTAGAATGTTTCTGCAAAGAAGATATAATTTGTATCATCATCGTCTTCTAAAATTTTCTTTAAATCCTTAACATATGGTAAGTGAACTCTGACACCGCAATTAAAGAATTTACATTCATCTTCCTAGGAATAAGATAAATATTACTCTGAATAAGAGAATAGATGAATTAAGAGTTTTTTATATATATTCTTTCAAATGCTTAGAATTGGCATCCTAATTTTAACAATTGTCTTATAATTCTTATGGAGATATAATTGATTATAATTAAGGAATCAATTGATGATATTAGTTAAGTAGAAGACCTAAAATATTTTATATTAATTTATATCTATATCCAGAAATGCAAACTGATAGTAAAACAAATTCTTCTAATTTTAAGGGGAATTAATTCTAATTTTAATTTTACCTAATTGATAAAGGTAAAATGATTACTTTGATTCTTGTAAATATTTATGACACTTATTAGCTAAATCGCATTTGGTAGTAAGAATACGAATGATTTAAAGTATTTTATTATTTGATATTTCGTCTACTCTGTAAAAGTCTTAATATTAGATAGAGGATTTAGAGACTAAAGGATTCTTTGAGATTGCTTATTATTATTAAGGAGTCAAATATTCATTTAGTACAGTAGAGTTAAATACATCTTACCATGAACATCTATCATTTTCATCATAACTAAGCATTCTTTAGATTAAATCTCTCACATGTTATGGAACAACTCCACTTTAACTTGTTTCATCACATAATTTGGGTGTAACTTTAAGATTTCTTAATTTTTATAATAATTCTGGTTATGTTTTAGCTTCAATTGGTAATTATCCATAAATTAACTAATAAAAAATAACACCTAAAGAATAAACATCAGCTTTAGAAGAGAATGCTGATTCTAAAAATAATTAAGGAGCTGCATATGCAGGTGTTCCTACTTTTGTAAAATTCTTTGCATAATTCATATCTTCAATTACTCTTCCCATACCTAAATCAGCAATTTTGTAGACACCATTTGAAATTAAAATATTTGCTGGTTTTATATCTCTGTGAATTATTTTGCATTTAAATAAAGTTCTATATCCATTAGCTATTTATGCAACAATGCTAGTTGCTTCTTCTACTGTAAAACCTTAGTTTTTCTTTTTTCTTTTATCCATAAGCTATTTAAGATCACCTTCTTAACAAAGTTCCATTATTATATATATTATTCCTTTTACCTTATCATCTAAGACATCATAAACTTGAATTAAATTTAGATTTTCTCTTTGGATAGGCATTAACAATTTAAGAATGTCAATTTCTCTTTTCAATATTAATTAATCCACATCTTCTACTCTCAAAACTTTACTACATAGTTACAAATCTGGCTTTTATGTGTCTGTACAACCATAAACTGTACCATATTATCCTTTTCCATAGTATTTCTTTCTAAAAATTTGATAATGAGAGATCTCAATTGGGCTTTATTCTATTTGCTTCATATAAAATATTATTTAATAAATTAATATTTAAAGTTAATCTAAATTGAGTTTAAATAATGCCCTATAAAATATAGCGAAGATATTCGTTTTTCAATTGATACTGAATTTTTTTTAAAGTAATTTACGTTCAAGGAATCTCAATAATTATTAAATATTTATATATATAATATAAGATGTATTACTAAATTGCACAACTATCTTATTCTAGTTTTCTTTTTATGATTCAAGTTCTTTTTGTTTGTATCATTAGAAGAAGAAATCGGAGTTAAAATCAAGTGTTCTCTGAGTATTTTTATATATAGAGTAGGCCACCATAATTAAGTTAATTTGCACCAGCACTTAAACGAAAAGAGAGTACAAGAAAGTCTTCAGTCATAATAAGTTCTACAATTAGAAAGAGTGTTTAATAATATAGGAATAGTACAATAAAAGTAGAAGGAGGAGAGGATCCTCCATCTTTATCTATGGGAATGAATTCCAATCATTACATCAAAGCAATAATGAAAGAGTAGAAATTGTAGAGGAAGAAATCAATAAAAATTGAATCTCCTAATAGTACTATATTGCAAGTTTAATTTCCTCAAAACAAATCTCAAACAGAAAACCCAGAGAGTCAAAGAGATCCATTTTAAGAATTAATTGGGGATCAAAAACCTTAATTAGATAAAATTGATATAATGATTTTTATAGTCTATTATGTAGAGCGTATTGGATTTGAGTTGGGATTGATCTTATTACTTTGGAATTTTGATGTTAACTATTATATTTTTATTCCGATTTCCTTATTTGTAGGTGTAGTTATGAGAATATAAGAGAAGTTTGGATATCGAATGATTTAAATGATTGTTTTAGTTCTAATTCATGGACTTCTAATACTTGAAACTTACCTTATAATATCAGATGAATATGTTACATTCTGTTATTTAATTGTTTTGGGAATAGAAACTGTATTTAGTATAATATCCTATATACTACTGAAAAAATGCAAATGATTAAATTAATTCATATGTGGATATCATTTTTTTTTAAAAGAATAAAGAATTTTTAATAAATTTATAATCAAGTAAATAAACATAAAAATGGCTTCAATATATGAATTAATTGGTATGGAGAATAATTTGAAATAGAAAATCAAAACTGAGTGTAGTTCTTAAATTGCATCACCAAAACATAAAGAAATGGATACTCAAGAAAGTTTAATAAAGAAATTAACAGAGAGTTATAAGTTGTAATTAAAATAGATATAGGAAATCATAACAAAGTAGGAAAATCAATTAAGACAATTATAGGATATAATAAAGATATAAAAAAAAGAGATAGATCGATTGATTCATATCAATGAATATTTTATGCAGGCAAATGAAACAAAATTAAGTATATTAAGAGATGAAAGATAATTAATTCAAGGAAGTAAACCAAACTTAAAGAATAAAAATAATAATAAATCATTATTTCCGATAGAGAAAAAGACAATAAAATATCGGAAGAAGTGAATACTTAATAAGTTAAACTATTTAGAAAGCAAACGTTTCGAAATCCAACTAAAGTTAAATTTAATTAAGATGATGGAGATGTCTGTGAAAATGATAGAAATGTACCTGGAGCATCAAATCTTTATGATGTTTTATAATAAGAGGATTGTTTTAGAACGAATACAATATTAAATATCTAATTATGTAACGATCTATAATAAAGGTTTAGCTGATGAAGATGCAACTACTTAATATAATATACATGGTACTGTATCATTAATGAAAGTGCTTCTAGAATGTGAGGAAAGTTTTAGTGATATAATTCAATCTATTTCAGCTTAGAAATTATCATATTTATATGATAAATTTAAAAGGATAATGTCAGATCACTAATAATTGTTATTTTAGTATTGAGATTAAAAAAATAGTGATTGGAGCATTGTAAATGAATTCATCACTTTTATTAGATGATGCATTATAGACTATTATAAATAAATGTGTAGATTGTTTAGAATGTGATAGAGCATCTTGTTTTATAGTTGATTAAGCTAAAAAAGAACTTTGGACTAGAGTGGCTAAAGGAACTCAAACAACAATTAGATTATAAATTGGATAAGGTCTTGCTGGTTTTGTGGCTTAAAATCAAATTATTTTAAATATTGAAGATGCATATAAAGATTAAAGATTTAATACTTAATAAGATGTCAAAAATAATTATAAGACAAAAACAGTATTGGTATCTCCAATATTAGATGGAGAAAAATGTATGGGAGTTTTATAATGTGTAAATAAATAAAATGGATATTTTACTAAAGATGATGAGGCTCTTTTGTAAATTATGGGAGAATTTAGTAAAAGTGTATTAAAAAATGCCATGAATCATGATGCTTAGATGCTTATCTAAATAAATTAAGACACATTATTATGACTGGTATCATACTTTAAAGTAAGTAAGATAAACTCATAGATTTTATTCTATCTTCTGAAGAAAGATTAAGATCTTTGATGAATGTAGATATGGCTAAAATTGTTTATTATAATCAACATTTATATCATATCAATAAGGATGGAAAACTTTCTTACTCTGATAATTTGTTGGGTATTATGGGATTGTGCATTAAAGATCAATAGTTAGTGGCTGTGAGTAATTGTTACACTAGTCCTATTTTCAATCCTAATATTGACATCGAAACTAATATGCCCATTATTTGTATGCCTCTTAAAACATAAAACCATTTAATAATTGGAACCATTTAAGTTATAAATTTCAAAGGTATTGGTAATATTTCTTCAAACATTGAAGCCAAGATACATTCTATCGTATTTAGATATGCTCGAACTCTTTTGTTAACAATGTGCTCAAAGTTTATATTACTACAAATCCAATTGTGATATCAATATATGTATTAAATTAAAAATGTGTAATTCATAATAAAAAATGATAAACCATCTACCTTTTATTGTAGAATATATGGAAATCCACTATCTCGATTTAAAGAGTGAGTCACTGTTCTAAAAAAATTCTTAACTAAGCATTCTTTCGATGAATAACAAAGATTTGGAAGCAAGGTCAGGCAAATTTGACATTATTTAAATTTAATATATAAAGGGGAGTTAAATTTTAAAGGAAGATCAAATGAAACAGATTTTGTTAGNATGCATTATAGACTATTATAAATAAATGTGTAGATTGTTTAGAATGTGATAGAGCATCTTGTTTTATAGTTGATTAAGCTAAAAAAGAACTTTGGACTAGAGTGGCTAAAGGAACTCAAACAACAATTAGATTATAAATTGGATAAGGTCTTGCTGGTTTTGTGGCTTAAAATCAAATTATTTTAAATATTGAAGATGCATATAAAGATTAAAGATTTAATACTTAATAAGATGTCAAAAATAATTATAAGACAAAAACAGTATTGGTATCTCCAATATTAGATGGAGAAAAATGTATGGGAGTTTTATAATGTGTAAATAAATAAAATGGATATTTTACTAAAGATGATGAGGCTCTTTTGTAAATTATGGGAGAATTTAGTAAAAGTGTATTAAAAAATGCCATGAATCATGATGCTTAGATGCTTATCTAAATAAATTAAGACACATTATTATGACTGGTATCATACTTTAAAGTAAGTAAGATAAACTCATAGATTTTATTCTATCTTCTGAAGAAAGATTAAGATCTTTGATGAATGTAGATATGGCTAAAATTGTTTATTATAATCAACATTTATATCATATCAATAAGGATGGAAAACTTTCTTACTCTGATAATTTGTTGGGTATTATGGGATTGTGCATTAAAGATCAATAGTTAGTGGCTGTGAGTAATTGTTACACTAGTCCTATTTTCAATCCTAATATTGACATCGAAACTAATATGCCCATTATTTGTATGCCTCTTAAAACATAAAACCATTTAATAATTGGAACCATTTAAGTTATAAATTTCAAAGGTATTGGTAATATTTCTTCAAACATTGAAGCCAAGATACATTCTATCGTATTTAGATATGCTCGAACTCTTTTGTTAACAATGTGCTCAAAGTTTATATTACTACAAATCCAATTGTGATATCAATATATGTATTAAATTAAAAATGTGTAATTCATAATAAAAAATGATAAACCATCTACCTTTTATTGTAGAATATATGGAAATCCACTATCTCGATTTAAAGAGTGAGTCACTGTTCTAAAAAAATTCTTAACTAAGCATTCTTTCGATGAATAACAAAGATTTGGAAGCAAGGTCAGGCAAATTTGACATTATTTAAATTTAATATATAAAGGGGAGTTAAATTTTAAAGGAAGATCAAATGAAACAGATTTTGTTAGTTATCTTCTTGGAAATAGGATTATTTAAATTTTGAAACAAAAAAGTTACTTAATGAAGATCATATATGAGACGATCAATATGGTATTAAAATTCTAAGAACGGCCAAAAATTCATTTGAATAGTCTTTGATAATCTAATTCAAATTTGTTTTAGTTAAAGCAATCAAAATTGGATGAACAGCAAAACCTATTTTTAAACTATCTCTTATATGCTTTGAATATTTTGGAGATCTCTCTAATGAATAAAAAGATTTTTTATAAAATAAATATCTTAACGATAAAACAAATTAATTTAATTATTTTCTATCAATAGTAAGTTATTTAATCATAATATAAGACTATATGTGAGTCACATAAAAAATTAGATTGATTTTTACATAAAAATAGCAATGTAAATTTATTGTTAAAAATAACAAAATTATTTTAAAAGTCAAATATCTTTGGCATTGATAAAAGATATTTGATTTAGACAAGCCCTATTCAAGAATAAATTGAATATCTATAAGCTTTATAACTGTCAAAACATCTAACTAGTAAAAAGGGTATCAAATACTAAGAGAATATTTACACAAAAGTAAATTATGTGTTTATCTATTCAAAACTCTTAAATTGGCAAGCTCATTTACATTTACATGAACTTTTTTATCCAAATTCACCTAAGTTAGTAAAGTATAATCATTATAATTTTTGTGAAATATTATAATTTTATCAAAATTTTAACAATTAAAATAATCAAAATGAAAAATAGGATAATCATCACATCTAAAATAGATGATTTGATATCAAATTTAAAAAAAACAGAAGATACTCAAGGTCCAATGTTTAGAAAATTATCTTTGAATCCAGAGTCTTAGGTGGAAACTGAAATAATAAGTCATTTAAAAATAAGATTGGATGATGATGCATTATAATCAAAGTTTGTTTAAGATAAAACAAAATCATTAGCAAACAAGATAAAGCAATTGCAAAAACAAACTAAATTAAAGAAATTTCAATTGCCTCAAGAGTATGTCAGTTTTATGAATGCTAGACAAGAAAATTTGATTCAATAATAGGAAACAAAAATAAATAAGATATTAAAGAGATAATAACAATATGAGGAATAAAATAAGAGTTTTTATTAGTTTCGAATAAGAGCATTAGAAAGATAATAATAATAGATTGAGTAGAAAAATACAGAATTACCAAAAGAATTCAAATATTTTTATTAGCCAATAGAGGAAGCCTAAATAAGTTTTAATAATATGGATTAGAGAATAAAATAATAATTGTGGAATAGAGGATAGAAAAAGTTCTTTAGTTTTTGGAATAAATCAAGTACTCCAAGTTAAAAGAATGAGAGACCTGAAATGTTAGAAAGTTATTCGTAATCATTTTTTTAGAAATAAAAGAAGAGAGTTTCAATATAAAATGCTCCAACGATAAAAATAATTTATGCAGGATGATTGATTTGATTATAATTAATTAATTGATGTATAAAGAATAAAAATTGATTTATAAATAATAATAAGAAAAGAAATAAAGAATACTATGTATATTAGATAAATAATGAATAAATGATATATATTAAATAAATTGATTAAAATGGATTACGATGGAGAGGCTAGTCAATTTCCAGATTTATCGAGATTTAGTTTGAATCCAAATGGAGTCCTGTAACCGAAGCCAGTTTATTCAAAATGTTCATTTACAGGAGTGAAAAAGAAGAGCTTTTCATTACATGGTTCTAAGAATAAAGGACTTAGAAATCTGAGTTATAAGGTGAAAAAAATAATTGAATCAGAGTCACAGACTACTTATAGGTTCGTAGCCGATAAATTAGTATCTGAGGATAGCGAATAGAAGAAAGAGGAATAGAATGTGAAGCGTCGAGTTTATGATGCACTGAATGTGTTGATTGCTGCAGGAGTAATAATAAAGAAGAAGAAGTTCTTAGTTGCTACACCTGAGACTTTCAAAAGTGGGAAGTACTAAATGATCTTAATAGGGTGCCATAATAAAGAAAAATGGTAGAAGATAAAAGAAGATTAATAAATCAGATCTAAGAAGCGTCAAGTTTTACATCATAAAAAATAATATTTAATTGATTTAGTAAAAAAGATGCTTTGTGTTCGTCATTTAATTACTAAGAATAATAATAACAAAAGTCTTCCAAATAGTTAAAATGCCGCTGAGACGTATCTTCAATAATTCATGTAGATTTTTAAAAGATGAAAAAGTTGAAGCTTCTTAAATACCTTGTAGTTAACAAAGCATTTAAAGTGGAATCTAATTAAATTAATATGTCTAACCACAAATTGTATTTTAATTACCACTTTTAGCATTCTGGAGCAAACCAGAAGATGTAATTTAATTATTGCTTAAGTAATAGCTTCGAATTGTGATTAAATCACAAAAGGAAGTAACATTGTCAACTAAAAAGAGTTGTTCTTTTATGACAGAAGTAGAGATTATTCAAGATGTTTAACAATAAGCTTTATTATCAAAAGTTTTTGATGATAAATCTTTTGTTAATTTCTATTTGAACTTAACCAAAAATTGATCTATATATTAAAATATTTTAAAATTTATCATATATAATTAAATGAAGAGATTCGATTTGTTTTATGAATTTACTAATCAATAATTAGGATAAGGAGTCTTTGGTTAAGTTTATTTGGCCAAAAAGAAAACCACACAAGAATAAGTGGCAGTCAAAGTAACAAATTAAATTATTTTAGATTTTACCAAAAAACAATTAATTGACAATTAGTGAAATTGAAATCCTTAATGAATTAGTCAAACATTCACATCCTTCTATTGTGAGAATAATTGATGTTTATGATTAGGGAGCTTAAGTATATGTCGTCCAAGAATTTTGTAATAGCGGCACTTTATTTGATTTTATGAAAAAGAAACCATAATATATGGGAGAAGAACATTGCATTGAAATATTAGAATAAGTTGCTTAAGGCTTAGATTACTTACATAAAATAAACATTGTTCATAGAGATATTAAACCAGAAAATATTTTACGTACCACTTATAATGGATAGATCTATTATAAAATCTCAGATTTTGGATTAAGTAGTATAGGAGATGTAAAACTTACATCTAAATTTGGAACTGCTTATTATGTTGCTCCTGAAATTATTGATGGACGTGCAGAATTATATGGATATGATAAATCAGTTGATATTTGGGCTTTGGGTTTAATGTTTGATGAATTGTTACATGGTACACCATTTTTTGATGGACATACAGAAGAAGAAGTCTTTATTAAAATCAGAAATGAACCATATTATCCAAGAAAACATGAATATTCAGGTAATCGTTTATAACCAAGAAAATAAATTATTGTTAATATTCTTATGGGAATGATAAACAAAGAACCTAATCAGAGAAAATCATTACCTTAAACACTTGATTTAATTAGATAATACAAATAAAATATTACTGCTAATTCCATCTCCATTCTAAATTAACCAACTTTCTCTTAACCTATTTCATCACTTTTAATTAATGATCTAGATGTTATATAAGATAGAAAATCCATTTATCAACCTAAATGTCCTTAACATAATTAACCTGCTATTTATAGAATGCCTATTAAAGATTTGGATAATGATGTTTCCAAAATTGTTTCAGCTTGTTCCAAATGTCTAAGAAGTATTGGTGTTTATGAATTAGATACCTTATAAAAAAAAGTTGATGAAGCTTTAAAAATTCTTACTATGGAGAATTTTGATCAATTCTTTACTTAAAGTTATATCAAATAAGAATTAAAAGATATGAGAACTGAATATTTCCTAAATTATTCCTATTTCTCTATTAGAGATGATTAATTATAACCCAAATTTGATCTCATTCTTATGGATCAATAAAAAAAGGCTAAAATTGAATATACTACCAAAATTAAATAATTAGTCAATTTTAGAGATAAAAATTATACTTCTGATGAATAATGGCTTATCTATGTTGCAGAAAAACTAACAGATTCAACTGAAAATGAATTCGTTCTTTATATTAAAGAAGATTTAGCTTAATTTAGTGAACATGGAGTTGAAGATTGTAGATAATTGATTTTTAATCATTTAAAAGAGGCCTCAGATTAATTAAGTTCTTTGAATTGAGATAGTTAAAAATAATATCACTCATCCAACCATTTTATTCTCTTTCCATCTTCCCATAAACCTTTCCTCATTTTTCCATTTGCCTCATAATAATTTCCTTCACCATGCTATTTTCCATTTTCCCATAATCCTTCATATTTCCTTCCATCCTCCCATTAATACACTCCAAAACCATGTCTTTTATCTTAAACAAATTCACCTTCATATGATCTACCATCTTTCCATTTATAATTCCCTTTACCATGCATACAGTTATCTTACCATTCTCCAACATACTAAATTTTATTAATAATACAATTACCAAACGACCATCTTGCCATTAATATGTACCTTGACCATTGATGTTATTTTCTTTCCATGATCCTGAATAATAACTTCCATCTGGCCAATAATATTTGCCTTGACCATCCTTTTTTCCTTGAAAGTAGAATCCTTCATATTTACTTCCATCTGCCCAAATTTCAATACCATATCCATCTTGAACATCATTTTTCCAATATCCTTCATATTTAGCTCCATTAACATGAATATAAATGCCATATCCATGTGTTTAATCATCCTTCCATTCTCCTTCATCTAATAAAAACAAAATAAATCTACAAGTATCTCCATCTAAATGCCAGAATTTACCATTACCATTAGCTCTATTATCTTTCCACTCACCCTCGTATTTAGCTCCATCTGGAAATAGGTTAAATGAAATTAATTTACCTGGCCAAGTCATAATACCAATTCCTTCTCTTTTATTTCCAATCCATTCTCCTTCATAAACTCCTCCTGTTGTATAACGATATGGAGGATGTCTCTCTTTTTCATAATTATTATTCAAATGAAGTACAGGTTCTTTGCTTTCAGTAAAGTAGCCTCGTTAATGTTGACTTTTTCTGGAACGTACTGACTTTGGTGTAGATTCAAAATCAGATAGTCTTAGTACTTAAATTTCAGGTTCATTACAAATTTGATAGCAATAATTACCCATATATGTATATAATGAATTCAAATTCAAAATATATATAGATTATAAATAGAATTCATAATTATTGAAAAAAAAAACAATAAAATATAAAAATGAAAAGTAAGGAATTATGGACATTTACAATAGAGTAGCCTAAAGATACAAATTCTAGTATTACGAATTAAGTTTTTGCATGTGCATTTTTGAAAGGTATATAAAATAGAAAATAGTGAAGATGGTGATATATTTGTGGCAGCTGTAGGAAATGCTTTAGTTTTATTCGATACTTACAAATCTGATATGTTATGTTAACCTTTGAGAGGATAACATAAAGAGACAATCACTTGTTTGGCTACATCAAAGGATGGAACAAAATTGGTATCAGGAAGTCAAGATAAAACAGTTGTAGTTTGGATGTACAATGGAAATAAAAGTGATCGATTATTGGAGCCAGAGAAATGGTTTTCTCATAGTGATGCAATACAATGTGCAGCAATTAGTCCATTGTAGTAGCAGATCTTTACCGGATCAAATTAAGAGTATTCACTTTGGATTCCAGGAATGAGTAATATTGAGAGATAGAAATTTAAGGAAAAGATTATTTGTTGTGCCTGGAGTGCAGATGGATAGTATGTGTCATTTGGAACAATAAACGGTATAATAAATTGATTTGAAATTAGGATTGATTGTAATTACAGATAGACAAGCTTAATAATTAAAAGAGATATAGACTTAGAAAGGTGGACCAGCTTGGTGTATGGAATGGTCTCCTATAAATTCAGATTATTAATAATCTTAGCTTACTGTAGGAGTATGGATGAATTCTTTATATTAATTTGATTCTAATGGATAATAGATAGGTGCTAGAATAGAATTGCCTTTTGATCCATTATATATAAATTATTAACATAATGGTGAGTATATGGCCATATCAGGAAATAATAATAAAGTTAATTTGTATACCAGAGAAGGAGGATTCTTATTTGAAGCTTGTTCATAATAAGATTGGATCTGGTGTACAAAGATTAAACCAAAATCTACATTAATTGGATGTGGAACAAATGATGGATAAGTCTTTATTTAAGAATTGATTTCTGATACTGTTATTGGATTATATAATGATAAATTTATAAGTCGAGAATAATTGACAGATGCAATTATAGTATCTATGATATCAAATCAAAAAGCTAGAATTAAGTGCAAGGAGTTAGTTAAAAGAGTAGCTATATTTAAAGAGAAGGTAGCAATTTTATGTGGAATAAAAGTGTTAATTTATACGTGTGTAATTAAGGGTGATGATTATATGAAGTATAAATAATTTAAGAAATTTACAAAGAGAGTAGATTGTGATCATTTCTAATTGTCATCATCAAATGTATTAATAGGAGCAGATTAGAAATTGATAGCATTTAATTTTAATGGAGATATGGATAGAACCTGGTCATTTGAGTCATAAATTACATTTGTATCAATATAAGGAGGACCTCCAAAAAGAGAATTAGTATTAGTTGGATTGGAGAATGGAGCAATATATAAATTATTTATAGATAATTCATTTCCTATTTAAATACATAAAGTGAATACATAAATTAAATATTTGACAATGTCATAAACAAAAAGAAAATTAGCATTAATAGATGGAAATTAAAATTTATAGGTTTTAGATACTATAACAAAGGAAGTATTATTTGGAGAGATGAGTGTAGAAGGAGTAGCATTTAATGAAGATTTTGAAGATTTAATGGCTTATTCTGGTAAAGGATTACTATTTATAAAATGTATAGCATTTTAAGCATTAAATTAAAAGATAAATGGTAATGTTATAGGTTTTAAGGGATGTAAATTGTTTTTATTTGATGGTTAAAATGCTTAAACAATAGATATATAGTAGACAGCAAATATGTAGAGATATTTAGAGAAAAAGGATTTTTAGAATGCATTGAAAATAGCATGTTTAGGAGTGACAGAATAAGATATAAGGGCATTAGGAATAGAAGCATTGATAGCAGGGGAATTTGATATAGCAAGAAGAGTATAATAAATAATAATATAAAATTAGTGTTTTTTAAGGAATAAGGATTATAAGTATTTAGATTTGTTATAGAAATATGAGAAGAGGAATTTGGATGCATAAACATTAAATGAATTAAATGCAGAGACATTAGCATATTAAGGAAAATTTATGGATGCTGGTAATTTATTAATAAAGGTTGGATTGGCAGATAAGGCAGTGTAGTTGTTTAAAGAATTAAAACGTTGGGACGAAGCAAAAAGTATATAATAGAGATGAATAAATTAGATTTTGCAAAGAAAGGAGATGTAGCATATAGAGCAGTAACGTCGGGTGGTAGAACAGGTACTGGTGTAAGAGCACCTACATCATAAGGTAGAACCGGAACTAGTAGAGGATAAGCAGTAATGCCTTAACCTTAAGATATTGCAGCACCAAAGATTGAAATGAATATGTTATTAAGAGAAGAAGCAGAATGGATGAAAGAATCAGGAGATTGGAAGGCTGCAGCAGATTTATTTGTATAATGTGGAGAATTTAAAAAAGCAATTGATTTATATGGAATGAATAAAAATATTGATGGATTACTTAATGTTTGTAGAATATTAGACAAATAAGAAAATACAGATAATATTACATTATGTGCAAATTATTTCAAAAAACTTAAACATCATGGAGGTGCTAAAGAAGCTTACCTTAAATTAAATGATTTATAAAATCTTATGATTTTACATGTTGAATTTGAAAAATGGGAAGAAGCATTTTAAATCGGTCGTTCTAATTAATAATTATTGGAAATTGTTAAAGTACCTTATGCCAATCATTTATTAATAAGCGATAGATATGAAGATGCACTTAAGGCTTATAAAAGCGCAGGAAGATATGACATATCTATGAAAATGACTAAAGATATGGCTAAAAATTGTATTGAAGAATAACGATATCATGATGCTAGTTAATATCTATGGAATCTAGCTATTGATTGTCTTACATAAATAAATGATTATTAGAATCCTTCAGGAGATGATGTCAATGCTATTAAATAATATTAAGAATATAGTGATTTAGCTGATGTCTATTTTGCTTATCAAAAAATACATAGTTTTATTGGTGAACCATTTTAACCTCTTTCAGGAGAAAACTATTTTCTATCAATTATGAATGCTTCTAGATTCATCATCTCTAAATGGAAAAGTACCTATTAAGGAATCAAAATGAGTTATGTCTACTATTCACTTGCAAAATGTGCTACTCAACTTTAATGTTATAAAACAGCCCGTATCTGTTATGAAAAATTACATGTATTTATTTTATAGCTATATTCTTTAGTCATTCAAAATTCCAGCTGAATGGAGTGAAGAAATTGATCTATAATCCATGTTAATTAGATCTAAACCTTATACAGATGATGAATAAAGATTACCATTTTGTGCTAGATGTTAAACCTCTAATCTTATGATAAATGAAAATCAAAAACTTGCATAATGCAATGTTTGTCTTCATCCACTGTTCTCATCATTTATCACTTTTTCAAATCTATAAGTTGTTGAATTTAAAATGGATAATTCGCTTTCAAGAGAAGATGTTCAAAAATTACTAAATTCTGAAAAAAACATTTCGAATAAACGATAAGCGTAACTCTTTTAAGAAAAAATGAATGAAATCATTCAATAATAATAAACCTCTTAAGATCAATATTTAGCAGTAGAATTAGATGAACCCACTATTCAATCCCTATCACCTGAAGAAGTCCTCATTGTTGATCTCAGATAATATTGCAAAACTATCCATGTTAAATATTATAGAAATATGGAACCCTCATTACCTATTCATGTATGTCCTGACTGTACAAGATTCTTTTACATTGATGAACATGAATTTGAATATGTTCAAAAGAGATCTTGTCCATTTTGTAGAACAACTGATAAAAAATTACCCTAAAAGGATATTTTTGACCTTTGAAATATAATTATATAATAAATATTAATTTTAATAGAAATTGTTATTTAAAGAATGAAATAACATGCCTTTGCCAAAATTGAATGTATCTAACCACAATAAGACAATCAAAGTAGCAAATTATATTACTCTAGATTAAAATCCATAACAGCCAAATCAATTTATTCAATAAACTTTATATAATCCATAACAAAATAAAAATAATATGATTCATTAATAATAGTATACATAAAACTAAAACATACATAATTCAAATTTAGATTAAAAATAACCAATTATAAATACTATTTGTCAATAATAGAATAATTTGTAATTTCCAATGTTAAAATAACCTTAAGGAAATTAACAAAATTAATAATAATAATCTTTTATAAATAATCAACTACAAAACAAAATGTAACCTACAATATATAAATAACCTTCTGGAAATTAACAAGATTAATAATAATAAACTTTTATAAATAATCAATAATAAAATAAAATATAATCTAATTTATATAAATAACCTTCTGGAAATTAAGAAGAGTAATAAAATTTATAAATAATAAAAGAGAAGATATTAAAAAGAGTAGAAGCAAGAAAAAATAAATAAATCTAATCCTTTAAATTAATAAATACAGTTTTTTAAGATTGATATTGTTAAAAAGTTATTTCATGATATCATTTATAAACTAATTTATTTATTTATAGTAATATTGTTTGTTAAAGTCAATAAAAATCATTATATACTGAAAGGAATATCGATTGAATCAGAAAATATGAATAAAAGTGCTAAATTTATTAAAGTAAATTTACTTTAATTTTTTATTTCATAAGATTCAAATAACAGTTGAAATGATACTTCCATATATTTTTAAAATTGTTTGATTTTTTCTAAATTAAATTACCCTTCAAAAATACATAAAATCTTATTTTCCTTTGTATGACCTGTTCTTATAAGAATTTGTTAGCTCTATATGTTTTAAAATATTTGCAAAATTACAATTTATAATATATTAACCAATGTTTATATAGATGGATTACAATAATATTGTGTAATGATTTTAACATCCTAATGCAATTTAATAACATTATTTAAGAAATCATTAAGATAAATATTTTTTAATTTGATATTTCTTTTGAAATTTTACATCAAATGAATAAATATTAATTTTCTTTAAATGGATTAATATTTTTTTTAGCAAAATGAATATTGATTAACCTGATTCAGAATATTAACTATTAATTTAAGCATTTTTTAATATTAAATTGATATTGCTTTAGTATTTATTTTTCGTTCATAGAAAAAATCTTTAAATAACAATAAAATAGTTGGTTTATCTCCTTAATAAATTGAAATTTCAGCTCTTATAGTTCTTTTGTGAAAGTTAATTAAAAGCGTATTATTGAATGTTTATTAATTGTTTTTTTAAAATTTTCTAATAAAGCCATAGATAACATTCTACATAATTTTGTTTTAATTAGTGGCCTATTTTAAGAAAAAATACGCCTCCTCATCATTTTTGAAGAGTTTCTCACAGTTTCTAATTTACCTAACAGAAAAGCGTAAATTCTCTTCTGAAAACTACAAAATTAAATAAGATTGTTATAACAGAAGCTTGTTAAGAATGTCTTCCCATCTTGTGTCAGCTAAAGTTAATAAGTATTAAGATCTTTTTGCTTTATTATACTAATAATTATAATAGTTAATGTATAGAATAAGCAAAGTTGATGTAACGAGTGCAGAATACTGCATACCATCGCTTTTAAATATTCCCCAAAGTAATCTAAAAATCTAAAGTATTATTATGGTTATCATGCCATCAACGTATTCTCCAGTCAAGACCAATAAATAAGTTGCTGCCATTTAATTAACTCCTTATAGCATTGCCATCTAATTATCAACACCTGTTCTATCCTCAAAGGCAATAAAAAATATAGTCACAGAATGATTTAATAAAATGATACCCAATCTGAGATATGAATTATTTCTCCAAAAGAAAATTATTTGCACAACTAAATATATAAGCATGGATAAATTCGATATAAACCCATTATTATTTTTTTCATGACTTGATTAAATTACTTTAGTTATAAAAGCAACTATAAATCCTAAACTTAAACATATAAATGTGGTAAGCCTCTTAGAATGCTAATTGGTAATCTAATATGATTATTCCACTCTTGGATCTTTGAAATATAAAAAAAAGGAATTCATATAAAATAATTTCGAAAAATAAACTCTAAATTAGTAGTCGTAAAATAAATATTATCCAAAAATAATTTGTAATACAAAAATTTTTTCTTCTTTTTCTAGAGAAACGATATAATTTTGTTTTTTGAAAATAATTTAAATTTATCCTATAAATAAGTTTCATCAAATGCTTATTTCAGAGAAGACTTTTTTTATATAAAAATATTATAAGTAATTTAATATACCGTAATAATATTTATTAATAAAATAAATAATTATTCGTAATTTGATCCAGAAGCTATGTAGTGAGTTTAATTATTCATTATTAGGTATCTTGAAATGTTAAACATGAATTTAAACATGCATTTATAAATTAATATAAAAAAACAGTTATAAAGTTAACAAAAATACTTCATCATAAATATTCAGAATATTGTAAAAAATATTATATAATTTTAACAAAATTTAAAAGAAAGTTAAGTTCTTTGAGAACTTCTTGAAAGTGGGACTTTTGTTTTGAATAAAATTTTAGAAATTTCCAAATAAAAGAATAAATATAAAAATAAAAAAATTCAATGGATCGGCTGATATCTTCAAATTATAGGCTTTGGAGATTGGTAATTGGTGAGAAATTCTTCATACTCATTCTATTAAAACTATATAAAAATAAATCAATATTTTTACTGTATAATTTAAGTTATAAGCATCAAAATCTTATTAGAGTTTTTCTTCATCACTATCAGGTATCATTTTGCTAATTGATTTTGGAGTGATATAATTATATGATTTGGAGAAAGCTTTAAAACTTGATGATAGGCAATCCGGAGTAAGTACAAGCTATTTATCCGCAGCGAATAAAAGAAAATCTTCAAGAGTTATGTCAACAAAGTCAGAAATTTATAAAGCCTATTCTTAAGGTTGTTCTTTGAAAAGAAGCTATAATTCTTAATTGTTTAATTAGCCATCTTTATCAAGATCTGCAGCAGTAAATAGTTTTGTTAGTACTTTTAAATGGTCAGATGCATAAAAGGATAGAAGATATTGAAATAGACATTTGTGTAGATAAGTCATATTTTTAGATTTGATGATGTTATTAAAAGGTTATAAATAATCTTTAGGTTGAATTTATTTCATTTTTATTAGATAAGGATGAACCAAACATTTTTCAAGTGTTATTCTATCATTTGGATTATGATGAAGCATTTCTATCAATAAAGGATAGATATCTAATGTTTATTTAGCAAATTCTTTTTCTGGTTTGAACTTATTAATATTTTCAATTTCAAAAGGAAATTCATGATTTAATAATTGTAAAATAATAATAGCTATTGCCCAGATGTCATTTGATTAACTTCTGTTTTTGGTTTATATATTTTAGAATTTATCAGAGTCTTTGTGATGATGATGATGATTAGATGAATTTGGTGGTTCATAAAGAAGAGAATTCTTTGGATACATAAATTAATAAATGCTTCTAATATCAGATAATTTGATGAAAGGTGTAGAAGAATCATCAAAAACTGAAAAACTATCAATCGTCAATTCATCATGACTGTAACCTAATTTATGTACATAAGCTAAGGCTTCTACCATTTAATAAAATATGGATCCTATTGTTTGATAATCCAATTCTTAAGAGTCTTAAAACTTAGATAGTGTTCCCCCTTGACAATGTTCATAGATAACTTAATAATTTTTTTTTTGAGAATCAATATGAATATCTATAATTTTAACAATATGCATGTGGTCCTATTTAATAATTTATAGATTATACCAATTGGAGCTCATCTAACATATCTATATATTATTGATTTCTATTTTCGTATTTGAGTATTTCAACCAAAACAAGTTATCCAGTCTCATTATGTTACATGATGGTTTTACTTTGACTATCTTCAAACTTAAAAATAAAAAAATTTACTATGATTTAATCCTGAGACAACAGAATACTTTCTAGATGCTGGAGATTAGATTGATTTTGATCCTTATCTTGAATTAATTCTTTGCATAGGAATATTCAATAGAGATCCATTTCTAGCCTTTTCCTATTATTATGTAGATTAGACAATCATAGTTTTAGGAGTTGATTATAAAGAAGGAGAAACTCTTTAAACTGGAGTGGTTGTATTATTTGGGGATGCTTTTTAAACAGGAGTAGTCACTTAATTAGGTGAAACACGTCGAACTGGTGTTGTAATTCTTTTAATCGAAGTAGGCTCTTAAAATTGAACTGTAACTGTTTTTTATTCCCTTGTAGTTAGAGGTTATTAAGATGGCATGGTTAAAGATTGATTTTTGTGTTTCTATACTTTTTTTGGTTGACTTTATGAGGTGCAAACTCCCATTTATTTATATCAATTATAAATTTGAATAATAAAACAAATCAATCAATTTATCAACAAATAACATCCCTACACCATAAATTAATGCTATTCTCATCATTTTCTAATTGATAATTTAAATAAATATATAATAATAAATCTATATAACATGTGAAAAAAATTAAATTTATCAATTGCAAGTCTGACTTAGAAGATTTACCACACAATTGGCTAGTTTACATGTAGCTACACTTAGAATATGAGAGCAATCATCATTTATTGTTAAATCTATAAACAAATAATTACCTGCTCCCTATAATTCTACTTCACAATAATTAGTAGTACATTATGGTTGCACATATGTTTCATACATTTTCATTGTAATTAAATCAATTTGTTTAAGTGCTACTGGATGATTCGTATTGAAAAAACATTTTAATTTATATTATAAATTGATACTGTTACTTGTTCGAATAATATATATAGGAGTCAAAGGAGATTATTTCCCAAAAATTTCTGCAGATAATACAGTTACTTACAACATTCCATTACTTTCATAACTAGTCCACGTTATAGTAGCTAATCCTTAATATTCTAGTATTAAATATTTTAAATGAATTTAGTTAAAATTAATAAAATTATACTGTGTATAATAATATTCTGAAAAGCTCTTCAATCTTACATAGTAAATGTCTAACAATTATTCGATCTTAGGCATAGTATTTTACTTTTATTAAACAGTTATTTTGTTATCATCACGAATATTTTAGATTGCCTCATATATAATCCTCTCCAAATAATAAGGATGAGAATATTCACTAATAAATATGGTTGCATATGAAATATATAAATCCAAAATTTAATTTAATTCATCATTCTATCTAGATATAATATCAAGATTGTATAGTCTAAACATATTAGTAATGGTTCGCTCTTCATTAATTAAATCTCCTAATAAAACACTTGTTTATTGTATCTCCTCTATTCTCAAATCAGAAACATGTCGGTAATAATAAACTTTTTATTCTGTAAATGTCTTTTCATAACAGGATTAAACATATTAAAGTGGAGTATAAGGAACAGCTGTACATTTTGAACTCATAGCTCCATTACTTCTACATGATTAAACTTCATCTATTAAATGGCAATATTGACCATAGCATTATCCAGACCACTAACAATACCCACTCTATCTACATGATCCTTCATCATTAAATTAATCACATTAAATCTCACCCAAATTTAAATTCTCTGATACTCCAAACAATAGAAATATTAAACTAATCATTATTTATTATAGATTATAGTTTCTAAATATAAATTTCATCTTCCATATATAGATCTATTATTCTTATATATATATATATTTATAACTCATTAAGAATAACAGGAGTATAATTATAAATATTAATCTACTTCAAATTGTACTTGAATATCTTAATTTATTATGTAAGTCAAACCAAAACTAAGTTCATGATTTCCTTATTCACTCATGATTTTTCCATTTCCTTATAGACATAATAAAATAGTATTTTATTTTAATTTAAACTATTTTGATTACACTTATGGTTTCAATTCCAAACAATCCTATTTTATATTCTAAAATTTATACACAAGCAAATTCTTAATACTTCGTTATATATCTTTTATAAATATATTCATTTGATTCTTCAATAATTGGTTAAACATAATCAGGTTGTTTCATTTCACATATTAAGATCTCTTTCATAGTTTCCACATCTTTCTATTTTGGAGTAAATCCACATCTAACAACATTGTCAGAATTTGCCATAGTTTCAATGATATTACCTCTTAAATAAGCATGAATTAATCCTGCTTCTAAGACTACTGCTTATCCAGGTTATAATATGAGATGATTCATTAACAATAGAAACAAATATCCAACATCATATTTTTCTATTTTTTATCCTGGAAACAAACTTGGATTACATTTGTTTGGCCATTAAAAATTATCTAAGATAACCTTAATTTCATCTTATGTCAATGATAAAAATATTGACACTATCTATTTTAAAATTTCCTAAGCTTATTAATTTTGTGCAACTAAAAATTAATTCCACAAATTATCTCCAATTTTAACTATAATCTAAGGATTCTAGAAATAATTGTTATGTTAATTACTCTTTCAATATTCTGAATTATTGTTTATTAATCAGTAAAACCTACTAATGCTTCAAAAACTGTTAATGCAATAGCCATTTCTGGTTTATGATTATCATCTGGATATAGATTTGGTTTTGTTGTATGAAGTATCTTAGCTTATTCTTTATTAGGATGTATTTGAATAGAAAGTGGCTTATTGGAAATAAATTTTTACTTGATCTACAGATAAAACTTTAAATAGATATGGAAGATCTAAATTAACTTTTTCACCATTCTCGTATAAAGATGGTAATGAAGGATGACTTCCCATCCAAAATTCAGCAAATGGTTTTATGTCATTTGATGTCTTTTGTGTTAATTTGTATACTAAACAATTTGGATTGGTTGATAACATTCCCCATGCATAGTTTTATGCTTAGCCATGAAGTCTTGATATAATTTTTTATTACATTATTAAATTATAATGAAAATTATTTTCTGTAGTATGATTATGGCATTTTAATATATTATTCAATCCCCCTCATTAGAATGAACATGAACTCAGAATATATTATAAAATAACGATTATATTTTATTAAGATGATAATTTGTATTTAAGTAAACAACCATTTACCTTGTTATCATCTAAAAAATTGGAATATCTGGTTATCGTTCATCAGGAGTATTTTAAAATTTCAAAAAAGCGGGAAATGAAAAGGTACTTAAATTGAAATACTTATTTGAGCGCATTAAAATAATTTGAAATTAAAAGAATGTTTACAGGTACTATCTCAGTAATATATGGCCCAATGGTATTAGAATGAATTTATGTAGTTTTCTGGGAAAACAAGTGAACTGATGAGATTAGTTAAAAGATTTACAATTTCAGAGAGAAAATGTGTAGTTTTAAATTACGCAAATGATAACAGATATTCAGATGATTAGTGTATTTCTAGTCATGATAAGTAATATATAGTTATAAATTTAGACAATATTTGAAAGCTATAAAAGTGACTAAATTATTTGATGCTTTTGAAAAATGTAAGGATAATGATGTTGTAGCAATTGATGAAGGTTAATTCTTTTGTGATGTAAATTAATTTATAATATACTCTTAGATTGTGGAATTTAGTGAAGCAATGGCAAATTTAGGGAAGATTGTAATTGTAGCAGCACTTGATGGAACATTTGATAGAAAACCATTTCGTAATATTTTAAGTTTGATTCCTTTGGCTGAGCGTATAACAAAATTAACAGCTGTATGCTGGTTTTGTAAAAAAGAGAATGCTTCATTTACAAAAAGAACTGTTTAATCTTAAGAGAGTATAAAAATAAATATATATTTAAGTTGAATTAATTGGAGGAGAAGATTGTTATAAACCTGCTTGTAGAGCATGTTTTAATTTGGCAGAGGATTAATTTAAAAAACATACAATACCATAAATCTCAGTTTTTTAAAATGATGAAAGACTATTTGGTTAATAGAATTTGATTTGCTGAGAAACTATAATTAATAATTATATATTATATCAAAAGTATGAATTTTAATAATAAAAAGTTTATTGAGTTTTTTTTAAAGTATTGAAATGAAATACTTAAAGTTTTTAATAATCATCTTAAGGAGATTACTTTGATCTATATAGATAAAGTGAATTATATGAATGTGAAATAATGATTATAAAAAATCAATGAATATAAGAGGGTAGTTAAAATGATTTTAAGAAAATTGAAAAATAAAATTTAGAATAATATTACTAGGATCAAAATAAGAAGAGTTTTAAATGATTATCGACAAAATAAATATACATTAATAAAGAGTTGGTATAATTAATTAATGAATTTGAAGATCTATTTTAATATATATAATCTAAAATGTCTTAATAATTAGTTTGGCCAGTATACGTGGAAAACGACGTTTGTGAAAAGTTTTGGAATAGAAATGAGTGTGTTTTAGATGGAGAGATACTCATAACTTAGTAAATGTGCAAAACAGATAGAAAAACATAAGTAATTAAAGAGAGGACATATACTTTGAGTGGAAAAGGAATCTTATGCTATTAGAAAAAAAGCTTAATTAGATGGTTGTTATTAACTTATAAAATGAGTGTTAAGCTTATTGATTTGAAGATTTAAAGTAAAGATTAGGATCTAGTTAAAGTGATAAGACTAAAGAGAAATTCATAAGTATAGGCTTATATTTGGAATGCAGATTTGTAAAAGTTTAAAAATGATTCTTCAGTTAGTAGACTTTCACTTTTTTCAAACGATTAACAGCATTTTGTATTTGCTAAAATTTTGAATAGCTTTATACAATCTAAGATTTAATGGGTAAGGGTGGATATTCAAAAGTGTATAAATTGTGTCCATTGAATAAATAACAATTTTAGTAATAATATTATGCAGGCAAAGTATATAATAAAAATGAATTGGCTTAAAAGAAAAACTTAGGTTAATTATCTTAATTAGTGAAAGCAGAATGTGAGATTATGAAATAAGTTAATTCTCCATTTATTTTAACATTATACGAAATAATCTAATTAGATGAACAATTGAGTAAATATCAAATATAAAATATGTAGTTTTAATAACTGAATTATTAAGAAGTGGATCATTGTATAAATTATTAAGAGAGAAGGTTAGAATATAGGAAAGTGAAGCCAGTGGTATAATTTTGAGAGTAGCTTTGGGTTTATAAGCAATACATAAGTAAATATAGTAAATCTATTCAGTCTAGGATATGTACATAGAGATATAAAGTTAGAAAATATTTTAATGGATAAAGATTAAATAAAAATTATTGATTTTGGATTTGCAGAATTAATTAATAGAGAAGTTTTGACATCAGGTTAAGGTACAGTAGGATATATGGCACCAGAGATTTTTAATAATTAACCATTTACAGAATAAGGAGATGTATTTAGTTTAGGAGTTGTTTATTATTTGTTATTAACAGGGAAACCTCCCTTTAAAGGATTAAATTAAGAAAACATTGTTAGAGCTAATAAGAAATGTGATATTGATTTTAGTGAATATTGTTTTGTTAATGTGAGTCAAAAAACTATTTAATTAATTAAAGGTATGTTATAAAAGAATCCAAAATAAAGAACTTCCCTTAATGAAGTTATACAAAATTTGAAAAGTTAAAATTTATTATTAGATACTATATACAGATCAATATCTGTTGATGGATCATAATTAACCAAACAAGGATTAAGATCTCTTTATTTATAGAGTCAATGTTCTTAAGATTCTCCTAGAATATAATAAAAACAATCAAAATTATTGAATGTGACATAAACTTTAGATAAGTATGCAATCAAGGCAAGTTCATTTCGACCTTCTCTTTAAGATCTAAGTCGTTATTCTTTTGATAGTTGTGATTTAGAAGATAATACATTACCTCTATTTGTTTTGGAATTTCTTTAAATTTCTAAATTAACTATGAATTCAACTAAATTTCCTTGATTATTATTATTTTATATTCTAATAAAATTTATGTTTTATGATCCAAATATCAATCCAATTTAATTACTATTTCTAATTAAATACTACAACTGATATTCCATTATTTTTTATTAAAACAATTATCTCTCTATTGATCATGAGAATCAAACCGAAATAATACCTAACAAAATTAAATTAATTTGAAATGATTTTAGTTTAACTATTAGATTAATTCTTTTCGTTTCAAATTCTTTAGGGTATGATTTTATTTATAAACTTTATGATAAGTATAATAACTACTAAAATCAATATAACTTAAATCGTTTGATACTAAAATTATTGTAGAAATTATTAAATAATAAAAATTTTAGAGGGTATGCATTAAGCAAATAATAAGAATTGAAGAAAATATTAAAAATAAAAACTTAATAATCAATTACAAAGAGAACTACCAATCATACTTAATCTACTTGAAGTAGTCTGAAAATTTAAAAAGGTACAATGATAGGAAATAGCATTTATGAAAATATGTTAAAAAAAGAGTTTGATAAAAGATGATGTTATGATTTAAGTGATAGATATTTGAAATAACAGAAAAGATAAAAATATCACTAAAATGATTTGAATATAATATTAAATTATAAAATACATGAATAAAGGTGTAAGAATTAGGTACTCTAGTCTTGATGAATCTCGAACTAATACTAAAAGATATTAGACTGTGTATACAGTAACTGATTCAATAAGGAATTAAGTGAATAATCTAAAGTTTAATCATCATCCTTTGAGTTATTATATATCTAGAATTTGCAAGAATATAAAAGAAATGCGAAGATATCGTACAGATGCCTATATAAGAAATTAGTTGAGTAAGATTTATGCATAAACAATTCATCTAAAAGAAATACATGATGTATTCAAGGTGCCTGTGTAATACATAAGTGAAGATCTTATTCTATCTAGATGTACGTTACAATTAATTTCATAAATGCCACATCAATATACATTACGTCCTTCATAATAGTTAACTCATTTTATGCAATGGATGGCCTACTTTGATGACTAGGTCTACTTAGAAATGTAGAAAATTCATGAAGGGTACTTATTATAAATACAAAAAAATATTCAAGATCAATACACTACAAATGTGATTAAACAATAATAAATCAAACATTAAATTCATCCTAAGAAAAAAGATATGTACAATTATGTTAATCGACTTATAACAAAACCATCTTTTAGAACAATGAGTCGAATATCTATTTTAGAGAATTATGAGACTAAATTTGGTGAATTTTAATTAATTACACCTTATGCTAGAAGTTATGCTAAATAATTAGATACAATTTCTTAGAATCTCAACACTATAGAATGAATAATAAATATATCAATCATTAAGCTTATATATAAACTGTATCAATCACATCTAATTAATCTTTATCAACAAATTATAATTTTCTTAATTATCTAATTATTAGATCTAATCTTGCCTTATTGTAACTATTCTTAATTAAATTTGGCTCTATGTTTGTCATTATAAGTAAACATTTTACTGATTCTTGTATTCTACTTTAAAATTCAGTTTTATTGAATTATTTTTTTAATTTCATCACTGCTAATTAGAATGCTAGTTCTCCTTCTTCTAATTCAAAAAATTCATGATTTATTACAATATCATTTGCCATAAAATCAATGACTTTTTCAATAAATTGTAACTAAATTATTTAATCTAGTGCTTCTTATTATTCATATTCAAAGACCATATTTTTGATTAATTAAATTGCAAATAATTCTCCTGTTTCAAGTAATTTACAAAAGAATTCCATCATTTTCATTTCAGTTTTTATTAGCTACAATCTTACATTACTTGATGAAGTGACATTAAGTAAAACTTATTTAAAATTTACAAACATAGAAACAGATCTTTCATCAACAAAAAAATTGCAAAATAATTTAAAATAAAAGCATCTATTGATATCATTAAATTATAATTATAATAGAGCTTCTTTTGCATCTTCATTTTAAGTGATATTTTGTAATGCCAATAATCCTAATTAGATAGTGAGTTCTAATTATTGATTTGATTATTTAGTTTTATAAAAATTGAGAATCTTTTCTTTGATAATTTCCATCACTCTTTATAGAGTATGTAATTTAAGGAATTATTCTTAGTAATAGTCATCTATGGCGAATTAGATTATGACTGATAAAACTGAAGTCATTACATCTTCATCTCCTAAAAGTTTTGTTAAGTTAAATATTAGATTAGTTTATATGAAATTCTTTCTATCTTCTTCAGTCTAAGCATATTGGAGCACTAACATTAGAGCTTGCTTTCTAACTTCTAACTTTTGATCTAGAACTAATTCACATAAATCAGAATATTATTCGTCCATAAATTAAATTATTTAATGAATATATACATTTTAATTTGATTATAATAATATTTGTATATGATTAAGTATTTTTATTCCATTCTCAATACATTATATTAATATTAATTATAACAGACATATGGATACCTCATTTGCTGGATTTACTTTTGGTGCAGATGAATTAGCAATCAATGGTAGTTTTAGTGCTTAGAAACATCCAAGAATAAGCAAGTGTTCACCATTTTATAGGATGAATAAACCTTAGACGTATATTTTAAGATTTTTAGACAAGTGAATAAAAACCTAGATTGAGATTGCATTCACCAAATAAGGAGAATGAATTAATGTAAATTCGGAAACCTGTTCGAGTTACTACTTCTCCTCATTCTTAAAATTAAATGAGCTATAAAGAAATTTGTGCACATTTAATTTAATTGTTCAAGAGTTAGAGTCGATTATATGAATAATTAATGATAGCAGATAATGCAAATATAAGGAATCAACTTTAAAAAGTCTAACTCAAACATGATTACTACTGCAAATTGTATAATTAATAATGAAAACTATAACAATTAATTAACATAAATATAATAATATATATATGTTGAGTCTTTCATGTTTGTTCATTGTATTTTGAAATAAACATAATTAAATTGAAGGTATCAAACTTAAAGATTATTTTATTATGAATAATAAATTAATATAGACTCTTAAGAATAAAATTCGAATTCAGGATAGCTAGGTTAAACTACTCAAATTCTATAAGAAGTACTGTTTACCTACATCTGACACATCAAGTAATATATGTTTAAGTTAAGTTAGGTTCTATAAAATCTTTATAATTGAAAGCATACTTCAATTTGATAATGAACAAATCCTTTTTTTTTGGAGGACCCTTTTGTATAAAATATGGAATAAATATGGTATCAAATCCAGCCACAATTATGTACTCTCCTATTTTCTTCGTTGGTTATGGTGTTTGTAATATTATAATAATAATAAAACAGGCTACTCAGCCTATGTATATTTTGAAGGTTTGAGAAATAGAAACCTATCTGAAATCAACATATTGGCTTTACGAGAAATGTCTTTATAAACATATGAACATTTGTTATATTTGGATGCTGAATTTCATTTAAACACTTCATCAAGATCAAATATATATTCCCTGTATAAAGCATAGAAAGGAATAGAGTCAAACTTAAGATCATTAAATTAATACTTTCTACCATTGTTAGCAGACATTTCATTAACAACTGCTATTCTGTGTTTTAATTTTGGTTGGCCATTCTTTACATCATTTCTAGTTACATTTACAACTTATACAGCATTTACTATTCGTTATTCAAATGTATATGATTATGGCAAATATTTAAATAGTATAGAAGGAAGATAATATCTTAGAGAAAGAAATAAGAAAAGTTAGCTGACTTTACAATATCATAAGCTCTAGATAATTTATTTACAGTTAAATATTTTAGTGCAGAAAAATATGAGTTAAAGAGATACAATAACTTATTAGAAGTAAGTTAGTCATTAAATAAATAAAGAAATTGCAATAATTATCGATTGATACATTTAGAACATTAGCCACTTTAAATGCTGTATAAAGATTAATACTCTCTATGGGTTTAACAGTGAATTTAGTTTTAGGAGTAAGTGGTGTATAAGCAGGAATAATCACTCCAGGTGATTTGATACTTATACAATCTCTAATGCTTTAATTGATATAACCATTATTTCAATTAGGTACAATGCATAGAGAATGGGTTGAATCTGCTATTGATATGAAAGATTTATTGTAGATAATGACTAGAGTGCCTAAAATATAAGAGATACCTAATGCATAGGATTTTATCTATAAAACAGGTTCAATTCATATTGAAGGTATTTCTTTTGAACATATATCAAATAAACAACTCTTTAAGAATTTTAATCTATCAATCAAAGGAGGTGAATGGATTGTTATTGTAGGGGAAAGTGGAATTGGAAAATCCACTTTATTTAACTTAATAGTAAGAAATTGAGATATAATTTATAGTTTAGATTATTGGATCCATCAGAAGGGAATATTTTAATTGATAATTAAAATATAAAAACATTGAAATTAGAATCATTTAGAAAATATTTTGGAATTGTAGCATAATAGTCATATTTTTTTAATGATTCTATTAAAAATAATCTTTTATATGGTCTTGATTTGATTTATGAACTTACTCCTGAAATGATTAAGCAGAAGGAAGAAGAAATGAAAAGTTTATGTGCATAACTTAAATTGTCTAAATTAATTGAATCATTACCAAATTAATATGATACTTAGATGGGAGATTAAGCTAGTAAATTAATAGATTATTTTTAAGATAAATTCTCTGGTGGTGAAAAGTAAAGACTTCAAATAGTAAGATGTCTATTAAGAGGAGCTAAAATATTATTGTTAGATGAACCAACATCAGCTCTAGATCAAAATAATGAATAATTCTTCATTGAAACTTTAGAATAAGTATTAAAGATTCAAGATCTTACTGTATTGATTATTACTCACAGATTACACTTGACAAAAGTAGCAGATAAGATTCTATATTTGGGCAAGAATTGTTCATATGAATATGTAAATTTTATCAATTCTAAAACAGGGTACTCATGATCAATTAATCAATAACCATCAGTCTTATAACAAGTATTGGGAAGAGTATTAGAAATAATGAAAATTCAATCATTTCATAAAAACTATAAAAATAATTAAAAACAATAAATTATATTATTTAATGAATCCTAATTTTTAACATAGTTTCCATTTAAAATCTGATTAGCATGATTTCCCTCAATCAGAATAGTGTTATAAAAATAAGAACAATTTCAGTTTCGACATTGATATAATGAAAACTTATAGCTTAAGTAATCCAAAAGTTTGTATTGACAGATGCAATACTTATTAGACTCAAGGAGATGTAGTTAAGTAAGAATGCAATCTAACTAATCCTTTAATTTAGAATTAAGTAAGAACTTATATTTGATTCTCTATAGCAAATAGAATCTGAGTTCTAAATTAATGTTGATAATATCTTACAATTTAATCAAAATTGTATAAAATTCATTTAAATTTCAAAGTAAATGGTTCTGACTTCATTGATTTGAATAAAGAAATTAAATCAAATTCTGAAATTTCACAAAAAGAAGATTTACGATTATGTAATTAATCTGAAAGAAATTACTAATCTCATAAAACTGAATTAATAGTTTTGCCAACTCCATCCTATAAAAATAAACTTAAAGCAGTTGGAAATATGTTTTTAGGAATTTGGAGATTATAATAAACAATTGTTGAACCTATCACTTGTACAGTAAGAATATATTCAATAAAATTAGGATTAATTTGATGATAATTTAGGATCTTAATAGCGTAATTTTAATAATAAAAACAATTATAAGTAGATTCATCCAGCCAATGAATCATAAGATTAAAGACTAATGGATATTTTTAATTAATTCAAATTAGTATGTCTATTTACTTAGTATTCGATGTCTGGTTCTAATGAAGACATTTAAAATATGATTAAAATTCTCTAAAGAGATCCTAAACGGTATTGATCCTTATTATTCCAGTAATTTGACTAATCCTTAAGACCCGAATCATATTATAAACTCATTAAATTAATATGGTCAAAATGCCTTATATATAGCATCTAAGAATGGAAATGTTGAAGTAGTCAAATTTTTGCTATCTCTTGAATGCAACACTCATATTAAAAGTCGTATTTTTTAAGATGTGACTGAAAGTCCTTTAGAAGTTTCATCAAGATGGCATCATTTGGAATGTGTAAGATAACTCTTAAAAGCTGACAGATATAGTAATTCAGAATTGAGATCAGCAATTAAGGTAACTTAAAATTAAGAAATTATCAATTTGTTGAAATCAAATATGAATTCCTCTCTTTTCTCATGTTGTCTATGATTTTAGTGTTGATTAATTAGAATTTATATTATATTATTATAGAATACTAATTCATTTAAGATTTACTTCTTACTTAGAAAATTATCTAAATTCCAAACAAGATAAACAATATGATTAAATACTAGATGAATTTTCATCTTTTGATCCTATAATGAAAGCACAATTATTTTGTTCACATTTAAAAAATGAGAAAATTTATTAAGATTTAATCAATTGAATCAATTGATGAGTAAATTTAATTTCCTGAACAATATTCTTTTATATTTTTGGTAATTGAATGAGATCATTGCTATTTATTTTTTATTTACACTGACACCAAATATTGATTTAATTTTATGAAGATGCAAGATGTTAACAGAAACAAGTGTTATGATATTAATGATTGCATTCTAATTCAATCATTTAATTATTATTATTTTTAGAACATTTTAAACATTTTTAAGTTTATAATTAAGAGTTACTGAGTTAATTGTTTTTCTTCCAATTGAGATCTAAGATAGGTTATTGCATAATAAAATTTAGATTATTAAAAATATCTTTAATTTATTTATTAAGTTTAGTTGTTACAACTTCATTTGGAAACTTAGTAAATTAATAGGTTTCATGGATACTTGAAATATTAGATCTGATAAGTTAAGTTTAATCATCAGGAATATGATTAAAATCCATAGATTTTAGAGATCTATGAGTTGAGGGTATAAGTGAATCAACCATAACTTAATCCATTTGCATCTTTTTTCTGAGTTAATTATTTTCCTTAGCAATTTCTTTAATTCTTAGAATACATTTAAGTATTTTATCTTCCAAACTTCTAACTAAGTAAATGCAAGATTTATTTTTGCAAATTAATGGTTTAAGATGAATGGAATTGATAGATGATAATTAAGAGAAATCTTTTGAGAATGGTTTAGATAGAAATTATTTAGTTTGTAAATTAAGTGATGGAAGAGATGGCGTTTAATTAATGGTTTCGCAAGGAGAATTGTATCTTTTGGAATGAATAGCTTAATATTATGATCCTTTGACATTTAGATATTCTCTTTCTGTTGAAATCATTATTTTTAATGTATAAATTATTGAAATAATAATTAATATAATTTTATACAAAACAAATAAAATTAGAAACCCATGTCATTTTTATATGAGTATTTCTTATAATTTTTAGTCATTGAGTTCTATTTATTATTTTTCTAGAATATCTTCATCTATATTTTCTTCAATAACATCTTTTTGAATATAATCTGGAGGATATGTTAAGAATGGAATTTCACCTCTTTACCAATCCATAAGAATTAATTTAGCAGTTGCTTTAGTATCAGCTTCACCACCCTTAAAATATACATTATTAATAAAACCTTTGCTAATTTTCCTTTTTTAATAGCAACCTTTTTAAGAAAATCATGTTCATCTATCCAATCATCAATATCATATATTCTCTTTAAATCAGGAGCTCTTGCTTTTTCTAATAAAGCTGGAATATAAAATTCAGGATCATCTAATTTCTCTGCTCTAACACATCCTTTCAAAACAACTTCAACATCATTCTTTCCTTCATGTTAATAAACAACTCCAGGACAATCAATTAAATATATTCTTTTTGTTAATGCAACATATTGCCAAACTCTTGTTTCTCCTGGAACTGGAGCAGCTTTACAAACTTTTCTTTTTTTTAATGAATTAATAACAGAACTTTTTCCAACATTTGGATATCCTACAAATCCTATTGAAATAGTTTATTTATCTCTATGAAATTTATCAAACTATCTCAATAAATTTATAAATGGACCCTTACCAAATGCTTTATTAACATTTGCATGATAAGCTATAGTTGGATATTCTTTTGATAAATATTAAACCCATCTTGATGTTAACCATGTAGGTATTAAATCACATTTATTTAATAATAATACTAAATGTTTATGCGGACAATTCTTCTTTATATGATTCTCTAAATGATATGATCTAGTTCCCATAGGATCTCTTCCATCAAGAATACAAACCAATACATCTGAAGAATCAATAACCTTATACAATTCTTCCCAAATTCTCTTTGATTATCCTGCTGTCAATCGTTTATCTCTACTCTCTTATTATACTATCTCAACTGGATTCAATTTCTCATCCTTCTCCACTACATATGTTTATTCCTTTTATTCCGCTTAATCTGCCAATCCTTCCATTGTTTCCACATTTAATTTTATTCTCTTTCTCTTTGATTTTGGTCCATATGTATCCTTTAGTTATTTAATATTTATACTTCGTAACTTTCTAATTCTAATAGTGGTACATTCTTATTTTTTTTTTATGCCTCTACTAATAATGACAATGGTAATTATTTTGCCTTTATCAATACACTTCTAGGATCATGTGTTCTATTTGCCATCTCTTATCTTAATTTATCTAGTTATTATTAATCTATTGTTCTTATATTTCCAAACCATTTTCTATTTGGATCTATTCTTGCAGGTTATGTTGCCTATTTCCACATCTCTTCTCTAATCATTCTAATCATTCAATACTTATTTGGTTTCTCATTATATAAATTCAATCTCTATATTGTTTATTTTGATCTAAAAAATTAATGCTTAGCATTCAATTATTTTTCAGGCAATTTTCTATCCGGATTTGTTGATGCTCCACTCTTCGATCCTTTTTATGATGCTTTGAATTTTGTATTCATTTTCTTTTTAAAGAACTACTCCTTACTACGCTTAACCATTAAATAATAATTAATTAACAATAATTATATTTTACTAATTAATTTTTTTTGTCCCAATTTCTTTATTATCGAAAAAATTTTCACAAATATTTTTATCATTTTATTTTAAATGCTTTTTCACAATTAGGACACCAACACTCATTATTCAATCTATAATTCTTTATAAATCTGAATTCACAATTTGGGCATTTATTTAAATTTTTTTCATACTTTTAATAAATCTACCCTAATTATTATTCCAAAATTATTTTTAAAATCTATTATCCATTTTGTATATTTCTTATTGTTTATTATTTTAATTTCAATCCACATAAACATTTAGGCAATTTCGAAATAGATTATTTTTGAATTTAACACAATATTATCTCAGTAAGACACTCTGGATGATATTAATGCCAACAGATCAGATTTATTCCTTTTTTATCAATGATAGATTTGCAATAATAGCATATTGGGCGTTTAGTTTACATAAATGATGTATTTGTGCAATTTAAAGAGTCGTTTTTCTCTGATTACTAACTTTTGTTTTATCTATCTTAATCATAATGAGTAGATTTATTATTAATCTAGGGTAGATCATAATGATTAGATTTATTATTATTTTAGGGCAAATCATAAACATTTATTTACTGATACTTTAACATATCTTAATTTATTTAATATTACCTCTCCAAAGATTTGTATTACTTTCTTGAATTTTATAATGTGATATCTATTTGATCTGCTAAAATCTTTTTTGGTTAGTTCTTCTAAATCATTAAATAATCATCATTTTTTCTCTATTAAATATTATTTCTATGTTAATGATTGTACATAGAATTATTATTCAGAAAATTTTAATTTTACTTCATTTATTCAGTCTAATAGTCTTATTTAGGTTGTATTGCAAATCGTGGTTAATGATGTTAAATATGGATATTATTAGGCTACTAAATTATTCTGATTTTCGATTTTGGATTCATAGAAGAAGATCGAAGTTAGCTTTATTGTTATTACTGATAAGAGTGATCAAAATAATCATAGTTCTAGTTGTTAGGCTGATTTAGAATTTATCTGATTGTAATATTATTATTAGAAATTGGTAGGGAAATTTAAAAATCATTTTAAATCTAGGGATTATTGTATGACTAGTTTAAATTATACGGATCTTTGTTGATCATCCCTTTAAAGGTTATTAATTAAATAATAATTATTATTAATAAACAATTAAATTCAATATTTATATAAATAAGGAAAATGTTATATTCTTATCAATGCTTTTTTTTAAAATGATAGGAATTTTGATGATAGTGTATACCAATTTTTTTTGGAGAATAAATATATGGAAATCTATAATTCATAATCTAATTCTAAATCTAATTCTTAAAGTTTAAGATAAAACAATTTTAGCTAACAAATCTCTTTATGAACCAAAACCTGAAATATAGATTTAAAACTTAGGAGATAGGAAACTATCTGATCAAAACACTTTTTTCAATTTAAAATAGTTAATAAAAAGCATTCATTCTTCTATGATTTTTTTTTTCTTAAAGAAAATGTGTAAAAAATTGAATGCTGTCTCAAAACCAAGATAAAAAATATGAACTTAAGTAATATCAGATCAAGCTCATTAAGATCTTTTAAGATTTTAAAATCTCCTATTTCATTTGTACAGAGTAGTTCTACATGAACAAGAATTTAATCTTTCAATACTAATACTATTAAGAAATACTCATTTTTACATAACTAAGTAATTTAGCAATATGAAATAATTTAGAAGAGAAAAAGAAAATGAAAAGAAAGTTTGTTTAAGAATTGAGATCGACAGAAGAGTAGTATTTAGAATTATGTTTATGATAGAATCATAAACATAATTCTAAAGAATTTTGAGTTCTATTTGAATAAAAATTAATGGTTTTAGAATATTGTGCTGATTAGAAGTTATCTCAATTGCAACATTAAAAACATCTTACTGAATTGATTGTTGTAAATATTGTTGAATAAATTTCTCAAATGCAATTAAATAGTTAGGCAGTGTTTTCTTCTACAATGTGAAATGTATTAGGCGACCTTTATAATTCATAATAATCTAAAAATCAATAATTGAATATTTTATAATTTTATGTATGAATGAATACAAGAATATAGATATTGATTAAGTTCTAAAATATCAAATATAATAAAATCAAAATAGTGAATGACATATAAATAGTTTATTACACAAACAAATCTAGAAATTTTATATCATGATAAATTCAAATCAAAAAGAGATTTCTTGGCTATGAGGATAATCTCATAAAAACTGTTTTTAATCTTCTTAGCTAATATAATTAGACATTCACGTCAATAATTTTATTATAGGATAAGAGTCCTCATTCTTTCATTTTACTAAAAATCTAACTTAATTTAATCAATCAAGAATTAGGAAGAATTGAATTAAATAGTGCTTTCTTCTATTTGATTTACTAAGTTTGGATTTGTTCATCTATTTGACATATGATGGAATTATTGAGGTGAATAAATTTATGTTCTATTATATTTTCAATTGCAAATTACATAATTTAAAAATACATTTTAATATATTTAATATTTGATCAAATCATGAATAAATATACATTAAATTTCAAAGATAAAGAAATTGAATCTAAATATCAAAACATAACTTAACAAAATTTTAGAATGTTTACTCTTAATATTATAACATTAGGACTTCTTGCTGTAGCATTAACAAAAATTTTAGAAAATATTTTAGTCCAGGAACTTCAAAATATATACAAATATTGTTTATTCATTACCTACTTGTTAATTCAATATGGAATTGTGAAAAAACATACCAAATTTATTAGAGTTGCTTTAATCATACTTAACCACTTTATATCATTATTTTTTAGTCTCTAGTTATCAAAATAAGATGATTCTTACAATAATTTCCTTATAGGAGCTAATGTAATGGGTGCAAACTTTTTAATGTTTATTTCAGGAGAGTTTTTGGATGCAGCTATCTCTGTAATTACAATCAGTATTGTAAGAATCATCCTAATTTAAATTCAAACCAATTAAATACTTTTCTCTACAATCGTGAGTTCTGTACTTATTGTGATCTATACAATTCGTTATATGTACCATTATCATAAAGCTATTCGTAATCAATATTTATTAGCATTAAATGATTCTCATTGGGAAAAAATTTTAAACTCCATTGCCTTCAAACAACCTTATGTAATTTTGTCTTTTATAGACGATACAATCTAATTTAATCTTAAATCAGAAGCACAATGTCATAAATTTTTTAATAGATAATTTAATGGATCAACTTTTATTAGAGATTCTGTATATAAAGGAATCAAATTGGAAAATTTCTTGTTTATGTAAATAAAGAAGTATAGAGTGGATAGAGCATCTGTTTTTAATAAGACTTTAGTTGTGGAATACTTCAAAAAATTAATTAGAATAGAATGTTCAATTTATTATGGAAACAAACCAACGATATTGCTACTAATGAGAGATTTTTTAAATGAAAAAAAACCAAATACATAAATTTATGAATAAAGACATAAGAATTTTATAAAGCTTTTGCTTAAAATTTTAAGTCATATAGATAGGTTATCATCTTTTAAATGTAGGGTTATTGAAAGAAAACTTTTAATGTTGCAATTGTATGAAGATCTTAGACTCTAAAAGTTAAGGGAAAGCGAAATCAATTTTTATAATATAACATAAATTTTGCACAATTTATATTCTCATATGTCAATTAAAGCTTTTGTTTATGGAAATAGTAATTTGAATACTATTTCAAATATTTTCTTGCTCATAATGTTAATAGTTGCTGAGAATTCAAAGGGGTCATTTCTTTCTATAAATTTAAGAAATGAGGTAGAAAGTTAGAAATGGCTTCAATTTTCAGGTAATTTCGAAATATTAAAAGTAAAGAAAACATTAAAATAAATATCAGATTATATAAAATTGATTATTTCAAATGAGAAGATAGAATAATAGAGTATATAATTCAATTTGAATGAATAAATATTAATACCATTTCAATTAAATGAAATAAATGCAAGTAGTTGATAATATATTGATTTATAATAATCTGTTGTTATTTCTTTTAATGTTATGAATATATATAAATTTTAGATCTTGATTAATTATGAATAGAAGAAGAGAGTAGAAATTAACTAAAAATGAATAATTTATATGTAAAAAAGTGATTTAAACGAATTTACAAAATATTAAGGTTTGTCAACTTATAAACCAAAAACTTAGGTTAGAATAATAGAGATGCGTAATCCTCTCTAATACTATTAATAAAATAAGATAGAGACATAGAATTGGGATGAATCATTATTATAAACAAAATAGCCAATAAATAAAGAATTGGATCGAATAAATAATCTGGTTGAAACACTGATTATTGGAAGAGATAATTAGAAAAAGGAGGAAATATAAATATTGGAGTTGAATTAATCTAAGATTAGAGAGGTTAATGAGTAAGTGTAGGAAGATTTGGAAATATTGGAGTAGAGAAACAATTAGAAAATTTAAGAGTTAGCAAATATAAAGAATGAATTATTAAATATATAATGTGAATATATGAACAGACAATAGTTAAGATTGGAATTTAATGAGCATTAATAGAATAAGGAAGAGAAGATTAAGGTTAAGGAGGAGGAGATATTGAAAGCAATAAAAATTTTATAGAATTGATTATATAAAAAATTATAATTGATAATGTAGTAATTGTAATAAAGTGTAAGAACATTAGGAGATTATTAAATTGCCACAATTTATATATATTTGGGAGAAGGTGCTTTTGGAAAGGTTTACAAAGGGATTAAGTTGACAACAAATTAAGAAGTAGCTATAAAAAAAATAGATAGTTCAATGATTAATTAAGATCAATATTTAGTTAAGTATTTATGTAGAATGAAATATTTTAGACTTTGAGATTCAAATAATGAAATACCTTAATTGGTAAATTTATAGATAAATTTAATACAGATCATTCAATTTATATAGAGTTAAAGATTATTTTAAAGATAGAGAGATCTGAGAAATATAATTAAGGGGAGATACATTCCAGAATCAGAAGTTAATTAGATATTCTGTTATAAATATTATATTATGATTGAGATTTGAAGGAAATAAGAAAGAGAGAAGTGAATTTGAAGAATTAGTAAAGGCAAATATCATACATAGAGATTTTGAAATCAGCAAATATAATGAATCATAAAGGAGTAGAAAAGATAACAGATTTTGGATTTCCAAAAATTGTGGATAATTTTAATGGAGAATTGTTAAGAATTTGTATTGTGGTTCACCATTATATAAGTCACCATAAACATTGAAAAAAGAAAAATATACTACTATGGTGTTAAAGAGTAATTTATTGTGAAATGATATATGGTATGGCTTCATGGAATTGTGTAGATGAAAAGAGTTTAACATAAAATATAATAAAATAGTGTTTAAGATAAGATTTCCAATTGGTACTTCTTTATCAGAATTTGGAAAAAGCTTTTTGAGTAGAAATTTGGAGAGAAGGAAGAGAATAAAAGAATGGAATGGATAGAATTATTTTAAATGTTTGAATCTAAGAAGAATTTAGAAGCTATTCAATTTAATTCAAACAAAAATGAAAATTATATATTTTTAGAATAAACATAGATACAACCTCTATTTAATGTAGAAATGACCTAATAAATATCAATCATTACTCACAACTTAAAAAAGGAGATGAATTTTGAGTTACTTTGTTTATTGTTATCCAAGTTCATAGCAAACTCATTTAAATTGCTATAGTTTAACATTCTTGCCTTATTTTAATAGTAGAAAAGCATATGATTGCATTCAGTTTCTTTGGTTCTTGAATTTTTTAACAATACTATATAATACTTTGATTGAATAGGACTCTTAATTAATCTAAGATATTTGTCTGATTATTTATAGTTTATTGAAGGAGGAGATTGATAAAACTTAATTAATTGATGGTACTTTAAAAAATTATTAAAGAAAAAGTTATTTGTATTTCTAAACAAGTCTTGTAAAGATTTAAAGAAAATGATGTCTATTCATTTTACAACTATACTATAACAAGAAGCAAAAATATGAAAAAATGTAGACATCAGATTACTTGGCCTAACTAAATTTTAAATTAAATGAGTTATATAGTTTTTGAATGAATTTTATCAGGGCATAATAGATTTATTTTATTATTAAAATACTGATGTTTCGTCTCCCTTAAAAGCTGTTGAACCATTCACCTATTTGATGCCTTTTTCTCTAGCTGTTTTCTCAATTTATTCCACCAATATCTAATGTTCCTTTTAATTGCTATAAAACCAATAACCAACATATCCCAAACCCATTAAAAACACTGATCCCAATAAAAAAGCAATTGCATATAATAAGTAATACTCTGCTTCATACAAATAAGTCTTGATTATTTCCACAATCACCATTTTTTCGTGTCTTATTACCAAGTCTTAAATACCCTCTACTGTAGTATTGTATGACAATAGATATCTGTATGATTAACCAACTTTATAATATCAATTGTCTTACCTTCATCATTATGATAGAAACACTTCATCTTTATTGGTTCAACCTAAAATCGTGTTAGGAAAGCGCTCTAAGCAGTTATTCCAAAAAAGAAATCATCATATTATTATTCGATATTTTCCATATCTTCTAATTTATAAGTTTAATTAAAGAATGCAAAGTCTCTCAAACCCAAATGTTTGAATACTTAATCTTTATGATTATTCATCACAAAATCATACCCATTTGAAAATAAAATTAAATGCTAATTAACACCTTAGACAATTACAAAATCTTCTGTTGCATCTAAATCAATTATTCGATGATCTATTTTCTTTTTTCTAATCAAAAAAGAATTACCATTATCTATATCCACATTATATTCAAGTACAAAATAATGATTCATTTATTAATAAGCCATAAAAACATTCCTACCATTTCGAGTATCAACTGATATTCCACCAGATTCATAATTAATCCATGATCTCATTCCAAAATTAACATATAAATCTTTATGAATATCTATTAATAATAATCCTAATTCCCTATCTAATAAAAACATAGAGTAGTAATCAACTTTTTTTCCATGTTATATGATAGCAAAATCAACAATTTCAATAGAAGAATTTAAACCAAAATCTCTTAATTTAAGATTTTTGATAAATCTAAGATCCTTCTATACAATCTTATAAACATCTAATCCATCTCTTCCTACTGCACTAAATACTAGTCCATCTATTTCTTTAGTTAATCCTCTATATCCTCTCTTTCTCCAATCTGTTACTTAATAAACATCAAGTGATGTTGCTTATGATTCCATTTAATCCATACTAAATAATTAAGCACTATCACTAAATAGTAAGAATGCTAAATTAGAAGATGGAGAATATAATAATTATGGTAACTCATTCTTAGCAATCAATGTTGGAGCAATAGTTTGAAGATCTGCTCTCCATAAAATTCTAGCAAATTATTATCCTGTTTCTTCGAAATCGTGTTCATAAACAGTTTCATAATTAAATTTAAGCAGATATGCAATAGAATCTGAAGTGATTGCTAACATTCCATCTTTTATATGAACCATAGACACAAATTAACGAAAGTTGAGAATAGTGTCTGATTCAAAATCTTGATCTGTGAAATCCTATTCTTGAATTATTCTGAATTCTTGAGTTTCAAATTTAACTTGCATAGGACTGATTTCGCAACCTCTACTATTATTATAAGATTGTAAAATTGCATCTCGAGCATCTTCTAAATTTATTGTCTTATGTTCATTTGGATGTATTTTTATGTATATAAGAGGCTCATCAATCTCTGTTATTGTGAATTCTGTTGAAGAACCTATTAGATAAGTGATCAAAAAAATCATTAAAAAGTTCATTAAATTAATTCATTATTAGATATACAAATTTTTTATATCCTTACATTCTCTAATACTAATTATGTTTCATTAGATTACTATTCGCTTCTATCTTTTAAGTAAATCTAGTTTTTATGGCATTTTCTAATTTCATTAACTTTGCTATAATTCATTTAATCTTTTTAATTTAACATATTAAAACCATTAAATACCAACAGAATCATTTTCAAAAACCATCTAATTATTATTTTGATTAATTAATCTTCACAAATCAACCTGTTTAGTAAAAAACTAACAGTAATCTCTAATAACGTATATACTTTTAGTCTTCTACTAAATATATGACGAAGATCTTGTATTATTGTAAAAGCCAGTTCTATATACAGCCACAACTTATAATACTGAAAATACATAGAATTTTAATTTAATGCTACTAATTTATCTTTTAGATAAAATAACTGGAAATCCAATAACAGCTAATTTTTAAACATAAAATCTCGAATATTAGCTAATGAATCTATATTATTATCTTTTGTGTATAAATCAATCTATGTTTATTTTGTAAATTATATAATAAAAGTGAAAAGAGATTGATTATCTTAATGTTTCCATATTATAACTATTTTATTTTAGATTTATTACATGAACCTACTTTGTGTAAGAGAAATTATTTTATATATATAAGTAATCAATATTTTATAGCCTTTGGGTATAGTTATTATTGATTTCAATGAATAAAATAGTTATGTTTTTAGTGTTTGTTTTATATATTGTTATATATGTAAACAATAACAAAATTATCAAGAGTTAATATTAAATAAATTATAAATGACTGATAATTTGGATAAGTATTACAAGCTTCATCACCCAGAATTTCTAAGTGAAGGAATGTAATTACTTAGAGAATACATATACTATTGTAAATTTGATTTTATAGAATTATGTTCTCGATATGATCAATTCAAAGATGGTACTATTTAAGAAAAGGTATTGAGGGATGTTTTGGTTGAAGTTTCAAAAAGTTAATTTTATTTTACAGAATTTGATATTGCGAGCATATTAAAGGAAGCTCCATATAGCTCAAATAGAAATATAGATTATAAGGAATTATATAAATATCTAACAGAGTGTGTACCACCTAAGAATTCATATCATGTGTTTAAGAATGCAATTATTAGATAAAAGTAGAATTCTGCATCAAATAAATTATTTTTGGAAGAGATATAGAAGCATTTTGAAGAAGAAGTTTCGAATTATTTTGATCGTAAAGCTATTTATGATTTTAAACATTTCAATTTAAACTTGTTGGATTTAGAATTATTAAGCACAAATGCAATTAATATAATATTTGATGATGTTGTTTAGGAGAAGATGGCTAATTTCTCAAAACATAATAATACTATAATTTTGGAGAATTTTCAAATATTGATAGCTAAAAAGATTTCAATATAAGCATTACCATAATTAGCTTTTTAATTTATAGCTCCTGAAAAGATTGAAATGGCATTATTTGATTTTTTGGGAATAAGAAGAAATTAAAAAATGTTTCCATTTTTAATGAAGGAACAATTCATATAATTAATGAAAGTGAAATTATATAATGTTGAAATGACTTATGATGAATGTTCTCTTCTTTATTATTTGATTTGGAAACGAAATAATTTTGGTGAATTCAATCTTTTGACATTTGTTCATTGGATTATGGAATTGAGACCACTTTATTATAAAGAGATTATAAAGATGTATGATGCCAAATAACCTCATTTAGAATTGGCTTAATTACCTAAGATATTCAAAGAATTTTAAGAAATGGCAAGTAAATATACAACAAATATGCTCTCTTAAGCATTTAAGCCTTTTTAAAGTGAAGGTTTGTGTACTTTAGAGAATTTAAAGATAGTAATTAGATCTTTAGAGATTGGATATAGTTAATTAGATTTTAATGAGTTTAGGTATTATTTGGCTAATCATGGATTGTTTACTCTTTCGAAACACTAATAATTGTTATTAAAAGTATAAGAGTTTTTATAAACTTTGGTATAAGAAAACTTTGAGAAATAAGATTAAACCGAAATGACTGATTTAGAGAAAGCATATTAAACACTTTTTAAATCAATAATGTTATCAATTTTAATAAGATATGAAGATAAAGCATAGAAGATGATGTAAGCAGATTAATTGATAGATGAAGTATAATTAAGAAAAATAATTAATGAAGATTTATTATTGGTAGATTAAACTAGTGTGACAATGATAATTTAATCTTTGGAACATAATAAGGAGCCTTCTTATTAGTAACCTTTGAGGATGATTTATTTTCCTGAATTTATAGATAAATTAAGAGCTAGATTTAATGATGATATATAATTACCAGGACCATAATTAGTGCCTTATGATAAACCAGGTCCAAATTTTAAGGAACTTGAACCGACTTTTAATTATAAGGAAGGATAATTTGTTAGGGATCCTGATAAAGCATTTTCAATTAAACCTTTAGATGATAGAGAAGTATTAGAGAAATTGAAGAGATAATTAATATAACATTTTAAGATAGAGGGTTAGAATGAATTTGAAAAATCTGAAAAAGCTGTGTATGAATTATGTTTGGTATTGAAAGATTTTGATAAAATAAAATGTGGAAATATTAGTAAGGAATTATTGTTTGAAATTCTACGTGATCTTACAGAATTGTCACTATAAGAAATTAATAATATAATGGATTTTGCTATGGGTGTATCTAAAGTAGATGAAGATTAATTTTCTTATTAGTTCTTTTGTGTACAATTGAATGAATTTTATTAAAAACATTAATTAATTTTGGCTAAAAGATGATTTGCAATATTAAAATTATTGTTAGTACAGATAGTATCAATTAAGAAATAAAATATGGGTTTGTAAATGTTTTAACTATTAAATTGGTGTTTCCTGATAGATCTTCATATCGTCAAAATCTTCAAAATGCTTCAACGCTTATTATGCATTTATTCTTTTGCTAGGATCTGATTCTAACATTTGTAATAGTATATTAACAAAGTCTCCTTATATTTCTGACTTAACAATTTCACTCAAATCTCCTATAAATTATTAATCAATAATTTGGTTGCTATTTTCTTGTAATAAATTCTTTCCAGTTATTCTAAAGATGAGATATTTTACTTACAATTTAAATAATACAACTCCACAACTGAACATATCACACAATTCATTATAATTGTTTTTTTGATTAAATGTGATGATTTCCGGAGCAATGTAACCAGGAGTACCACATCTAGGTCTATTCGTAGATACATCATCAATCTTAACTGCAAATCCAAAGTCAGAAATCACAATATCTAGTAAAGAGTTTTTCTTTCTTAATAAAATGTTTTCAGGTTTAATATCTCGATGTACGAATCCTTAACTATGTATGTAAGCTAAGCCTGATAGTAGTTACTAAATTATTATAATAGTTTGTACACACATTACTGCTATAATTTCAGAATTATCCAATTATTGATTTTCCAAATATTCTTTTAATTAGCCACCTTCACAATACTCCATTATTAATAACCAATACTTCTTATGTAGAAATATACTATTTAATTTAACGATGTTTCTATGTTTTAACGATTACAATGCCACAATTTCATCTTGAATGTCCTTAATTCATTACAAAATATTCAATACATCCAAAGAAGTCATCAAATCGTTTCTTAGAGTTTTTGTTGCATACATTTTACCATCCTAGATATTTTTAATTAACAAAACCTAATAATAAGGTCTTTGCACTTTACCTTTCCAAAGTTACCCTCACCAATAATTGTTTGAGGTTGGTAAAACGTATTAATATTCTTATATATTACCTTTCCATCAAGCTTATCTTTCAATTATAGACAATCAAAGTGGGAAATAAGAAAATATTTCTCTTTCTTAGCAATGTCAATTGTAAATCCTTTGAATTCTTTATGTTAATCTAATTTCCATTCCAAAATTGTGGATAGTCCTATTGTAATGTCATATTTAATGTTATTCTAATCCTAAAGATAATATGCATTTCTCATACTTTCCCTATTTGTATTTAAGATTCGGTTAAGTAAAGAAAATAATGCTAATCAAAAAGACATTTCCTTCTTTTACAGATCATCAATTTAATTAATAACAAAAGTGTCTTCATATTTGATAACTTTTATTTGTTTTATACTTCAGCTAAATGAATTGAGGAGTATAGAAGAGAGGATAAATCAAATTCATATAATTATAAGAACGAATTCTAGGAATTTCAAAATATACATAATATTTATATGGAGTAGAATAGCATCATATGTTGATGACATAAAAGTATATGTGGAATACAATAGACTGATATTAAACTGAATTTAAATATCGGAATTTCTAAATAATAATATTTAGAATAATATTATTTTAATAAGATTTAATGTCTGGCCTCTTCTATAATATAGGATATTTTGGAGCCAAATATCCATGCCTTGTGTTTGTAATTTGCATGACAATAACAGGCATAATGTCTTTGGGACTATACAATTTAACAGTGTTAACAGATCCATAATGTAAAAAATTAAATAATATATTTTAGCATTGTGGGTATCATCAAGTAGTAGAACATACAAAGAATAAGAGAGTTCTGCAGAAAATTATGGTCCTTTTTACAGAACAAATTAATTTATATTGGCATACTAAAATGAAGATTGGGTGAATGTATATTAAAAGGATGGATTAAGAGTGATCTATTTTTTGTAGAATATAATAAGGAACAGGAAAGTATTGATAGGAGGGAAGAATACAACTTTAGATGATTTATGTTATAGACCAATATCAGCAAAGGGATGTTATGTACCAAGTCCAATGGATATATGGTTGTAGGATCCATCATTATTAGAAGTTTAATTAGTTATAATATAAATGATAGAAAGATGAAGACATTCAATTTACAACTCTATGTACAGAATCAATAGACGTAAATTAAACGAATATTCCATGTAGTGATAAAAATGGTATTCCAATAATATTAGAATCTGTATTTGGAGGAATGTATAATAATTATGTGTATTAAACTATTTAGATTTTGTGAAGAAAGAGTGAATGATACTTAGCCATGTGATCATTGTTATATTTAAGCTAAGACTATGGCAGTGACATATTTATTAATGAATGATGAATTCACTAAGAAAGATGCTGAATTGTGGGAGAAGGAAGTATGGATGGATACTTTAGATGCATTAAATAAAAGAGACTATGCTAAATTATACAAATATTATGATAAATCATTAATGCCTGCTCCTCGAGAATAACTTTTAGATCAATATAGAGTAGCTTTTATGGCAGAGAGATCTGTTTCAGATGAAATCGATGATGAAACTAATCAAAATGCATGGATTGTAGTTGTCTCATATTTTATGATGTTTTTATATATTGGATTTGCCATTGGTTAATTCCCAAGTAAGATATATAATGGATTTACTTTGGGTTTGGGAGGAATCTTTATAGTAGCAGTCTCAATGATAAGTAGTATTGGAATGGTTTCATATTTCAATATAGGTTTAACAATGATTAGTTTAGAAGTAACTAAATAATATTTAATCATTAGGTTATACCATTTCTAATCTTGGCTATTGGTGTTGATAATATGTTTATTATTACTCATAATTTCAAAAAATAAAAACATGCAACAGTTACTGAAAGAATGGGTCATACATTGAAATAAGTAGGTCCAAGTATAACAATTGCAGCAATTTGTGAAACATTAGCATTTTTAGTTGGTTCATTAACAAAGATGCCAGCTTTATAATCTTTTTGTATTTAAGCAGCAGTAGGTGTATTTATTGATTATTTGTTATAAATCAGTATGTTTGTTGCTTTTCTTACTTTGGATGAATAGAGAAAAAAACATAAAAGATATGATTTAGTAATTTGCAAATAGGATCCTAATTATGCAATTAAAGAAGATAGAAAATTAATATAAACATTTTTTAAGAAGCATTATTCACCATTTATATAAAAACCAGTTTGTGTGATAACTACGATAGTAATATTTGTAGGATTACTGGCTATCAGTTGTGTTGGAATAACAAAATTAGAAGTTGGATTAGATGAATAAGTATCAATGGTTGAAGGATCAAATCTATTTAATTATATGACATTAGAAAAGAAATATATAGAAATAGGACCATTGGCTTATTTAATTTTAGAGAATTTGGATTATTAAGATCCACATGATTTAGAGTTGGTGGCAAATTTATCAAATTCATTATCATAATTAAATGAAACAGTTTAACCTCCAATTTATAGTTGGGTAGCTTCTTTTAATTTATTTATTCGTGAATCAGCTGAGTGGACAATTGCTTGTGAGACTTAAGATATTGCATTATATGATTTGCCAACATAATTAAAACGTTTTTTGGGAGTTCGAATCAATTCTCCATGTTGTTAAAGATATGGTATATGTGGTGAAACATTTGAGGCTGATATAGTACTTAATGAATAAGGATATGTTAAAACAAGTCGACTTAGATTCTAACATAGACCTATTCATAATTCTGCAGGATATATATTATCATTAGAATAAACTAGATAAGTTATTGATAAAGTAGTCTAAGATGCAAACCTTAAACCAAATCAGAAAGTTTATCCATATTCAATGCCTTATGTTTTCTATGATTAATATTCTTATATTCGTGCTGTGGCCATTACAAATGTACTTCTAGCATTAGCTACTATATTCTTTACCATGACATTAGTCTAAGATGTTGTATGTGCTATTATTGTTGTCCTCTTTGTCTTTTTAATTGCTTTCAATCTTATTGGTACTATCTGGCTTACTAATGTTATCTTTGGAGGCTTTGTAGTAATCATATATTTCTATTTAGATTGAAATCAATGCTGTTAGTGTTGTTAACTTAGTTACTTGTATTGGATTGGCTGTTGAATTTGTTGCTCACATTGTTATTAAGTTTAGATTATGTGAAGGTTAACGATGGGAAAGAGTTACTGGAGCTATGTCAACTATGGGAACTTCTGTCTTTGTTGGAATTGCTTGTACTAAATTTATTGGAGTTGCTGTACTTGGATTTGCTCCATCCAATCTTTTCAAACTTTACTATTTCAGAATGTATATTCTTATGGTTCTATTAGGAGCATTTAATGTAAATTTATTTTATTATCTTTAGGGTTTAGTTTTACTACCAATATTCTTGGGTCTCTTTGGACCTTAATTCAGTATCATGAAAGTTAGAGTTAAATCTCTTATCAATCAATCAGAAGGAATTAATTTGTCATCCCAAACTAATAAGAAAGCAGTTAAAAATTGAAAATATTGTTATATGTTAAATTATTCAAATCCTATCTTTGTCTATATATTATATTTAATAAATTTTATTTAATGACAAAGAGTTTATAATATAATCCCTTTTATTTCATCTACTATTAGAATTTATTTAAAGTCGAGTAGTACTACTCTCTCAATACCTATTTTTTACTACACTTTACAAATACATTAATAAATAAATTAAATATCTAAAAGCTTTATTTTCTCTTATTATGTTATAACCATTTCCCATCTAAACTTCCATTCCGACTTATCCATTTTAATACAACAGTCGAAAAATCTAAAAGTCTCTCCTCTAAAAGATTGCTTAAATAGTAGAACTTATAATTCTCAAGTCATTTTCAGCAAATAATTCCAAAATTTTCCTTAATATAATCATAACTAATGGAATGTAAAATAATCACTAATATGATACTAAAGTTTATTGAATTTGTATTAAAAATTAAAAACCATTAGAGGACAATCAAAAAAGTAAAATACAACGTGATAATAATCAATTTGTGTCATAAAATCAGAATCTAAAATAATTTACCATTTTGAACTTAATTTCGAGCGGTTTAAATGTTTAATTTTTTTCGAAGATTATTAACACTAATAAAAATAAAAAATATCAAATAAGTTATATTAAAAGAAACTATTGAAATCAAAGTATCCCTCTTATGAATAAATTTTTATATTTGGAATCAAATACATACATGCTTTTTTCAATAATTAGGAAATTGAAATCAGATCCATTTATATTTAATATCTTAATAAATTTGTATTACAAAAATATATTTTTAATGTCTATATTATTAATAGGGTAATTTTAAGTATTCAATTATAGGAAATTCCCTCTTAAATGTTCTAGAACATTAGAAAAAGAATCTCTTTTTTGTTTAAGTTGAACAACGGTTTTTAAAGTGATATTCATGATAATGATAATTTATATTGTTAATTTGATCAAAAAAGGAGAAAAATGATTTGAGATGAATTTTTTCAATTCTTTAAATGGTTTTATTTTCTAAATATGTTAATAAATATTAAGAGTTGCTTCTTTTACGATAATAAATATATAATAATTTAATTTTTGAGCATCTTGATATATTGCGATAATGATTTTGTGTGATTAATCAAAGAAAAAAGAGAAAAATAAATGATGAAATAAAAGTACAAACTAATAAAATAAACAAAGTTCAACATTCAAGTGTTTTGAGTCTTGAAAATCTTTTCTATCTGGTAATGATTTGTTATCCAGGGTTGATAATTTCAGTACTAACTCTTCCTTAAAAGTCTACTATTTCTAAGGCAGTATTGAATTCAACTTTTTTTTT